TACAGCATTGGACTTTCCTTTCGCTTCCAGGCATATCCGCAACTGAGCGTCCTTTCGGCTTTGGCCCAGCCGCTTCATCAGCTCTGAATCTACTTGTACTTGTCCTCCACTCTTCCTCAGTAGCATGTTGGACACCTTCCGACCTGAGGGGCTCATCTTCCAGCGTCATAACTTTTATATGCCTGTTGTCTTTGTCCATGGAGTTTTCTTGGCAGGTATACTGGAGTGGCTTGCCGGTTCCTGCTCCAGGTGGATCACGTTTGGTCAAAACTCTCCACTATGACCTGTCCATCTTGGGTGGCCCTGCACAGCATAGCTCATAGCTTCTCTGAGTTATTCAAGCCCCTTTGCCACGACAAGGCAGTGATCCATGAAGGGGACCACAGACACTACTACCAGCCTAGTGTATCTGAATGCACTAGCATGGCTTGTAGTGCCTGGGGGACCAACTGCAGGAAAATTTCCATTATAATATCAGTCCAATTGAGAGTGCTAGCGATAACCAGCAACAGCTAGATTTTTTTCATTTAAAAAATTGTGAAATAATTCCCATCAATATTGTTGAGTCCCTGGGTTGATCCATTGAACTGCACCATTGATTCCACATGTATGAACTGCCCATACCCCACTCCCAGCCTTCCTCTGTGTACGAACCATTAATGGACTAATATTATATTCCACATATATGCACTCCTCCTGCATAGTCTAGAAACACGCCCATGGTTCTTTAGGGCCGAAAAAGGAGCAACAGAAAAACAAATCCATGTGTTGGAAGTGGTCCTACCACCTCACCCCTCCCCCTATAAGGCAGGGAGGCCATTGGAAGCAAGTGTCCTGTTTCACACAACAGCTTCAGAATTGCAGTGGATCTCTGACCCATGGGGAGAGTTCAGGTTCGGGTGAAGAGCAAGGCAAAGTAACACTAGGTCTGGGACTAGTGTTGATGCCAAGTAAGGCACCCTGGACAGCTCCATGCTGGGCTCCAGCTGCAGGCTCCACAACAGCACCACTGAGCAGACCACCTCATCACAGACCCTTCTTTGTGTGCCTCCTTGAGAGGTCCAGAGGCTGGCAATACACAAACAGGCCTTTTCTGTAGTTCTTGCCACCGTGGTGTCTGGAAATCCCCTTGTCTGAAAAAACACAGTGGGAAAGATACGGTTTTCTCATTGAAGGAAGCACACCCTGCCCCACCAGGAAAAAAGGAATGGTATTGCAGCCAATGGATAAGGAAGCACAAGGGGTGTGTGCATCTCATTTTCTGCAACCCAGCAACCGACTGCACAGTCTTGCTTGCAGTGCCTTCGGAACAGAGCTTTTCTATGAAGAGACTGGAGCTGGAGCTGAGCTGAGCACTCATGAAGAGAAGCAGAGCTCTGAACAGCGAACTTCTACCATTCTATAATGTTTGTGAACTTTTCAGTGCAGTTGGGGCCTCATTTGATTTTAATTCTAAATTACGTATTGAACTGCCTTGCATCCACCTACCTTTAAAGCACTTCCAAGATCCTGGCCTATGATAGGGCAGCCATAGCTGATAACAAGGGGGAGGAGCACAGCTCAATAGCACAGCACCTGCTGTGCATGGTGAAGACCCTGGAGAGCTACTGCCGCTCAATACAGACAATACTGAGCTAAATGGATCAGTTGTCTACATGGTTTAAGGCAGATCCCCATGCCCCTAACTTCCTTCAGATGCAGATGAATGCTAGGGCTTATCATAGAGAAGTGAGACACAGTGCCGTTCATTTCTGATTGCCCATTTAGACTTTATTCTGACTGCCCATTTAGACTTTATTCAAGCAAGCATCTTCTCATTACTTTCCCGAGACTTTTAAACAAAGTTTATAGCCATGCATTACTTGGGCCAAACTTAAATGCTCTCTCTCTGTTTTCTGCTGCCAAACTGCAAACAGAGCTATTTCCCTGTTTACTTTCAGTTTAAGTGTTTGTCTTCCCTTCATGTTTAATCTTCCTTCTCTGGCGGTGCTCCTGAGTCATGTGTTAAGCCACCTTATGAAGTTTCTCCATTAAACGATCAGGTCATGCATACATACATAATTTTATGTGTATGCTGCCTAAATCCTGCAATTTTTTGACTCTGAAGATTACACACAAACAAAATTACAGTGGTACCTTGGTTTCTGAACTCAATCCATTCTGGAAGTCTATTCTACTTCCAAAATGTTTGAAAACCAAGGTACAGCTTCTGATTGGCTGATTGGCCCCAGAAACAATGATGACAGCCAAAATGGATGTTCGACTTCTGAAAAACATTCGCAAACCGGAACACTTAGTTCCAGGTTTGTGGCATTTGGGAGCTGACTTGTTCCTCAACTAAGCCATTTGGGAACCAGGGTACCACTGTATACAGATAAATAAAAGAGAAGAATATGTAACATTACATAGCTATTTATTATTAGACATATTTGCATCCTATCAGTGCTTCAAGTTGCTGAGGACAATATGCATGAGATAAACCATCATTTTATTATATGGGGGAAGTCCCCTCAGGTGAGGGCAGCCTTTGCCCACCTGGTGCCCTACAAGTCCTTTGGACTACAACTCCCATCAACTTGAACTAGCATAGTTATGCTGTTTGGGGCTGATAGGAGTTGTAGTGCAAAACACCTAGGGTGCACTAAGTTGGCAAAGACTGGCCTAGAGGTATTGGGTAATATCCAAAGCTCCCTCTCCTCGGATTTGTCTCTCCTCTGTAGCCCCCAACTCAACATCCAGATGGTTGGGAGACTTTCAGGACCTACAAGGAGAGGAGATAGAAGTCCCATCATGTGAGTGGACTCCTTGCATGCAGTGCTGGGTGCACCCTATGTTCCTACAGCAGGACTCAAGCCCTTCTCCTGGGCTCTCCATGCTGAGCCTGTACTTGCAGTACCATTGTAATCTGGACAGGTGGTGTAGTGCTATCATTACTGGGTTGTAAATTGTGCATGGAGTATAGAGCTGGGTGACTCCATGGTGTTGTTCAGCCACACTGATTGGTGCATGGGTACTGTGAGCGCAGTGTCGGTGTGAAAATCATGATTGGTGACAAGAACTTCCAGGAATGCTGTGGGCATGTCTATCAGTGTTGCTATGTTGACTTGAGTTTCTTCTACTCTTTGCAGTTTTGACCTTGTGGCAAGTTGGGCAAAGGATGAAGATTATGTTGCACTGGTGTTAGCTATCATTATTGAGCCTTACGTTATATATGAGCTATAGGATCGCCCATCCTTCTCTCAAATGCTAGGTGCTGCTCTGGCTAGAATACAGCCATTATCAAAGTCCCCACTCTCTCTTTCATAACCACTTCAGAAAACGCCTGCTTGCAGAATGTGAAAATGAAACTGAACTATACCAAGGTTTGTTGGAGGAATGTGAATCTAGATTCAGTTTTTAAAGCCATTGACCAGCTCTCTTTAACATTACATTGCACTAAATGCAGAACTCTTCCAGAATGTTTTTCACCCTAATAAAATTGTCACTTGATTAGCCCTGGAAATTAATCTCAGCTTGCTGAAATACCCCCCTGTATATATTGAATAGCAGCTCTTGAGAAGGGACAAGAATGTAACTCAGTGCTTCTCCATACTTCGCCAATGTGCAGCTGGGTTGGAGCAGTTTCCGTGTTTTGAAAAGTGCACAGAAGATTGGTCACAATATTTTCTTTTCCTTCTGGGGTTGCTACAATGAAAATCCGCAGGCCTCTCACCACCTCCTCATCATCTGTAACATCAGGTAAAAAAATAACAGCATATCCATTTTCTGGTTGACTTGCCAGAGGCAGCTTCACAGATTTTGACAGTGTGAAACATCATGGTTATATTTGGATTTCCTACAGCTGATATGTAGCATATGGACATCGCACACATCTGCAACTGGTACCACCATATCAAGCAGTGTCGAATCGATTAAATTAAATAGTTTAAACCGAATTTCAAATAAATGCGCAATTAATTGTAACTGTTTGGAATTCTATTGTGTTGTTATCTTCCTTAGTGGACAATGCTTTTTGATAGGGTAGGGAGAACTGGGGGTAAGTTGATGCAACCAAGGGTGACCCGAAAAGCATTGGGACCCACTGGACTAGGTGGACTGTAGAGCATTCAGTCAAAGGCTGCCCCTGATGTCGTGTCTGGGGGCGAGGTCTGCTCTTTATTCCCCGGATCCATTCCAGCAGTATAAGCTGCCGGACTTCTCAGTGTGGTCCGGGCTCCTGAGGCAGCTCTGCTTCCCGACACGGCCGCCCGCTGCGCTCGGACGCCCAAGTCCGCATCTAGATCGGTTGCCCCTCCCCGCCCCCGCAACCGGAAAAAAGGCAGCTCTTCCCGCTTGCTTGGCCGAAACTTAGCCGTTTCCTCTCTCCGATATTAAACAAATAAATGAGCAAATAAATCTGGAGCGGCTCCGCGCTCCCGCCACCTCACCCGGGCGCTCACCTGGACGCGCGCGCGCCCCGCACAAACACGTGGCCCGCTTGCCTGCTCGCGGGGATCTTTTCAACGTGCCGCCTTCTCTCCTCCGGAAAACTCAGCCCGAGGGTGGCTGGGGGGTGGGTGTACGGGGGGGGGGGGCTCGTCTGGGCGACTCCCCCTCCCTCCTCTCCCAATCGCCAGACAGCCTCCTCCCCCACCTCCTCGGAATCTCCCCGGGGAGGGGGGAGGCGGCGCGTGGGGGGGGGGGACCGTGGGCGGCGGCGTGTGTGCGGGGGAGGGGGGCAGCGAGGAGTGAGTCACGCTCGGGAGAAGCGGGGAAACTCCAGCTGCTGCGCCGGGGCCAGCGCTGGCGGCAAGGCGCGTGCGCAGACTGAGGTCTGGGCTCTCCACCCTCCTCCTCCTCCTCCTTCCCTTGCTTTGCTCCCTCTCTCTCCTTCCCCCCTCTCCCTCCCTCCCTCCTCCCTCCCTTCCTCTCTCTCTCCCTGCCGGCTGGGTGCTGAAGTTGGGCGGATGGCAGCCCAGCAGCTCCGCTAGGGACCAGCGGCGCCAGCCTTTTTCGCCGGGATCGCTCAGGGCGGAGCGCGCGCAGCCAGGCGGGGGCGGGTAAGACGCCGGAGCGCTTTCCCTTTGGCAATCTCGGCCGCGCACGGAGCCCCGGCCCCAAAATGTCTGCTTTTGGAGGGACCCAGATGCATGCAGGGGGGAATGGCGGGAGCTCTAGCGGGAGCCTGGCGAGGGGAGAGGGCGCTCCGCGCGGGCGGAGGGCGACAGGGGGCGAGCGCGGGGGGGGGGATGGCGGCGCCTTCAGAGGTGCGCGCCTCCGGGTGTGTTGGGTGCCGGCGGGGGGGGGGGATGTTGTTTCTCTCCAGTGATGCAGAAAGGGGTGCGGAGCGAGAGAGGCTCGCCGGGGTGTCTTCCCTGGACCGACTGCCACACACACACACGGGGGCTGCAGATGGAGGAGAAGGATGCTGCCGGGCTTGGCGAGCGAAGGGTTGGAAACCGAGCGAGTCAGGGAGGCAGAAGATGGGGTTGGGAAGAGGAGATTATTTTTTTTCCCGGGTGGGTGGGGAGAAATTTCGTAAAAAGGGGTGTAGCGCTGAAAAGAAGGGTGGCAGAGCTCCTGAAATGTGCACATGTCCGTTTTTCAGAGATGAAAAAACGCTGGGTGGTTTGGTTTGGTTTTGTAATTCCCTCAAATTCCTCCCAGAGAGGTATCTGGGTTGATTCCCTGAAAGTCTCCAGCCGATTCACACCCCTCAAATCTCTAATGCATAAAGATCATTGCAACGTGTAGAGCCATTTAAGAAAAATGTTGTGGTCTTTTTTTTAAGCGCTTCCAAATCTTGGATTAGAACTCTTTCCTTTTAAATAATCAGCAACAACCCCTAACGGAATTTAACATGCCACCAATTTCAGAAAGAGGGAGGGGGTGAAAAGAGGAGAAACACCCGCTGAATCTCTAGTAGCTGCTTTGGTGTGAAGGGGACACCACGGAGGGATGGGAGGGGTGGTGAGAGGGGGTGACAGACAGCCTCTTTGCCTTTCATAGGGAGAGCCAGGCATGCTTGCCCCCTTTCTATACCAGGCAGAGCCTCTCCTGGCTGAACGCCACCCAGCCACCCTCTTCATGCATTCTGCGGCATCAGCAGGGGGGCTTGGACTTGGCCAGATTCTTCTCCCCATTTCTGTGAAAATGTTGGGGGGGTGTTGAGATTGGAGGAAAGACACACACACAGAGAGAGAGAGACTAGGCTACAGCTAGCAGGTTCCTTGCCAGCCTGCTTAGGCTAGAAGGGCAGCAGAGCATCTCTGCCCAGGTAGAATAAAAATCTGTTGCCCACCCACCCATAGCTGATACGCTGACGGAGTGATTGAAATCTTCAGTTTTTGCTTAGAGTGTCCTGGCAGAATTGCTGACTCTGCCAATAGGCATGTGTGTGTGTGATTTGGGGGGGGGGGGCGACGACAATACACAGGGTAAGGAGAGAAGGGTGGCAGATTGTGATGGATGGGATCTTCCTTTCAAAGTCAGCTCTCCCTCCATCTTTCTCTCCAGGAAGCCATGAGATCTGATGTCTCAACACTCTTTTCTGCTTACCTCTCAGCTTCTAGGATTCCTTTCCTTCCAGTCAGCTTCTGGTCTCTCAGGAGAATTTTTAGGTGGATGGGCTACTCAAGTCAAGACCACTACTTCCATGCTCTTTTAAAATTTGAATTAATGGGATCTTTCTTCAAAGAGTTGTAAAATGTTTTAGTTTCTTAATTTCTATTATAGCATTATATTAGGAAGGTCTCCAGGGGAGTAGTGAAGGGGTATTGGGCACTCACCCAAAATTTTGCCTATGAACCCCAGCATATATTTGTTTGTAATTTGTGTGGCAAAATCCTTACTCCCTTCATAATGGCCTTTGTACTTCTTCACTTCTCCAGTCTAGCTTTCCAGCATTGGCCCTGAAAAGTTAGCAACCTGCCTTTGTGTTTCTGTACTTCATTCATACTATGTATGTTAAATTGGAATCAATCAGAAAATTATTGTCACAGGGATGTGGTTATCCCATAGCATTCTCCATTGCCCAATCTCTGCACTGCTTCTGCTCCACACCTCCTTTTTGCCATTCATAGCCTAATCCCTATGCATAGTTAGTCAAAAGTAATTCCTTATGAGAACACAGGAGAGGAGCCTCAGTTCTGCATCAGAAAAGTGGTTTCTTCTATGATCATTTGTGGAAAAGTAAGGCCTGGATTTAAACTAAACCAAAAGCTGCGCTCAAACTCCTAGAATCCTTAAACTTTCAATTTATGAGTGGGCAGTCTGTTGTAATTCTTTGGTGATAGAGATATACTCTATACATGTTCTGAGGCACTCTTAGTTCATATGTTCAAGGGCCAAATCTTGGCGTGGTAAATAGATTCTGGGTTCAGCCCTGGTCAGGCTAGTCTCAAACTAAACTCTCACCCCTCTTACTCAGAATACTATAAGTGTCAGGAGACTAATGAAACGTCAAAACAAAACTATAATCTGTTCTTATCAGTTTTTTCTTCTCTCAATAACTTCCTGGCTCCTGTATCATGTGTGTCCCTTGTAGCTGAATGGGTGAAGGGACCCCATATGTCTTGTTTGAAAAGCAGAACGTGAAAGATGCATAAAAATAAAGCAAAGCAAAGCTGTGTGTTGGAGGTGAAGTGGAGGCTATGGAAGTTCTAACATACTGCATGAACCAGGCCTATATTTATGGCATGCCCAAGCATTGTCAGTGTGGAATGGACCAGAGAGTGAGGGATTTTTTTATTTATTTCAAGAGCCACATTCCCTGAGCGATAATTTACCTGGGGCAGTATGCCAGTAGTGGGGAAGGAACCAAAAGTGGGAAGAGGTTACAGGATTGCATGGTCCGCACACTCTTTCTGTGCCACCCCTTCTCTCTCCTCTGTCTTTTTCTCTTACATGCACATGCACATGATCTGTAAGAAGAATCAGTTCTGGGTATCTATCCGCAGCATGCATAAGAATGTATTAAATAAGTCGGGGGGGGATCACTGCCCTAAAAATTCACTCCTTTATACTGGATAGCAAATAAAATTATAACAGAGAAATGACTTGAATTCATGTCTTTTCAACAGGAACAAACATCTCTCTTTTGCAGTTTCCAATCTTCCTGGCATAACTGCCATGGTTAGTACATAAGTAGCCCCATTTCTCTCTCTCTCTCTCTCTCTCTCTCTCTCTCTGTGTGTGTGTGTGTGTGTTTGTGTGTTGACATTTTCATGAGCTTCCTAAGGAAGGACTAGTTTAACTTCCCCTCTTATCCCTACCTTGAAATCAGAAGTATTGGGATTGAAAGGCACGCCATGCATTCTCTAAATATAGGACATGCCACAAAGAGGAAATAGAATGCCCTCCATGTTACCTTGGCCTGCTCCTTTGCCCCTAGCTGTCAGGGGGATATGCTACTTATCTTGGATGCTGGCTGGAGCTCTGGGCTCAGGAGGTTATAAGCCTGTGGTTGAACCTCTGGTTGGCCCACTTTGTTGATAAACTGCTTGGCACCTTTCTTCCTCTATTCCATTCAGTCAAGATGGCTTCTTCCAGACAGTTCTAGAATCTAAGCAGAAAGAACTAAGTTGTGTGTCAGTGAAGGAACCCAACGAATCTTCACTAGGTAGAGGGAGAATGGAGTTTGAGGAAACAGTGGAGAACAATGGAAGGAAGAGCTTCTAATGAAGATTCAGGAACCATATTTTCCAATCAATACTGTGGTACCTCAGGTTACAAACTTAATTCGTTCCAGAGGTCTGTTCTTAACCTGAAAACGTTCTTAACCTGAGGTACCACTTTAGCTAATGGGGCCTCCCACTGCCACTGCCCAGCTGCTCCGTGATTTCTGTTCTCATCCTGGGGCAAAGTTCTCAACCCGAGGTACTACTTCTGGCTTAGCGGAGTTTGTAACCTGAAGTGTTTGTAACCCGAAGCATTTGTAACCCAAGGTACCACTGTACTTCATCAAACTTCCTTGGTCTTCAGCTTAGTTTCCTGGTGGTCTGCCCTAGAGCAGGGACGTGGTACCTGTCATCCTCCAGATTTTAATTTTTGTTGGACTCTGGCACGACACCCATCAGCCCCAGCCAGCAAGTTTAATGGTCAGGGATGAAGAGGGCTGGTAGTTCAGCATTGGCTATGTTGGTTGGAGTTGATGGAGGCTGCTCTATTCTAAGAGTCATCCATCTTCCTAGCTCTCATATATTTGGTTAGCTCTTGTCTTGCTGATCAGTTCTATGCCATGATCGTCTGCAGAGGAAACCCCTCACTAGAAAACAAGGACAATATTTTTTTACAAGTGTGTAAGAATAATGATGTAGCTGCTAGAGTAGTGACATTCAACTACAGAGACCCGAGTGCAAAATCTCTGCTCAGACACAAAGCTTCCTGGGAGACTGCTGGCTAGTTATTACCTCCCAGGCTATAATAAAAAACCTTACAGGGTTGTTGTAACAATGAAAAATCAGGGTAAAATCTGCATTCACTGGATTGTATTGCTCTGTTAATACAAGTCTTGTGTTTTTAATTGGCTTGCAAAGAGTTGCAGGGTACATGTATTGTATATGCTAGGTAGAAGGGGTTGCCAACTTGTCTGGACGTTGGTTTTAATAGCAGCATAATACACAGGAATCAGTAGGTGAAGCTTTTTAGAAGAAAGGAGATAAGCAAAATAGTAGCAACCTGGTAAATGTTACTGGTAACATGTGCTGGCGGTGAATATTGAATTGAAGAGCCACCTATAACCCTTGACAATACTCAATAGCCGTCTGTTTCAGCTTCTAAACATGGCCTTTCATGACAAATCAAACATTTGGGTTGACTTACAAGACAATACAAATAAACTTGACAGCATATTCTAGGCGGGGGGGGGGGGTTGAGAGAATTTGGTGGTGATTTTGGATCTGAGTGACTGGCATCTGCAATGGAATTTTGTAGAAAGGAGACTCCAGAATACTTTCACCTTGAATTTGGCTTCCCATTACACACAGCTATGCTGGGCCTATTCAGCAGGGTCCAGGCTTTGGTGTGTGGTAAAGTTATCATCAGTGCATGCCTAGAAGTCAGCATTCCTCATTCATGGTGCTGATCTGGCCATCGCTGTCTAGTCATCCAAGGCTCTTGTCTATGCCATGCAGCAGGCCCAGGAATGCCCCAAATGTGCAAGGAGGAGGCTTCTAATATTGTTGTTGTTGTTAAAGAGTAAATAGGATGCTGTAGGCAGCATCATCTGTGTTCTGCAGTTTCAATCCACAAATGCAGCATTTTTCAATAATCAGAAGTTTCAGCACATCAGCTTTTTATTTAAAGTATTTTAAAAGCAAGTTTCTGTCTTTTAAGGCTGCAAAGATGTTTTCAAAAACATGGGGTGAACCAAAATCCCAGCAACTTGAGAAGAGCAGAATTTCTGTGAATGGTCAGACTGGTTTTCAGTTATCCTCATAGCTCTTGCCCCTTACCATGACTAGCAGAAACAAAATATATTTGGTAAAATATATAAACACATGAAGATGTATATGGGATGGAGAATCCAGCTTTTATTGGAACAGAATTGAAGGGAGAATTTAACTTTTTTTTAAAGAAAGAAAGATAGAACACAGTTATCAGATGCATTGGCAATGATGGATCAAAACATCCACGCAAAGCTATGAGCAGCCTGGTCCTGTAGCCTTATGAGGCTTTGGCCTCGGGTGGGAAAAATATTGTGCCCGTCTGAACATGCTGAAAACCCCTTGGCTTCTCACTCCCCCTTTCCTGGGAATAGTCCCAAGACAGCTTTCTGTTCATGCTCAGAGGAACTCATGGGCAGGACTCTGGAAGAAGGAGGAGAAAGGGGGAGGGAACTGGAATGGGAATATATGCTTGTGCACATGACTGTGAACTCGTGCATGCTTTTTGTGAGTTATCACACTTGCTCCTTCTACCAGTTCATGGATGGTAGAAATAAAGCTTTTTCTCTGAAACTATTCCTTGAGTGTCTGTTGACTCCCACTTCCCTTTCCCGGGCGCAATATTTTTCCCACCTGAGGGCAAAGCCTCATAAGGCTACAGTCCTATTGATCATTTTTATCTACCACAGCACAAAAAGTGGTTTGCACCCTGAAAAGTGAAGCAGTGCCTTCTGCTGAGCCTGCTTTTCTGAGTATCTACAAATGGTGACCCACCAAACTAGCATCAGCCCAGATAAACCTGATAAACCTTCTGTTTTTTGCTGCTTGCCTGACATTACTAAAACAGGATTGTCCAACAGCTGCCAAGCTATGTGTCTGATGGCAAGGATGCATTTCTTGGCACAATGGAAGAACCAGATAGATGCCTTCTTAAAACTTTTCACTCAGTCATTTCTTTTGGGGTGATCCAACTATATCGATTTATTAATCCAACCTACAGGCTTGTGATGTATTTTGTATTTATTTTCTGGGTGTTATTTTGTTGTTTGCTTTTCACCATCATGACATTTTCTTGATGTTGGCAATGTAGACATTTTTGCAAATAATTAAATAAATAGGAGGGAGGAAGAGTACTTCATTGTCATTGCTGCAAGTAGGCCGCCGGCAACCAGATTTTTAAAGGCACCAATGGCAGTTAGGTTCTTGGATTCTTGCAGTGCTGGCTGGCGAGTTGTGTTTCAGTTGGTGGATTTCAAATTGTGCAGACCGTGTGTGGAATCTTTGTGCAAATGAAAACAAGGCTCGGTGGTCCAATGAACTAGGACAGAGATGAGCGCCCCCATCCTATAATGTGAGGCTTAGTTTAAATACTTCATTAATAGGGCTGTGAGACTTGAAGTCTCCTGTTCACAAAGTATTTAATTTAGTGCACTGTATTAAAACTACTTTGGTACCACTGAATTTGTTTAATCTAAATTGGCATACATGGCTTGCACTGTTTGCCTTCTGCCTTCCACCCATCTTCATGAAGACTGAATCTGAAAGACAAATAAGAATCCAGATTAAATATTAAAGAATGTCTTAAAATGGAGAATTTATGTGTGAACTCTTGACAGAAAATAGCCTGATATGTGGGGTTAGAACTATTGGAAAGGTGCCCCATCAATATCCTTTCACTTTGCTTTGTAATGAAGTAAAACCCCTCAGGAATGTAACTGCTGCCTTATCCTGAGTCAGACCATTGGTCAGTTTAGCTCGGTGATGCCTACACAGGCTGGAATCAGCTTTCCAGGGTTTCAGACAGGCGACATAAGAATATAAGAACATTAGAAGAGACTGCTAGATCTAGTCAAGGGCCATCTACTCCATCTTCCTGTTCTTGCGGTGGCCAACCAATTGAATTGCCTGTGAGAAATCTGCAAGCAGGACTGAGCACAAGAGCCCTCTTCTCTCCTGCTGTTTCCAGCAACTGGTATTCAGAAGCATTACTGCCTCTGACTGTGGAGGCAGAGCATAGCCATCATGGCTAGCAGTCAGCCTTACTTAAGTATGGGACCTTCGCCGTACAAAGCAGATGCTCTGCAACTAAGAAATTACTTTATAATGGATTTAACGTTGAAAAAACTAAACCCGATAAAGCAATTTATTGAAAAGGAGTGTTCATGCCAACAAATTGGAATATGTGGGTTAGTCTGAGGCAATGAATGCTGGCATTAGCCCTGTTCAGATATTCATTAACCAACAAATGAGCATATGTTATTGTCTCGTGAGTGTTGCATCCCCTGAGCCTATCCTGCACTGAGCCCAAGCATATCCACCTACAATCTGGACTTGGCGCCTTTAACTGCTACTGATATACCACCCTCTCTGCTGCCCAGTGGCTTCCCTTACTGGCTGAGGGGGTCTCAGGTGTGATATTTGACAGACTCAGGGTCTTAGACTTGGGGCACTTCAGTCCCAAAGTCCAGCCCTACTGTATATGGCGAGGGAAAGGCTCTTGGCATGAATTTTGGTAGAGAAGAAAGCATGGTCGATAGTATAATGGAGATGTGTGGAGTCCTAGCATAGGGCTTCCATATCCTTTGATCATATCCTCAGTCATACCTTGGTTGTCAAATGCCTTGGTACTCGGACCTTTTGGCTCCCGAACGCCACAAACCCGGAAGTGAGTGTTCCAGTTTGCAAACGTTTTTTGGAAGCTGAACGTCCGACGCGGCTTCCACTTGAGTGCAGGAAGCTCCTGCAGCAAACCGGAAGCCACGTCTTGGTTTTTGAACCATTTCGGGAGTCGAACGGACTCCCGGAACGGATTAAGTTCGACAACCAAGGTACCACCTTATATTTAATAAGTGGATTGCCACTATATTTAGTGATTCCTCCTTTGTGATTAATTTATATGGCTGGATCAAGATGGGCCACTTCTGAGAGCTAAAGGCGCTTTCTTAAAGGTGGTTCAAGCCATATCATTCCACCTTAAACATCTGTAGCTTTCCCCAAAATCCTGGCTGGGGACAGTAGTTTGTTAAGGATGCCGAAACTCCTATTCCCATCACAGAGCTACAGTTCCCTGGAAAGAGGGATTGACTGTTAAACCACTCTGAGAATTACAGCTCTGTGCAGATGAAGCCTTCCTAGGAGTAAGCCCCAATGAACACATGCCCATTTCTTAACTTGGCTAGTGTTGTTGTACATAATGAAATTCTGACTGTATTCAAGTATGAGTGAGTAACATAGAGAATGAGAGTAGCAAACAACAAATTAAGACCCTTCAGTATAGTGTGTGTGTTACATCTTTCAAAAAATTGTGGTGCAACATGCCCCTGAACCTTTTAGTAGTGGATTACTCATATATCTCATGAACTGCTATATTATTCTTTCCTTCATCACCATTTAACATGAAGCCTGTCCCCATTTTCCCTTGTATGTTTCATTTGGCTTTGAATATGACCCTCCAGTAGCTGACCGGCTTCGTCCAATGAACAAATTACATTGCATGATTTCCCCAATTCATTTTCTCCCTCTTTTGTCGCTTTTAAAACACTTCTAAAATGGGAGAGAACAGCCCCAGTCTGCATCTCAGCGAAGGCAGCAGGTTCAACAGATGTTGCTGAGTTTGTTCAGTCGGGCGTTCTCAATAACTGCAAAACTGCTAATTGTGACAGGCAGCAGATTTTATAACCTTGTGCTGGCATCCAGTTACAGTGTTCCCTGCCTAAATCAGCTTTGCCAAATGTATTCCTACGGCTGCTGCATGCTCAAAGCCCACAAAGACTGGAGACAGACAAAAACAATCTTATTTATGTAAAATGTTAGTTAGATGCTCTTCAGCTGTAGCTCCCTAAACATAACTTCTTATTATCTTTAAAAAAAACTAATATCCAGATTTTCTTCCATCATGAAACCCAAGGCAGCGTATATACGAATATAAGGCAAGACTGCTGGATCAGAACAGTTGTCCACCTAGTCTAGCATCCTGTTCTCACAGTGGCCAGCCAGATGCCTGTGAGAAGCCTGCAAGCAGGACATGAGCACAACAGCACTCTGCCCACCTGCAGATCCCTGCAACTGGTTTTCAGAGACATGGTGCCCCTGCCAGTGGAAATAGAGCATAGCCAAATGGTTCTTTTGCATACACCCCTCCCTTCTGAGCTTACCTTCTACTTGCATTGGGGTAAAAGCTCTATTTACACCAATGGAAGTTTTGCTTCTAACGTGAGTAACAGGTGTGTGGGACCTCTGTGTGACGCAAATGGACCTCTTGCTCCACTTGCTAGGGTCGTGATCCAGACTGATAACTGTATAACTGTATGAATGGTGTCTAATCTCAAGGACCTCCTCTTTCCATATGAACCAACCCAGACCCTGAAATCATCTTCTGGTTTTTTAAAAAAAATAATATTTATTACTTTTCCAAAAAATTTAAACACTAAAAAAAAATACAATACAATACATTAAACTAACAAAACAAAACAAAACAAAAACAATAAAATAAATCAAACAATTTCATTATCCCATCTTTCATTCACTTATTTCCACGACCTCCTCACACCTCCCTTTTTGTATTCCACTTCTGTTAATTATTTCAGCAATTCCTTTCCATCTTCCTCTGTTTTCTATCCTATAATTATCTTAACTCATTCTAACCTTATTTCTTCCTTTAGTACTCTATTATCTATTTATACTTAATTCCTTATAACATTTCTACTAAAGCCATGTAACTTCATTCCAACATTTTTCTAACATTCATTGATTTTACAGTATTTCTGTAAATAATCTTTAAATTTTTTCCAATCTTCTTCCACCGACTCTTCTCCCTGGTCTCGGATTCTGCCAGTCATTTCTGCCAATTCCATATAGTCCATCAACTTCATCTGCCATTCTTCCCGGGTGGTTAAATCTTGTGTCTTCCAATATTTTGCGATGAGTATCCTTGCTGCTGTTGTTGCATACATAAAGAAAGTTCTATCCTTCTTTGACACCAACTGGTCAACCATGCCCAGGAGAAAGGCCTCTGGTTTCTTCAGGAAGGTATATTTGAATACCTTTTTCATTTCGTTATAAATCATCTCCCAGAATGTCTTAATCCTTGGGCATGTCCACCAAAGGTGTAAGAATGTGCCTTCAGTCTCGTTACATTTCCAACATTTATTATCGGGCAAATGGTAGATTTTTGCAAGCTTGACTGGTGTCATGTACCACCTATAAATCATTTTCATTAAGTTTTCTCTTAGAGCATTACATGCCGTAAATTTCATACCTGTAGTCCATAACTGTTCCCAGTCAGCCATCATTATGTTGTGTCCAACATCTTGTGCCCATTTAATCATTGCTGATTTCACCGTTTCATCCTGATTATTCCATTTCAACAGCAAGTTATACATTTTTGACAAATTTTGGAATCTAACAATTCTGTTTCCAATTTTGATTTTTCCACTTGGAAACCAACTTTTTTGTCCAAATTGTATGCCTCCATTATTTGATAATAATGGAGCCAATCTCGCACTTTATTTTTCAAAGCTCTGCAATTTTATTCTGCCTCCATCTTGATCCAGAATTTCCCAATATTTCAGGCAAGAAGCCTGAAATCATCTTCTGAGGCCCTCCTTCCTATACCTCCTCCTCGAGTGGTCTGGAGGGTGGAAACACAAGAACAGACCTTCTTCCTCAGTGGCTCCCCATCTGTGGAATGCTCTCCCCAGGGAAGTTCGCCTGGTGCCTTCATTATACACCTTTAGGCGCTAGGCAAAAATGTTAATTTTGATTTTATGTATTGTGAAATTTTCTGTGAACCGCCCTGAGAACTCCAGGTATAGGGCGGTATATAAATTCAATAAATAAATAATCTAGCTTTGCCCTGATCAAGGCATCCTCAATTTAGAAAGTTTTCTGTTGTATATTTTTCAGCAGAAAACCTCCTGTTTTTATCAATGTATGGCTTCATAATATTAATTAAAAACATAATGCAGCTCCCATACGAGTCAAGCTAGGTGGCTGGAATGGTTACACAATACCAGCGAAATCCAAAATTAACTTTTAATTAATTAACTTTTCTCAAGTTAATTAAAGACAGGCACAAGAGACAGGGCCTTCTTAGTGGTGGCCCACTGCTTATGGTACTCCCTCTTCATAGGGGTATTTGTGGCCACATTGATACCAGACTTTGTTTATTTAAAAAAGAAGCCTTGAAGACCCACTTCTTTCACTTGTCTTTTGGTTCAGACTTGGTTTGGCTTGATGCTGTTTTAGAAAATATTAGTTCCAATCAGTTGAATTGAGGAAGCTGGCTTTCTATTAATTCCCTAAAATTGTTGCACTTCATGATGTTTGGTCACCAGGGGGATGTATTGAAGGTCAGGCTACCACAAAAAAGCAAAGAAGTGCCAGGAATTATAGACCCAGGTCATGTTATCTTTCGCACAGCCCTGCTGGGCCTGGTTGTTGCACTTCCCAGCAGGGGATTCCCCCAAACCGAGCCTTCTGGCACAGAATCTGCTCTGCCATTCTCAGGGGAAAAGGAGCCGTGTTTTAGACTGGAATGTTCAAGCGACAATTCCTGAGTCTTTGTGCACGCACTGATAGGTACGTTAATATCTGGGTGAGGAGAGGCGGAAGAGAAATGCAGACTGAATGAAAAATTCAGTGATGAGCCATGTTTGCTGTAATGCTGCTTTTTGAACTCGGGAGAGGTTCATCTAGTGTACGTTTTTCTTCATGGCAAGATCATCACAGGCTTCACACTGCTACCGTTTAATTCCTGCCATGCTCAGCCTCAAGCAGATGCAAGCAGACAATCGGACTGATGCTGATTTGCCTCATTTGAAGAGCGGATTCACTGCACGGTGCTTCTCTCCATCAGTAAGTCCCATTGTAACAGGCACAAGCGAGAGAGCAGGTTCAGTGCATTTATTTAGTGCATGCATTAAGTACCTAGATACTTGGGCAAAACCGCTGTTGGATTTTGTTCCAGAAATGGCAAAATGCTATATATTAGCTGGCAGTTCCTTGCGAAGTGAGATCACATTTTAACGTATCGCTAATATAATTTTGTTCGTACGGCAGTTCCAAACCGCTATACTGGTCGGCATTTATGCGGCAATTTAGGGCGTTCAAAGCATTTCCTGCACATTCTCTTGTTTGTAATCCTGTAATCTTGTTTGTAATTATATGGCAAATAATCCTGTAAGGTAGATCGGTTTTATTCTTCTCAGATTGCAGGGGAGGGTCTGAGTTTATGAGAATGTGGAATGCCTATAACCATCCACTGTATTCAAGGCAGAGGTTTGCTTCAAACAGGGTGGGGGAGGGAGGCTGAGGCTTCCTGATTTGCCACTCAAATCTCTCATGGTGCTTCCAAATGGGGGTTTAATAATGCAAACACACAAATCAAATAGATCATTAGATATATAGAGATAGGTAGAGATAGAGAGATATAGTTGGATTTTCTGCCAAAAGGGTATATCCAAATTAAATCAGGGGCGAGGGGAGGGATACAAACTGGAATTTTGATACCAATGGCATCATGTGGAAAATGAATAACTGGCATGCATGAGAAGCACCAACCACACAATAAACACTGATTTTGAAGCACCCTTGGTATTTGTACAATATGCTGTGAGGGCATCAGAATTAGCGTCTCTAGGAATTCAAATAGCCTGATTATAGCTTCTTAAAAGCCAATGTGGAGGCAGTGGTTAGAGTGCTGGACTCGAATATGAGAGACTAGAGTTCAAATCCTCACTCACAAGGAAGCTCACTGGTTGACCTGGTTGGCCAGTCACTGTCACTGGTTGGCCAGTCACTGTCTCTCAGACTAACCTACTTCACGGGATTGTTGTGAAGATAAAACTCAGAGAGGGGAGAAACATGTATGACATTTTTATCCTTGGAAGATATGTGGAATATAAATGAATCTTTAAAAATAAATAAATCACCTCTTTAATACCCAAAGTGTGAAGGGAAGATGAGAAATTTCAGTCCTGTAGGAACGTGTTATTCTGTATCAGGAATAATCCCTGGTAGATTCCTCTCACTTGGCTTACTTTTTTTGCGTTTTGAAATGCCTTATTAACATGTTTGTTAATGTGAGTTACAAGAGTTACCAGAGTCGGCATTCTTCAGTCCTCTACCCTGTCCCAGGAGTCTCCAGAACAGGAGAGGGGGCCCTGCAGATCTTGTTGGACTGCCTCCAACTCCCATCAGCCCCAGCCAGCAATGATCAGGGATGAAGAGAGTCATGAGTCAATCCGACAACATCTGGGTGTCCACCAGTTCCCCACCCCTGCTCTGTAAGTTAAATATCTGAGTGAAGACTGGATGCATCTCGTCTCTAGTCCGCATCCATGTGACTCAGGTGTGGGAAACCTTTGGCACATGAGACCTCATTGTACAACAACTTCCATCATTGTTGGCCTTGGCCATGATTGCTAGGACTGATGGGAGTTGTAGTTGTGCAACGTCTGTAGGGCCAAAGGTTATCCACTCTCATGTACAGCCTGCTATATGTGTTTCCCAATAGGCAAATAAAGAGGCAGACACATAAACTAGGCCACTTTTATATAACCTTCAATTAAAATCAGCAGAAGGGGTTTGACTGTGAGGTGGGAACTGACTATACTGGATAACTATAGCCTTTGGGAGACCCAGACTTGCCCAAGGAATTAGGGAACAGCTCCCTAGCCTACTTGATTTGAATATGGTTTCAGAGGAGGCCCCTACCTCCTTTTTAACCAGGCCTTTGGTTGATCTTATTGACATCCAACACCATTTTAGAATGTGGCTTTGGGGGGGGGGGTTATTGGGTTATTGCTTTTGATTTGATCTTATATGTTGTGGTCTTGTTGTGAACCGCCCTGAGACCTCCGGGTATAGGGCGGTGTATAAGTTCAATCAATCAGTCAGTCATTAAAAACAATACCTTACCCTCTGAACTGTGGAGTCCAAAAAGTGAACCTCGGGGCCAACCGATCACCTGAAAGGTAATGAAAGGGTATCACCAGGCTCAACCAAACTATTTCTTTCCCCACACCTAAACTGCCAAAAGTGACAAAATCAAGCAGATTTACCTATTTAAACAACACAGTAGTCCGACGTGCACCCTGTCAAGTGTGAATGAAGCAGATGGGGGGGGGGAATCCTACATAGTCTCCTAGTGACGACCCCAAAGCACACTGGGAAGCTGCTGCAAAACGGAGAGGCTGGAGGGAAGGCAGGCTGTTCCTTATATAGGGATCAAGCCCTCCCTCCCTCCTTGGACCACCTTTGGAATGTGCCAGTCAATGCCAAGGGTTTTCCCACGCTGCCTCTCTTGCACGCCGCTGTCTCAGCAACATCTGGGCTGCTTGGCGGAATGTTCTTCAGATGCTGCAACCGGTGATTTAGATTTTGAATGATTGAAAACACGTACTTTGTTAAACCAAATGAACAAATGCCCCCTTAGCTTTTAAATGAGCATTGGACACAGGCTCTTTAACAAATATAGCTCACAGCGAGCAGAGTGGAACCTACAGCAACAAGTAATGGTGGTGGAGGAGGAAGCGTCAGGTAGTAGCTCCCAGTGTGGGAATGGGTACAGGAATAGGGTCCTTGGTGTGTTACATTCAGGCTCCTGCTCTCATCTGTGAAACATTGCAGGGTGTGTGAATGCCTTTGCTGAATTTGCTTTCTTTTCCTTTCATTTTCAGACCAATTACCCAGTTTACCAGGATAATTATGCACCCTCCTGATAAACTCAAAAGTATTGGCGATCCTTCCAGTTTAGCACAGTGTACTAATTTGATGAGCACACTCGCTCTCTGTTCCTGAATCCAAGTCATTAATAAAAATGATGATCAAGCCCTGGCCTGGGAATGATTCCTTCGGGACCATGCTTAACTTCGCTTAATTATTACTTGATAAATACTCAATTGCACTTTAAGAATAGCTTGTCATCACGTTATGTACATACCTGATGGTAGCTTCCTTTCCTGCCCCAACCACAATCACTTAATCAAAATTTATTTTTACTTACAGAGATGCCCTTTAGAAAAATTAGCAAGAAAAATAGAGAGTCAACAGTAGGTATTTTAGGATGCAATCCTGCACAAAATTAGGCTCATTGAATCTAATACATGAAATGCATGATTGTATTTCATGGAGGGGTGTCTGTAATGTTTACTTTCAATTCATTAAATTAGGAAAGGAATTCATGAAATTCAATTCCTGAAATTAGGAAATTCATGAAATTGGGAAAGGAGGTGTGTGGCGTCTGCCCTCCTAGGTGTGTGACATCATACTGGGTTCATAGAGAAAGGATTAACTAATTGTAAAATGACTAACCAATGGGAACCCAGGGGGCAGAGTTATCTGTGTATAAGGTTTAAGCACAGAGGTTTTTTGGGGGGGGGAGTTGGAGTTAGAGTTAGGGTGGTTGAGAAGACAGTCTGGAGTTAGAAGAGACAGATAAGATAAGTCTGTGGGTTGGGCTAGTCTGGTGTGAGAGAGTGAGAGAATTTGTTAAGAGGAGTCAGTCAAACAGTTGAGATAATCAGTCAGAAGGTATCAGGAAGGTATAGGCCGGTAAAGAAACTAAAGTTAAGGTACTGACAGGAATATTATCGGAGAAACGATAAACTGAGTCTGGACTCAGTGTTTTACCAGAGAGTAACTGGTTGGTGGCAGCGGGGAAGCGAGCACAGTGGTGGCACAGGGATCAATAGACCATTAAACGTCCGTGGACCTTGTGTGACTGCCACAAGGTGTTAACTCTTTTATCCTTGATTACAATAAAAATCACACACGCACACCCCTCATCTAAGTTGCTGTTGCTGAAGGATTGAAGCCACAGGGATTAACTGCAGGTCCATAAGAGTTTTAGATTTATTTGATCAAATTGCTGAATTAAACCAAATTAGTTTATCCACAAAAGTAATGGGGACCACATTGTAATTTTTTATGTTTATCTATTGCATTTATATCCCACCTTTTCCTCCAAGGAGCTTAGGGTGGCATACATGGTTCTCCCCTTCCTCATTTAATCCCCACAACAACCCTGTGAGGTAGGTTAGGCCGCGAGGCAGTGACTGGTCCAAGGTCATCCAGTGAAATCCATGGTCTAGTGGGGATTTGAACCCTAGGCTCCCAGGTGCTAGTCCAACACTAACCACTACACCACAAGGGCAGGTTGCATCTGGTTCAACAATCTTGTAATTGTTTACAGCATATTCCTCAGTGTCTTCACACATTTCCCAGACACACATGGTTCCACTTCCCAGAATTTCAATCTCTGGTTTTAAATCTTGGTTTCTCTCTTTTCAAAGGAAAATAAAAGTAATAAGGGATGCAGCCCAGCCAAAAGCACCAGATTATTTTAAGGTGCAATAAATTAAACGGGAATAAAAAAAAATAGGTTTGTGCCACTTACTGGAAATGTATGGAATTTTGCAACTGGTGTTATTAATGACTAATTTCGGCCAGTTCTGCTTGTGGTTCTTGTGGCTATCATTGCTGGGAGGTGATGTTGGATTTCAAAAGGTGTTGAAAAAGTCTGAAATTGTGTAACTCTCCTTCTCAGACATGGACTGAAACTATTGAGTTTCAGAGGCCACAGGCACGTGCAGTTCTACATGCGTATATCTTCCTAACATGCAAAAATATGATAAACATTGACATTGTTGTATAAACACTGACAAATCCAGATGAATTTTTGGCTGGCTGACAATAGATACGTCTTTCCTGATACATATATTTGTGATGTAAATTTAAATACGATATTGTAACATTTCAACACTTGTTGTAACATCCAGTGCTTTTTTCTGGAAAAAAATGATCATTTTCCTACTCATATTGAAATACTGCCCTCAATGAGGCCAAACTTAGATTCACAAAATGTTTAAGGGTATGCGTACCCTAGCGTACCCCCCAGAAAAAAAGCACTGGTAACATCTATTTTCCTACTCCATGTTCGTTTGGAATACATTGAGGTTCTACCATCCTAAGCCTACACAGAGACATAGAAGCATAGTCTGACTCAGTGTAGGAAGCTGCAGTGAAAGTTGGTCCATTAGAGCAAAAGAGACATAAGTCTGCCCATAGCCAGACGCTGCCTGCCTGCCTTTTTGCTTGCAACCTGATCAAGCGATGGCCCAGAGAGGAGGATGGGGACAAAACTAGAATTACCTTATTTTTCTGTCTATAAGACACCCCCATGTATAAGGTTTTCTCCGTAGTGATGTATGGAAGTGAGAGCTGGACCATAAAGAAAGCTGACTGCCGAAGAATTGATGCTTTTGAATTATGGTGCTGGAGGAGACTCTTGAGAGTCCCATGGACTGCAAGAAGATCAAACCTATCCATTCTTAAGGAAATCAGCCCTGGAAGGACAAGATCATGAAGCTGAGGCTCCAATACTTTGGCCACCTCATGAGAAGAGAAGACTCCCTGGAAAAGACTCTGATGTTGGGAAAGATGGAGGGCACAAGGAGAAGGGGACGACAGAGGACTAGATGGTTGGACAGTGTTCTCGAAGCTACCAGCATGAGTTTGACCAAATTGCGGGAGGCAGTGGAAGACAGGAGTGCCTGGCGTGCTCTGGTCCATGGGGTCACAAAGAGTCAGGCACGGCTAAATGACTAAACAACAACAACAATATGTATAAGATGCCCCCTATTTTTGGAGATTCTGATTTAAGAAAATGGGGGGAGATGGCCCCCGTGTATAAGATGCCCCCAAATTTTGGACATTATTTTTTAGGGAGAAAACCTAGTCTTATACAAGGAAAAATACACTACTTGGCTCTGGGTCCACCTACAGTTGGTCCCCCTGACTTCCGCCCTTCCAGCTGTGATAAGCACATTTAAAACAGGACTAAATCCCTAGCAAGTGGACACACATGGTCAGCAGTGGAGGAAGCCACTCGGGCACCTGGGGCAGGGCAAGCCACCCATAGCGGCAGGGCAAGGGTGGGGTGAGCCGCCCATAGGGGTGGGGCGCACCGCGGGACCTCTGGAGTCTGCCTGCCTCCTCCCACTCAGCCGCCCTACAGCTGGGTGGGAGGCAGCGGGCGGACCATTTGTGCAACACGAAGCCTGGCTCAGGCGCGTGGCTCGGGCGCACTGCAGGCCCCACGGTGACTGCCGCCTGGCATTTTGTCACCCCCCCCAGTGGTGACACCCGAGGCAGACCGCACCCACTGTACCCCCCTTCCTCTGCCCCTGCACATGGTGAAGGTCCATTTATCCAGCTGGGAAAGCCTGTTGGAACAAAAATGTCTTAAATTGTTTCCAGAAAGGGCAAGTAGCGAGTGCCTGTCTGATCTTAACAGGAAGGCTATTCCACAGAACAAGGGCAGCCACACTAAAAGCCCTTCCTCCAAGTTACTACTGGAGTGTGTGTAGTATTTATATGCTATGTTGATGGTTTTCAACATAGAACGCCCTCCCATCAGATGTCAAGGAGATAAACAACTATCTGACATCTAGAAGACATCTGAAGGCAGCCCTGTTTAGGGAAGTTTTTAATGACTGATGTTTTAATGTACTTTTAATCTTTTGTTAGAAGCTACCCAGAGTTGTTGGGGAAACCCAGCCAGATGGGTGGGGTATAAATATTTATTATTATTATTATTATTATTATTATTATTATTATTATTATTTCTTCACACTTTTGTGAAGAAGGCATGGTTATGAAATGCATTAACTAAATGAAATCGATGGCTCTCTCCTGCCTCTGCTTACAGATAACTATAATTTTGTTTGCTTGCTTGCTTCTATTAGTGTAGTACAGATGATAGGATATAGGGATTTTTGTTTCATTGTGGACAGCTGAACTAGATAAATGTGGAAGATCATTTGAGTTGGCAGTGCTGTGTGCTGCTACACACACACAAGGAAGAATTTGGTAAGAAAGGGACATTTTCTTGTCACGTAATGATACGTACAGTAAGTGTCCAACGGAGCAGAGAAAAAAATGATGGTGACAAATAGAAAACTACCTAGTTCTGTGTAGCTTATTTGCTACTTTTAAGCCATAAAATGGAAGTCTTTAAACAAAGCTTCTGGCACTTGTCTTGAAAAGGGAATGTGTTATTAGGCTTCCTTGATAAAGAGATCCCACAATTTGGCAAGGCAAATAACTCTTCATTAACTCTGTTACACCGGCAGCTCTCCCTCACATCTTCCTTTTGATCAATGAACCAGGAACTTCCCTGAGAGATAGATCACTGGATTCAATTTAGGAAGCTTGTCAGTAGCATAACTCAGTGATTTGCTTTCAGCAAAGAGCTGGGGCATACACACAAGTGACCTGTTTTCCCTCACTATCACTTTTGTGAGTTCACAACTATATGGAGAACTGTTCCTGCTAGTGTGACCTCAGTTTGACCTCCTGACCCCTAGCTTAGCCTAACATATTTTTGCACATGGTTATTTATCAGCCCAGCATCAGCCCCTGACATCCTTGAGGTGCACTTGCTGGGTTCACAGGTGTCTGGTCTGGTCCTGAGCCCACCCCTCTGTTTGGATTTACCTAGTTACAGTGGCAAGTGGCTATGAGTGATCTGCCATTTTAAGCTTGTCACACTATGGTCTCTTTAGGATACGTTTTCCTCTTAAAAATGAGCATAGGAGGCAGTTTGGTACCATCTGCACAACATGAAAGGACAGCAGTAGAGTAGGTCTTTTCATGACCACTTGTTTTGATTGCCACTCTTTTGATCCCTTTCATATCAACAGTTCTGTTGGAAGGCACATCAAAATTGAGAGGCACCTCGTCCATGTTTGCAATCTGACTTGGTTTTTTGGAGTTTTATGACATAGAAGTGAAATGCTTGAATTTTATCCTCATAAGCATTTTCTGCACTAACTTGGTTCGTGTTCCCATAGCCAAGCCTTCTCTCCTCATGAAGTTGTAGCACCATTTTGCCTTTCCTATGAAGTCAGCAATGTTCATTTCCTTTGCAAACCTTTTTGCCTCATATTGTATCATCTTGGTTGACACACTTATCCCACTTTGACATTGCTCCATAATCCTTGTCTTAAGCCTCTGCTCCAAGTTTGGCCATTTTGCTGGTTTTTCTCTTAAGGCCCTTTTCTGTTTTGGCATTTTGAGGAGACGTTCTTCCTGTTTTCTCCACTTTCTGATCATGCACTCAGTGGGGGGACTTTATTTCCATGGGTTTTTTGCGTAATTGATGACTTTTAACTTGAATTTTGAAGAATATGTCAATCTTTTTTATTTTCTGACATTTTTATGGGCTAGTGCTAAAAAAACTGTTAATGCAGTACAGTGGTACCTCGGGTTACATACGCTTCAGGTTACATACGCTTCAGGTTACAGACTCCGCTAACCCAGAAATAGTACCTCAGGTTAAGAACTTTGCTTCAGGATGAGAACAGAAATCGTGGTGGCGCAGCGGCAGCAGGAGGCCCCATTAGCTAAAGTGGTGCTTCAGGTTAAGAACAGTTTCAGGTTAAGAACGGACCTCCAGCACAAATTAAGTACTTAACCAGAGGTACCACTGTACTCTGAAGTTACGGTAATGGCTCCACAGTGCATGCTGGGAGACAACAGCAGGTGGTGTGAGTACATGCTGGGACATCACAGATTATTCCCTCTGATCCCCATTTCAGCCCCCATAAACATCAGAAAGCCAGACCTTTCTCATTACAAACATTACAACCTAGAGCATGGATTTAAACTTGATTTGATGATTCCAGAATTCCTGTCCTAAAATCCACTCTTCCTTTTTGCTACTCTTTTTTTTCTATTATTTTTATCACTTTTAGATATGTTTTATTTTGTATTATATATGAAGTTTATTTGACATTTATTTGACATTGTGGGACATTGAGGCAAGCTGTGTAAAGAATAGCAATTCTATCAACTAATACTAACCCATTTTAGAAAATACATCCTTATAATCATGCCTGAGGATAGTGGAAATGATCCAATCTAGGAGAGTGTAAACAACCCCTAGGAAAAAACATTTCCTTAAGCATGCTTAGCATTCCCAGGAGTCCTGCGGGGATGACACACACAACATATACTATAGTTTCCTTACCCTTATTAAATCAAATTATACAAATGCAGCTTTGATTGTCTTTCCTTTGATCATACAATAAGAGGCATCACTATGTGCCTGGAAGCAGCAAATGCTGAGGAATGATTGTGATTGGAATCTCTTGAAACTGGAACGAAAGGTTTACCCGATGATTTATTATCATGAAAATTAGTCTATGGAACCACAAAGAAATAATTCCTTCTGTGTCTGATGTCACATAAGCTTAGTTCTTTGCTAACTTTTCAAGAAATTATAGACTTCCATGTTACAATGTACATTCATTCACAGTCCGTCTTTCTCAGCATCACTTTCAACCGCACTAATAATTTATCCTCACGGGATAGGTCAAGAATCCCTCCTTATCTTTCAAAAGCTAATTTTAGTGAACCAGAGAGAGAGAGAGAGAAAGGGAAGGAAGGAAGGAAGGAAGGAAGGAAGGAAGGAAGGAAGGAAGGAAGGTTGATGGTACACAATTTTAGTTGATGGGATTATTGCACAGATAATGCAGAAATATGAATGGAGGGTTCTACTACAGTCGTACCTTGAAAGCTGAACGGAATCCATTCCGGAAGTCCATTGAACTTCTAAAACATTTGGAAACCAAGGCACAGCTTCCGATTGGCTGCAGGACACCGGATGTACAGTTTACAAAGAACGTTCGCAAACCGGAACACTCACTTCCAGGTTTGCGGCATTCGGGAGCCAAAACGTGCGAGTGCCAAGGCGTTCAGCTTCCAAGGTACGACTGTACTTGTAAGATCATTGGAGAGACATTGCTTTTCTCAAAGCTGAGTAACTTTAACTTGACATACACAAACAGAAGATGTATCGTTCATACATTTCATCATCTGAAAGAAGAAATCTTTAAATGCTCTCCCTTATTAATGTCTGGCCCCAATTCAAGATGCTAGTGCTGATCTTTAGAAAGCTAATACCAAAGGGCAAATATTATTAGTAGCATTAGAAAAATTTTTGCCTGTCATGTAAAACTAGATAAAGTTGGTGTCAGGTGTACCTCCCTAGGGAATAGCCAACATGCCTTCTAAGGAGGTCCTTGTTAATCTGGCCCGGCTGGGCTCAAGGAAACACTGGAATCAGTTGCAATCTTAAGTCTGTGGTCCTTGTCTGTGGTTCAGTGTTGTCCAAAAATTCGAGGTACAAATCTGAAAGCAGACATTGCACCCACAGCTTCAAAAAGCAAATCTGATTGCTGTGGTAATGTAATAATGATTTAGGAACCTTAAAAAGAATACTATGGAAAAGAAAAAATCTAAAATTATGTCACTGGTATATTCATCTCCATATAGAGCTACAAATGTTCTAGTTTTGTGGTTTTAAATTTTCCCATTTCATTGCATAGGATTCTGGGATATATTCTAGTGTCCCCAGACCAGTGGCCAGCCCTGTTATTACTGATAAGTGTGTGTGCCTTTGCACACATTTATTTGAACATGTATTTTACACGTGTACTCACAAAATGGCTAATTTGGGCGAATTAGCAATACTTATCTAGGGATCTTTAGTGGAGAAAATTGGATGCTACAGACATGATGGCATTAACTGGGATTGGCTTGTTTACTTTGCGGCTTTTAGCGGTAATCAGTAAAACCCAATAAAAGCAATAACCGCTCTTGCTGTTGCAATTGCAATGTTTGTTTACAAATGAATAATGGTATTTAGGGGTAAGATCATGCCAAGGTAAAATGATTTAGAAGCAATGACAACTGTTTTTGTGGCTCAAAATACCGTATGGAGCATATAATTTATTACTACTGCAGAAACAAAAGGGGAAGGACTAGAAGTGAAGCATTTCTGAACATGGAATTAAGAGACTCAGCTTTGCTATGGCGAGAGCAGGGGAACCAGGATGAGAAAATGTTACATGCAATAGTTCTTTCCGTCTCATGAGAGCCAGAGTTGGCTGAGATAATGGAGATGCAAAAGTTAGAGAGAAACTGTAGACTGGACTGGACTCTGTAGTCCATAGTCCACAGACTGGACTCTGTAGTCCATATATTAGCCTACCTTTACGTAAAAGGAATAGGAAGAATACTTTGGATCATGGTTTCACAATGGTTTGCTATAGCAGCAGGGTGAGAGCCACAACTAGTCTTGGATGCTTCAGCAGGAGTTTAGGTATTTAAAATAGTGTTTCCACCTGTTGGAACAGTGGCAGAATCCTAGCTTTCACTGGGGAGGCCAGTCACCCAACTCCAAATCGATTCACCACCACCATTGCTTCCCTTGGTTCTTGCGAACCCACCAAACCTTGGTTCTGAAATAAAAAAAAATCCCTTTTAGGAGCTGTGACGGTTCCCAAAGTAAAATAACATGGCATCCAGGGAATCGGTTAGATAATTGCAACCTGCTTGTGCCTGACCTATCCTGAAATCAAAGCAGGCTACTAGCACAGCCTGTACCATAACGGCACATTCATTGCTCAGAGCAAAGCCAAATCGCACATATTCTCGAGGCATGTACAGAGTTCCAGCTGAACTCATTGACACTATTTCCCCTTTGACAGCAATATGTGACTGAGTGTGCACAGTGAACTAGCACACACTCAAAACCTCTCCATAGCTGTGTAATAAAGGGGCAGATCAGCTGTGGTGAGCAAGCTATATTCAGGGAAGCTCAGCTTGCCATTAAAGAAACTTTTAAGGATATACTTTCAAAGAACCCCAGTTTCCTAGAAAGCAATCTGAAAACCACCAGGGCTCTAATAGATATCAAATTTTATGGTCTATAATTCAGGAAATGGTGCTGGACCTTCCACTTTGGACTGAGCACATTGTCTATGCCAAAATTCTGGTTTTAAATACAGTACTCTCTTCACATACTGTATTACAAAAGAAGGCATAGAATGGCAATGCAGTACGTTATGCAGTCCATAACTCTTATAAAATGGATTGCTCCCCGTAGTTTTCTAAAGCCTGTAGTCATGCTACTCACTGAATTTCATTGCTGCAAGTCTAATATAGAAAAATTTGGTGGGAAAGCTATTAATAATCAAGTTTGTATATTAATAGTGGTCCACTGGGATTTGGCTGCTGTGTTGAAAGTTTTCTGGTACTTAGGGAACCCAAGTCCCTAGAATACCTAAAGAAGCCTTGAAGTGGGGTGGGATATAATTTTCAGTGTTTTTTGCTGTCCTAAAAGCCACTCGTGTAAGTGGTATATTCTTGCTTACTTACTTTATCAATCATAACTGTTCTGAAATGGTAAAAGGAGCACCTACAGCATAGTCTTGTGCACATTTAACAAAAAAATAATAATGAACCTGGCTGTGTTTGATGGGTCTCACAGCAAAATATTGGTAGCATTGCATGAGTTAGGAGCTAGTAAGAGACTGGCTGCTTAAGATGAAATTCCACTTCTGATAGCTTTCCTTAGTGCTAGTTAGCACAACTTTCTCTTTTGCTTCAATACAGATTGAATGTTTTGTTTTGGGCATATTGTGGTTGATGATGATGATGTGTACAATCAGCCATCTCAAGGCACTCCACACATAAGATGATTAAAAAGCAGTTAAATACAAAAATATCAGATACATTTAAAACAACAACAACAACAACAATAATAATTTATACCCTGCCCATCTGGCTGGGTCCCCCCAGCCACTCTGGGCAGCTTCCAACAAAACACTAAAATACAATAACCTATTAAACATTAAAAGCTTCCCTAAACAGGGCTGCCTTTAGATGTCTTCTAAAAGTTTGGTAGTTATTTTTCTCTTTGAAAAAAAATCTGGTGGGAGGGTGTTCCACAGGGCGGGCGCCACTACCGAGAAGGCCCTCTGCCTGGTTCCCTGTAACCTCACTTCTCGCAAGGAGGGAACCGCCAGAAGGCCCTTGGCGCTGGACCTCAGTGTCCGGGCAGAACGATGGAGGTGGAGACGCTCCTTAAGGTATACTGGACCGAGGCCATTTAGGGCTTTAAAGGTCAGCACCAACACTTTGAATTGTGCTCGGAAACGTACTGGGAGCCAGTGTAGGTCTTTCAAGACAGGTGTTATATGGTCTCAGCGGCCGCTCCCAGTCACCAGTCTAGCTGCCACATTCTGGATTAATTGTAGTTTCCGGGTCACCTTCAAAGGTAGCCCCACATAGAGCGCATTGCAGTAGTCCAAGCGAGAGATAACCAGAGTGTGCACCACTCTGGCGAGACAGTCCGCAGGCAGGTAGGGACTCAGCCTGCGTACCAGATGGAGCTGATAAACAGCTGCCCTGGACACAAAATTGACCTGTGCCTCCATGGACAGCTGTGAGTCCAAAATGACTCCCAGGCTGCGCACCTGGTCCTTCAGGGGCACAGTTACCCCATTCAGGACCAGGGAGTCTTCCACACCTGCGCGCCTCCTGTCCCCCAAAAACAGTACTTCTGTCTTGTCAGGATTCAACCTTAATCTGTTAGCTGCCATCCATCCTCCAACCGCCTCCAGACACTCACACAGGACCTTCACCGCCTTCACTGGTTCTGATTTGAAAGAGAGGTAGAGCTGGGTATCATCCGTATACTGATGAACACCCAGCCCAAACCCCCTGATGATCTCTCCCAGCGGCTGCATGTAGATGTTGAAAAGCATGGGGGAGAGGACAGAACCCTGAGGCACCCCACCAGTGAGAGCCCAGGGGTCTGAACACTCATCCCCCCCCACCACTTTCTGAACACGGCCCAGGAGGAAGGAGCGGAACCACTGTATAACAGTGCCCCCAGCTCCCAGCCCCTCTAGACGGTCCAGAAGGATGTTATGGTCGATGGTATCAAAAGCCGCTGAGAGATCCAGCAGAACTAGGAAACAACAAGACGAAAGCCCTAATAAAGTATACACTTTCAGCAAAGACCCGTATACCCAGCTGGGAAAGCCTGTCAGAAAGTGCAGACAGTGGGTGCCTGTCATATCTTGATAGGAATGCTATTCCACAGAACAGGAGCAGTATAGTGGGAATTGATGAGCACTCACATGAATAAGTTTGCCACACTCTCACTGCATGTGGATGCAGAAGGTTACGCAGACACTGAAGACCACCATAATAAGTATGTCCAGCAACCTATTCACTCCAGCAGACACAGAATAAATCGAAAATGGATGACCAAAACCAGATCCCTTCTCTCCCTGCCCAGGGAGAAAGGCTTATAATGTTCATTTGATTTCAGTCTTCACTAATACATTTTCCATGATCCAATAAGGAAGAAAATTGCAATTCTCTAACTGTAAGACTTCTGCAGCAAGAAGCACGGCTGCAGCAGGAACTAAAATTGTCCCCAGACCTCCAGTTTATCTGGTGTATTCCTGAGTACAGCCTTTAGCTTTTAAAGAATGCTCAAATGTGGTTCATGTTCCTGTGCGTTTGCTCTGTATTCAGATATTTAGATTATATTATTATTATTTATCAATAAAAATTCATCAGATTGCAACACAAAGAAAAAACTTGTATTACCCTGAAACACCTTGTTCTGAAGTGAAACAAATTATGGAGACAAGTTTTGAAAGAAATTGCTGTCCACTTGCCTTCCTTCGCTTTGGATAGAACTTAAGCTTACTGCAAACAAGTGGCTGCATCTCTGGTCCTCTACCTCCTCCTCCTCCCTCCACTGTGACTTCCACTACTACAAAATATGTAATGTAACATCACCATACTACATGCTTCCTGAATTTCACTCCACTCCACTGGCTGTTGCTTGTTGTGGAGGCAGAGAAGCACACAGTGAAATCACTTTACCTTTTTTGTGATTTACCAAAGGAGAGAGGAAGAAGAGGCATGGGCTGCTCTTTTGGGGAGCAGTCATACTTTGAAATGGGGGACAAATTTGCTTCAGTTCATATTTAGGAACAAAGCGATCTAATTTGCACTATTTCTGAAACAATCCGCAAATCAAAACACAGACAACCTCTGAATTTTTTCCAGTGCAGTTCACCAGGTATGTGCAAAAATGTATACGCTAGGGCAAATACGTGCCTAAAATGCATGTATTTGTTGATGAAAATTGTATAGGAACAGCTTTTCAAAAATACGTACACTAGGCAAACTGCATGCAGAAATGTGTACATCACGAGAACTTAAGAAGGGCTTGCTGGATTGGGGCAGTTACCCTTCTAGTCTGTCAATCTGTTCTCACAGTGGGTAACCAGATGCCTCTGGGAAGTGCACAAGCAGGGCTTGTGGGCAAGAGTGCTCTGTCCACCTGTGATTGCCAGCAGCTGGTGCTCAGAGCCATGCTGCTTCCAGCAGTGGAGACAGAGCATAGCCATTGTGGCTAGCGATTAGCACTTAAATGCTGGCAATGGCTTTCTAAAAATAAATCGCAAACTGATGGGGAATATCAGAACTGAACTTAAGCTTCGGAAAATGAAACATGAGAGAAACCTCAATTAATTCTCTGTTATCCATATGACATTCTTCTCCAAATCATTGCCTTCCCACACTCTCTCCTCCTCCCTCGGTCTGGATTTTCTCTCAGTCGTCTCCTTTTCAGTGCATCCCTCGTATGAGAGAATCCAGACTGCGGGAGGGGAAAGTGTGAGGAGGCAGCTATTTGGAGAACATCATATGGATGATGGAGAATTAATGGGGGTGTAGGAAGCTTGCTGTTCACATTAAACAACAGTATGGGTGAGTCCGTAGTAAAATTTATGTTTGCGGTGTTGCAAGTTTTCCACTTGACAAGCCTTTCTCTTCTGACGATTATCAACTGACGTTTTTGCAGCTGCAAATAAAGTTGTAACAGGCTGAACTAAAATGGAACTTGCTCCTGCTCTAATGCTAAACACATTTGTGTAGAAATAAGCAAGATTTTGTTGTTAAAAAAAAAAAGATAATATGTTTTAAACGTTAAGTAATATATTGAGTGTCTACAGCCATGTATGTGCCTAGCTGGCTGTCTCCCTAAGTATGAAATGTTGCTGTTTTTATAAAAGGAAGGAAGGAAGGATACTTCAGCAACCAGTGTCAGCCCCATTAGCTCCTGGCATGCTCATACTGGCCCAGTTGCTGACACTGGTCCTATTTGCTGCTGTCCCCATCTTCTTCCATTCTCTTGAAATTTGGGGTGGTGGAGATTTGGGGTTTTGGATTTCAACCATGAGGTCTAGCCTTAGCTGCATCACTGGGCTGTGTTGTTGATGCAACTGGGCTGATAACTCAATTAAGCCATGCATGGATGGCTAGTTAGAGAAGAATGTGACTGAAGATGCTCACTTGGATAGGATGCCCATTGGAATGCACATCACATTGAAAGTGACATGGTGGAGGAGGAAGATAGCTGCATATTGGTGCACATCTAGAAATGCAATGTGATATAAAAAGTAAAGGTAAAGGGACCCCTGACCATTAGGTCCAGTCGTGGCTGACTCTGGGGTTGCGGTGCTCATCTCGCTTTATTGGCCGAGGGAGCCAGTGTACAGCTTCCATGTCATGTGGCCAGCATGACTAAGCCACTTCTGGCGAACCAGAGCAGCGCATGGAAACACCGTTTACCTTCCTGCCGGAGTGGTACCTATTTATCTACTTGCACTTTGACGTGCTTTCGAACTGCTAGGTTGGCAGGAGCAGGGACCGAGCAACGGGAGCTCACCCCATCGCGGGGATTCGAACTGCCAACCTTCTGATCGGCAAGTCCTAGGCTCTGTGGTTTAACCCACATCACCACCCACATCCCCCGCAATGCAATGTAGTTGTTTGCTATTTGCAGTGCACGACTTTCAGTGACCTGTTCAGGTGCTCTCTAACTAGTTATACATAAAGTACATAGGCTTGAAATAGATTGCGGCAAAGGTCTGAAAATACTGCAGGACATGAAATCAGCAAGGCAAGGCAAAGAATGGTTGCTTGGGCAAAGAGAATATGTTCCCTTCTCATCTACTGCCTCACTGAGAACGAAGGCAATGGGAGGACTTTGCCCTTTTGTGATATTGCCACAAAGCCCAATCTGATTGGTTATATGGCACTGTGAGGTCATCATGCTCACTACATGTCTGATTGGCTTGGATCATGCACTGAAATAGAGATCATCCCTAAAAATGGCCATGAAACTGTGAATGTGGGCAGTGGGAGGGGAGGGAGATTGCAAAAAGCCGCTATGGTGTATGAGGCTTCCTTCCCCTTAGAAGTCCGCTTCTCAAGACAGAATATCAAACCTCGTGAAAATTTAGCACAGCACTATTTTAACTGTTAAATTAGTCAGTGAAATGTGAACCAATTCTAAAATGTCAGATTCACCTGAACTTGGAGAGAGAAATTATATTTCTGAAATCCAAACTTAAATTGCCCCAGCCTTCCCTATAAAAATGTAGCAAGTTAAATAGGAGTGAAACTGTGAGAACACAAGTCCTCTAATAAATGTAAGACTTTTTATTTGAATTATAAAAAGGACGCCATAGACCCGCTGTGTTTGTTCTATTAAGATTTAGTGTTCTAAAATACAGGACATGCAGCGTTTTCTATGTAGCTGTGATGTCCTGGAACAACAGAAAATACTTTAGAAGAATGCAAAATCCATTAGAAGCAGGAACATTTGGCAACCTGTAGTCTGGGAGTAATCTAGCTAGCTGTTACTCTGTCTTGATCGGAGCTATCACTCACTTGTAGTTCAGCTACCTCCCTGAAGGCTTAAAGGGTAGCTTTGAAACATAGTTTCTTCTTATTCCAGTATTCTTGATAGGCAGCAATAGTAAGATACCAGCTTAAACTGGAAAACTGCCTAGGTTAGGCTATTCATCCATTTATGTATTGCCCATACCTATTGGCAGTGGTTATCTCCAGGAAGCCAGGCAGAGAACTTTCCCATGACCTCTAGTGGAGAAACTAGAGACTGAAACTGGGGCATTCAGCATGTGCTGGGTCACCAAGCTATGGTAGGGTTGCCATACATCCAGAATTTCCTGGACATATCCAGAATACTGCAGTCGGAAGCAGCGTCTGGGCAGAAATCACTAAAATGTCCAGGGAAATCCAGCCATATAGCAACCCTAAGCTATGGTTCCTTTGCAATTACAGTCAAAGCTTGGTTGTCAAACGTAATCTGTTCCGGAAACCCATTTGGCTTCCGAAATGTTTGACAACTGAGGTTGCAGGAGCTTCCTGTACTCAAGCAGAAGCCGTGTCGGGCATTCAGCTTCTGAAAAACATTGGATAAGAGGAGTGCTCAACATCAACCCTGCTGTGTGTGAATCCCTTGCAAACAACCACAGTGCTTGGAGACAGGCAGTTAGGTTGTGTATCTATAGCAGTGACCAGAGTAGGAATGGCTGATGGGAGGAGCACAGATAGAAGAAATGCCATGGTGCATCTGCAGCAGCACAACTGGATGCCTTCATCTGCCCCGGCTGCAATAAAACATGTCTCTTCTATATCAGTCTCTATAGCTACAGCAAGCGCTGCAACCTTCCAACAGTTTGACTTCACCTCCATAGGCGCAGTCCTCCATTATCTCCCAAGATAGATGGATGCCAACAAAGGGGGAATGCTCAGCCTCTAAAAAATAGGTGGGAAATCTTCAGCCTTCCAGATGTTGTTGGACTCCAACTCCCAGCAATTCCAGTCAGCATGGCCAATGGGAATTGTAGTACAGCAACATCTAGAGGGCAAGAGGTTCCTAACTCCTACTCTACTGATCTTCCAAAAAGTTGAAGAGACTTGTGAACTGACAATATACATTGCTGCATTTTCTATAGAAAGCTGTAGAAACTAACTTCTCCATTCCAGTTTTGGGAACCTGTATTCTGTTCAGCTATAAGTATTTCAGACATGCTGACCTAGCACTGAATCTGATTTATAGGAGAATCTGCGAGATAATTGACACTCTTGTCATAGTTTGTTCAGCAGTCTATGAAGACAACATTCTAAACAGCCTCATCTACTGATCTTGAGGGTCCTATTTGTCAAAATTAAGTGGATACGCTGACTTCCCCTGCCTTCTTAATAGCTTCCTGTATAATAGCTCAGCTAAGGGATTGCAAATTTGTGCTAATACTCAGGGTAAGATTAGAGAGCTGGGAATTGCACAGATCTGACAAGCCACAATATTTATGTGCTGTAATTTCAATGTGCCCACAGGATTTAAAGGACGAAGGTTTGAGTTTGAATAACCCATTCTTAATATACATCTTTGGAGTATGAGATTAGTCAGTAGTGGTGCAATAAACAGAAATAGGCTAGAGTTAGTCATGGAATTAGATCACTGGAAAGCAGCTTTGGAGTTTCTTCATCTCCTTAAACATCACTAAAGCAAGAGATACTACGTATTTTTGAGGTGTGTATAAAGAAAGGAAGAGGAAAGGCATCCGTTGTCCCCAAGAGGTTTCTGAACACTTTTATCGGAACAACTTGAGGGATACTGAATTTGACTACAACAGCAGGTTGTCACTGCATCTTAATATGGAAACCATGAAACTGAACGTTTGCAATGCTAAGCCCTGTTGAATTAAAATTAAAAAGCCTTCACCTAGTCCAGAAAGAGCATATTGCACAGTGTCAGATGAGCCTTCCTGGGAAGGGCATTTCGCATATGGGGTAACACAACTGAGAAGGCCTCTGGTCATCATCTAATTTTGGAATGTGACAGAACTCAGAGGAGCCTCAAATAATCAATGTAATGTCTGCTGAGCAGGTGCAAAGAAAAGTTGAAGCTTGGTTTTGCCTCTCCTGGTAGCTGTCAGTGCATTAGGTCCAAAGACGTCTCTTAATAAGATTTCACTTGTGACTTTTTTTTAGTAGATACAGTAAGTATGGAATAAACCCAGTCACATGGGTGGGGTATAAGTAATAATAGTAATAGTAATAATAATAATAATAATAATAATAATAATCCCATTAACATGTGCTGTGTATGTGCCTGACTCTCTGCACCAATGAGAAGGAGAAGAATCCCTTTTAGGTTTTCTTCAATACAAACTGGAAAATTTGCGGATTCTTTGTAACTAAGTATCACGCCCCAATCTAGGGCATTTAACAGATTAAGCAGCGACTTTCTGTTTCTTTACATTTCTTATCTTTTTCTCCCCAAATGTATCTCTAGAAGATCATGGTTTTATATGCTGGTTAGTAAACCAAAATTAAGCCAAATTTTCCCAGTTCAGATGTAATAGGAAATGATGAATTCATTAAACAAACCAAGATAAAAGCAGCAAAGCTGGCACACAAGGGGAGGATTAAGGAGAAATCCCATGATTATTCTTGACTTTGTCATGGCCTGTTGGTTTTCTTTGTAGTAGATGGTTGCAATGGAACCTCTTTCTTACCTGGCTAAAGGAAAAGACTGAGCAGTGCCAGCTACAGCCACTTATTCATTTGCATGAAATCTGGGTATCCTGCTCAGATTCGTTAGTGTTCAAAGTCAGCACACAACAATTTAACTGCGACAAGCATGTGAATTACCCAGAGCAGTCTCTGTGATGAGCATACCTTGTTTTGATACTCCCTACCCCCGAAAGCTTTGAACTTAAAGATGATAGAGATATATGCCTTGAATAATCACAACAAATTTTGTAGTCCTTCACATTCATTAGCTTCAAAGGAATACAAAATCACAGGAGTCTGTTTTATTTGCAGCATACACTTCAAAATTCAAATTGATTTACAAGTTTAAAAAAAAAGTAGCAGCAAGAAAAAGGGAAAATAGTTAAAACTTGTAAGCGTTTCATGTAGAGAGCTGGAAGTGAAAATATGCTACAGAGTAATCTGTGATCTCTCATTCTCACCTTTCCAATCATGAAAGAGTGTCAAGATTTTCAACAGATACATATGCTCCTTTATTTACCGCTAAATCTTACTGAGTTCAAAGACTATCTCCAGGTAAATATGCAAGGGATTAGTTTTCTCCAACTTGATTGCTGTGTTACTTGAAAAATGTGATATTTCATATTCACCTCACAAAGGTGTAATGGCCAGGGTGCCCTGTGTGGAGAGACTGGTTGCTAAGCCACTTTGAGAACTGTAGCTCTGGGAGGAGTATAGTGGTCTCCTCACAACTTTCAACACCCTTAACAGGCCTCTCTTGCTAGATGGAAAGAGGGAGGGCGCACTGGGTTTAGACAAATCTCTATGCCTCAGGCAAAAGTGGAATGCCTGAAACTTGTGGTCATTGCACTTTGTTGGGGGGAAATCTCGATGGCTTGGTATTAGACTGGTTTAAAATGGGTAGAGAACTTTAGTTAGGCCCAAAAGATGCTCTGAAATTGGATGATGCAGTTATGCTGCCAAAGCTAAGCAGGCTTGAGCAGGAATACTTACTGATTTAAGCTTTCTGGAGGTCAAATGGGGCACAAGTGTAATAAACAGAGGACTGTAACCATAATGGAAGTGGATGGAGGGGGTCAGCGGAGGGTAGGTGCAGTTCTGTGTGCCGATAAAATGCAGGTGATAGGGTGTATTTAGATAGGATTCTTTAGATGATTCACTATCCGGTCCTGGATTTGTGTAATGGAAGTGTATAGAAAGTAAATCATATAATGGAGGTGCTTTCTAGTCGGCAAGGCAATTGCTCAACTCAGAAATTGTCTGTAGCACTTTGCTAGTCATGGAGTTGTGCCTAGTTATGTGAAAGTCTGAGAGTGTGCATGGATACGAGGAGGAAGCAAACATTCCTGGTGCCAGGTGTGGATCTTCCAAGGTCCCATCCCAAGGCATTGCTGTGTGAGCATGGGAAAAAATTTTTTTGCTAATTACTTCTGTGGGCAGAGTGCAGTCTGTGATAATTAATTCTCCCTAAATATGGTAACAAGCTTCTGTGGGGCTTCACTTTATGGCGAACCAAGCCTCAGGAGATAGCTCGTGGTTTAATTATAAAAAAATCACGCGACTCTTTTGGCCTGTGAATAATAATAATGATAATAAAACTTTTCTCTTGCTTGTTTCTGTTGTTTAACATTGACCATTGTTGGCACAATTGAATGATTGACTCGCTAAGTGAAAACAGCAGCACAATATTTAATGAAGGGTGGTGTTGTCATCAACAACAGTATAGAGGCTTGTGCTTCTCTGTTGCGGTTTCCAGTGTTTTGGGTGTTAATGAGTCTTAAGTAAATAGTCAAGCTGTGGCATAGAACTTCATCTCTAAGTTAGAAATCATATGCAAACTTACCTAGGTGCAAGTCTTGTTGAATTCAGAAGGAGTTATTTCTTTGTATAAGTATGCATAGGTTTGGGCTTCCTGAGGAGGTTATTTTCTCCTCTGTCCCACTGCTAAATTTTGTAGATTTCATTAATCGAGTTGCAGAGGTTTCAAAATAACAACTCTCAGAGAGAGAGAAATGCCTACCCTGCCATGAGAAAAATGTGGTATTTTTGTGCATCGACTTCAAGATTCAGCTCAGACCCTAATCTGGCTTTACCAATAACAGTTCAGCTCAGTGGAAATCGCTTCAGATGCTGCTCAATTCAGCTTAAGGTTCCAGGCCAAGTCTGCTTCAGGAAAAACAAAGTTTCATTTCACTGCCCCGCTCCCGCCCCCCCATTGATGATTTCAGAATTTTTAAAAATGGGTATTGCTTTTTCCCCTTTTGGGGAGAAGTGAATGGAATTTTCAGGCATAGTGGATAAAGCCAGCCAAATTACAATAAAGTAAGTCTTGAGGTTTCTGAACTGGGCACCTTAACAGTTTGATTTTATATATATAAGAGAAAATGTCTAACATTTTTACAAAGCCATTCCAATAAGCAGAACAGATAACACAGAATTAAATATATTACACAGTTAAAATAATTATTAAAACCAGGTACTTTATCAAATAAGAGTTTGCTCCCCTGAAGAATTTAACTGATATTTCCCCACAAACTTTTCCTTTTCAAATTGTCACTTTTTCAGCAGTGTATTGTTTCTGAATGCCATAATTCCTTGTGAAGAAATTCACAGAGTTAACCAGTTTTAACTTTATTGTATAGATAGATATGACATATCCAGCAGAATTCAACATATCAGTGACCTATGGTGCTTCGCCAGGGCTTGCAATATATGTTTGCAATAACAAAAACCAGCGAGACTGGCAAAGATCCGGCAGGCAACATAGTGAGATGCAATGAGGTACATTGATTTTATTTTTCACAAATTGTTTCAGGCTCACAATCAAATAGTGAAAGTAGTATTGTCCATGTTGCGTGGGTACAATATCTACTTTTATATGAACCCAGAAGAGTGGCCACTTAAGCACTGCAAAAAAAGAAAAAGAAACCACCAGGAAATATATTACCAAAAAAGGCGAAAACTAGAACACAAATTTGCCTTAGCTAATTTACATGTCTAAGTGCAAATTTATTAATAATTTTATAAATGAGATAGAATACATCTCATCATAGTGTGGAAGACTGACCAGGTGCTCGCCAATAAAGGGCAACTTTCAGGCTCCTGCTCTCCATTCTTTTTTCTTTAAAACCAGGCTTGCTTTGGCCAGCCCTTCAAATAGAGGATGTTCCTCTGCAAAGTAAGAAATATATTGCCACACTGTTTAGAGTAAAACAGGGAATACGTCTGTGTGTCTTCAGTGACATTCTTTCTCTGCAAAAAGAAAAGAAAGACGGAAAAGCTGTGATAGTCACATTGTCATTGGCATCTTAAACACTACCAAGTGCTATACAAACTGTGAAGTGCATGCCACTGAACATGGGTAACAAAAAGAGTTTCTTAAACCAAAGGAATATAAAACAGCAAGGTGGGATCTGTGAACATCTTTTAGGTGTTAAGCCTTGTGGCAAGCAACCCTGAAGCACTATCTCCCCAGACCCACACTTCAAAACCTTTCTGGCAGTGAAAGATGTCTGCCCTTCTCCCCACATCACTACAGAAAATATATTTGCTGGAGATGGAACCGGATTTCAGGAATGCACATTGAAGAGGGAGCCCTTCGAACTCCTTTCCCTGTTCTCCTGATTAAGTCTGGAGGCCATCTTTGCTTCCAGAAAGGTTTAGGGAGATGGAGACTTGGCAGGTGGAAATTTGCCCTGTCCTCATTACCTTCTGTGTAGCTTCTCTTCTGCACTCCTTCCTCCCACTTAGGGTCCCTGGGAATCCCACTTCACCTGAGACATGAAGTGGCAGACAGGATGCTTTGATTTGTATTTTGAAGCTGAAAGAGGGCACGAGCCGTTGGCGTCAATTTAGAAAGAGCACAAATTCAGGTTGTGTTTCCTTCATGTTCTTTTATGTCTGTGTTCTTGTAGCCACTGGGGTGCTGAAGTAGCTGAAATGAGAAAAAGGCAACAGCCACAAAATGAAGAAACATCTGCTGTGTCTCAAGCACCTGGAAACCAAAGGCCCAACAACACATGTTGCTTCTGTTGGTGTTGTTGTTGCAGCTGCTCATGGTATGTCACGCAGTCTATTTGATACCATAGCTAGCGCAGGTAAATGTCAACCCAAAGCCATCAGTTGTCAGGCTTAACGTAAAAAGCTGGGGGGGGGGGGCCTTTTCTGTGCAATCAGGTTGTTGTGTGATAAATGCTCATTTGATTCTCATTGCTTGCACACAGACTTCATGTCTTCTCTCAACGTTGTGCTCATGAAAGTAATTGAACAATGTTTTGTGTTGAGGAAAATATGATTCCTAAGTCTCTGTGCATGCATGTGCGCACACAGAGCTCCCTCCTGATAATGCAACCAGAGCGAAGCAAGAAGAGTGTTTGTGTGCATTTGCTTTTTGCATATAATTTGACCCCCTCAAAAGTTGTTCTAGGAGAAATGGCTTTCCCCTAACCAATTTTAAAAGATGGGCATTTGAAAAGACTTTCCAAATTTTATATCTATGAAAACTCCCAACTGTAGAAATAATTTTTTTTAAAATGTAGCAAATATGTGCAAAAAAGTAGTTTTCTGATTATTTGGGGAAGCAGGGCATGGGGAAGAGAAAATGGGTGATGAGCTGTGCATTTTGAATTAATGGGAAACATGAACAAAACTGTCTTGTTTATTTCTACCTGATAATTTGATGAATAACCTACAGAATGTATTTATAGTCAGGATGCATTCAAATTCCACTGAGATCCTTCAACTGGCAAAGAGCCGTCATCTTAATGGGGATCAGGCCAGGAAATATTTGCTGCTCAGCTCTTCCTAAAAGAATCATCAGCTCAGGAAATATGAGACTGAAATTTAGTGTTTATTTTCCTGTTTTTAAAATAACCTCAGATAACCATGTGATCTTTCTAGGCTGGGATAGCCTGCCTAGGATGCCTGTCACAAAAGTGTATATATAAAACTTTTAATATAGCAATATTTATATGCATGTGAACAGCTCAGCGGCATCAACAGGGCTGCGGTTACAATACAGCTATTTACTTGCTTAGATGCTCTGGGTTTCCCATGTGTACACATCTGTCTAGAAATGCCAGTAGCTAAAATTCCATTGCAGGGATGCGGACCCTCAGCCCCATGAGCCAAATGTCATCTTCTGTGTCTTGGGAATCTCCCCAGACCAAACACCTTCACAAACCACACCCCTCACCAGCCCTGTCTTGCACCCTCCGTGAGTGTTTTTGCTTGGCTGAAATGTGTCCTTGGACTCTGATAACATTGATTACTTGCTTGGATGGAGGATAGAGAGGAATGCGTCAACGTGAAGAAACTGGGCTACCGTACCAAGACAAAATTTGCATTTGTTGCTCCGACCTGGCGCTGGCATATCGCCCCAGGAAAGCTACCAGAAGGGAATGTGACCCCCGGGCTAATTAAAAAGGTCCCCCGCCTTGCTGTAGTGTGATGAAGAAACAGACCCCAAGATGGAGCAATGGTGCCATTAGGGCAGAACCTTGAGACAGAAATCCAGAAGTGTATGAAGTGTGAATCGGGTCAGTTTGCTTAAAAATGCAGACCGAGCAAAATCCCCACGCATCACTGCCTGCAACTGTGTGATTTTATAAGCTTGAAAGAAACCATTATGCACAGAGAAGATTTCCTGCTCCATTATTCTGCCATTTCTCACCACACCGGTGGAGAAACCCTAGGAGAAGATGGTTTCCAAATATTTCAGGCCAATGGCACCTATGCCATTCGCCTTTGCAACCGCTGTCTGTATCACCATTCATGTGTGCGAATCGTGCCTTGGATGTATAGGGAAGTCATCATGTGACTGTTTTCTCTCGTGGCCAAATGCAGTCCTCACACTGGCTACCAACTCACATCATCATCAACAACAATTTATTTATACCCCGCCCATCTGGTTGGGTTTCCCCAGCCACTCTGGGTGGCTCCCAAGAGAATATTAAAAACATGATAAATTATCAAACATTAAAAACTTCCCTGATAGTCAGGTAGTTGTTTATTTCTTTGACATCTGATGGGCGGGCACCACTACCAAGAAGGCCCTCTGTCTGGTTCCCTGTAACCTCACTTCTCTCAGTGAGGGAACCGCCAGAAGGCCCTCAGAGCTGGACCTCAGTGTCCAGGCTGAACAATGGGGGTGGAGACGCTCCTTCAGGTATACTGGGCCGAGGCCTAGAAGGGCACTTTGATGTCCATGCTATCTAGTCATGGACATCAAAGTGCTCTTCCAGGGTCAAGCCAAGTGTTCGTCTAGGAAGGGGGTGGGGAAATTGATTTTTATGAAGCTTTCTCCTGATTGCTTTTGCATGCTGGATAAGGAATAAAAAAGACTTTTTAAATATAGGTGAATATATAGGTGAATAATAGCAGTGGCAGCCAGTGTGGTGGGACAGGAATATGGAGCCACCCTCCCAACACTGATCTCACCTCAGCTTACCTGGATGCTGGGTTTCCACTGGTACCCATACAGTCCTAGCTTGGCAACATCCTTCCCCACTCTATACCCATCCAGGTAAGCTGCATCCCTCCCGATTTTGGCAGGGCAAGTCCACATCTCTGCCTCACCACACACACTGCTAGTAAATAGCAGGGATAATGCAAGCTCTTCTCTGTGTTACGCAAGTATCACCCATGGCTGTCAGCTAATAGAGTTGTATTTTTGCTGCTCTTTAAAAGCAAGCTGAATTTATTTACATTATACTTCTCTGGGAACTTTTCTTAGCTTGAAGTCGTTCTCAGATGGTATTTAAAAACAATGTTGCCCTTGGCAAGACACCAAAACTCCACAGTCCCCATATGAGTATTTAGGATCTGCGCATCAGCATTCGTTGCTTACATGCCCCCCAACCCAAGTCTTCAGTGTGTTTGTAAGTTGCAATACTGTCTGTCATCACAGATTATGTGCTGCGTTCTTGTGAGAGTTTGGGCAAGCCTGTTACAGCTTGCCTGCTTTAAAAAATAATGACGTTAGAAAGTTAGGATCAAAGTTGTGGTGGAAATGCCATTGCTTGCGATTCTTAGAATTAGATTGGACAAAAGTATGGAAAAAGAATGTAAGGAGAAACAGATTGGATGGCCTAATAACTTTTTCTTCCATCTCTAACATTTGCAGTGGAAGGGTTTTTTAAAAATTGGTTTTCTTTCAGGAAACAGGGAAAGATACAGCACAGATCTTTGAAGACCGAATGAATCAAATATATGATTCTAAAGGCTACTAAAATTACAGCAGCACATCCAACTGATACTAAGGGGGGACAATGATGAAGTTGCATCTTAACTCTTTACACAATGACTGCTGTGTCCATATAGAAACTCAGGTTGACTCCTGTGGCCATTTAGCTCCAGCAAAATAACAGTTGTGATTTTCATCTTAAATAAGCTCCTTGAATGGTGCAGGTGACCATGGAAATGACCATCATCATTTACACAGAACTTTCAATGTACAGCCTGCTCTGCAAATAAAAAGTCCCTACCTGAAGGGTTTTCATCTAAAATAGGCACAAGAAGCAGCAGGGGAAAGGGAAGATGAAGGCAGAGGAAGAATGTGTGACTATTTCAATTACACATACTCTGGCTTAGTCTCCACCTTACCATAACTAAGCAGATGATCCAAAGGCTTCATGGGAAAGCTGAGCACAGCAGCACTAATGGTGGGGACTGTGGTTGCCATTTTCTCTGCAGATATCCATTTAGTGTGGCATTATCAAATGGAGTTGTAGACCCACTGAAATGAATGACTAACTTTCACCCTCCCCCCCTCCAGCCGTAGTTGGATACAATCCATAGTGTCAGTCCAGGGCATTTGCAGGTGGAGCAAAGGCTGTCAAGAGGTGATTCATTGCCAGAACAGCCACATAGGTACCAGTGAAAATGAAAGCAAGCAACACCCCGCTCTGCCCAACCGATGCACTTAAATTATCACATTTTTCCACCTGCACATGGTGTGGGGACAGAGAATTTAGTGCATTTTGCAGCGGCATTTCCCCTTCCCTCCCAAAGCCCAAAGCCTCTTATAAAATCTGCTAAGGTCATTTTGATGCCCATTTTATAAATGAAGAATAAATAGTTTTTCCAGACCATGTAGGCTGCTGTTGGAAGCCAGTCACTTAACGTCCATGCCCAATACTCATCCCCTGGACCACACTGTAATTCCAGTGGATTGACGTGCATGCTTCTGTTCCCGGTAAAGGCTTGGAAGACCTTTGTACCCTTGAGCCGGAACCTTTTTAAAAGCACCAGTCATCCTTAAGGCTGCATCTGTTTGACTGGCACATTTCATGTCAGGTGATGTTTAGTTTTCGCTTTCACTGCAGCCAACATTTGAATCAGAATGAGGATTAAGCCTTTTGTTTGCACAGCAACTGATAGTTAAATACCCACACCTTTGTTCAGTGGATAGTAAATTTATGACATCAATCAAAGCATTAGATATGGTATGAGAACAATTAGCTGTTTAAGAGAGGATGTGCCTCTTCTGTCATTTATGCCTCTTTAATAATAGGCATTAGGCCACGTGGTACCTATTAATACTGCAAGGTTTCTTAGCTGGGAATATAGACCTAAGAGTGGATGTTAAGGAATAAGCAAAAATGTCATTTCGTAGAAAGACAGACATCTCTTCTCATTAACTTTCTTCCTGCTGGTTAAGTAAGTTCACTGATGAATCAAGGTTTCATTTGCAGTGAACCTTCACAAAGTAAGGAAAGATTAGTCAGAGCCTCTCTAAATGTAACAAAGTGTGATCTACACATTTTGTTTTGTTTAAAGCATGATACGGTTATCCTAGAGGCTGTGCCATTTCTGGATGCAGATGGTGGTGCAGGTGGGACTGAATGCTCCTCCTCCTGGTCAGAAAACCTTTTGTCTCTGGAAAGCTAGGGTGCATGAAATAATGGTTGCTTACCTGCTTATTTTCTATGTACAGGGAAGTTTGGCATAAAACTGCTCTACCCCAGGATTATTTCACATGTTTACTTAATCTCTTTTTTAAAAAAACAAAGAAAAAGACATAATATTTGACTGGTGGGGCTTGCATTCAGTCTGGATACAAAGATCCAAGGAAAGAGAAGAGCCAAGGATACTTGTCTGCCTTAAGGGACAATGGAAGCTGATGCAACTCACTCCCACAGGAGGCAATGATGGACAACAACTTGGAGGACTTTAATAGAGGAGGTTGTCAATGGCTACTAACCATGATTCCTGGGCTTTGTCTCCGCCGTCAGAGGCTTAATGCTTCTGAATACCAGTTGCTTAGGAGGGGAGAGTCATCTTGTGCTTGGGTCCTACTTGTGGGTTTCTCACAGGCATCTGGTTGGCCACAGTGAAAACAGAATGCTTAACTAGATGGGCCATTGGCCTGATCCAGTAGGCTCTTCTTATGGAGACTTCCCATCCCACTAAAAAAGGGAGGGAGGGAGAGAATTGCCCAACCTGCCCTCAGTTCCATCAAAAAATAGATAAGAAGACATCCAGGTAGTGCAGCTGGGATATGGGAGGAACTCAGAGATGTAAAAACATACGCTGAAATGATATACCCACAGTGAATTTTTACCTCCCTTAGCTCTTTCCTTTCCACCAATCCATTTTCTACTCAAGCTCTATCCACAAAACAATGCAAGAAAATGTATGCATGTGGTTGCATAGCCTGTGGGATTCTACGAAAGTTATTATGACCTTTGGTTTTAGCAAATAAAGTGTTGACTGACATTCAGAAGAAACCATGTGAGAATACCCTTGCCTGATATTTTAAAAATTTTGTTTATTTCAGCTGGCAAATTACTGCATTTGTATTAATATTACATCACTAGTTGTCTAAGAGAGGACCGTAGTCCATTCTTTAAAAATGAAAATAACTTATTTGACTATGCACTTATCTAGTCCTAAGAATCATTCAAGTCTCTTTTACCAACCTTTGAAGCAGATTGGAGCCATATTTTCATATGGATATGTCCTCCAAACCCTCAAATAGATGACTCTCTCCCGTTAGACTTCTTTAGTTCAGGTGTTGAGAAATCTGCACCATATTCAATATATGCCTGGCATCTAAGACACGCCTCATCTTACTGCCACCTCCATCCACACAAAGCATCAGAGTGAGCTTTTTTAAAAAAAGAGAAGCAAGAACAACTGGTTCGAATTATGTAGCCTCACAACCTCTTATTTCCTCTAGCCAGAACAACACTGACCCCCTGCTTGGCTGACCCTTTAGAGATGGTTAAAGCCATCAGTTATAGTACAGCTGTAACAACTGCAGCTATATAAGTAAGTTTCAATAATGACCTTGGCATCAGAATCTTCAGTCACACCATCTTCATCTCACCTTGGTGATGGGGAACCTGTGGTCTTCCAGATATGTACTTAAAATACCCATCGTCCCTAATCACTGGCCATGCTGGATGGAGCTGATGGGAATGAGAATCTAACAAAACATCTAGAGAACCACAGCTCCTCATTCTTGCTGCAATGGCTTGGCATACTTTCCTAATGTATTAGGACTAACAAGACTCCTTTTCCTTGGGGATTATAATTTTAGAGGACAACTGATGAACTGAATTTTTGAAATATTTTTAAAGCCACTAATTCAGACCCTCCAAGTGTCCCCATTTTCTGGGGTGTCACTGATTTAGAGAAGCCATACCAGTTTCTGATTTGATCCTGGAATGTACCACTTTTCCTTAGGATGTCCCTATTTTCATTGGAGAAATGTTGGAGGGTATGGAGTTATCTAACCCCCGAGCCATCTGAAGGCAATCCTGTATAGGGAATGTTGTTGTTTTTTATATTTAGTGTTTTATTATGTTTTAATATATGTTGGAAGCTGCCCAGAGTGGATGGGGCAACCCAGTAAAATTATCATTATGGAATGGGATGTCCCTATTTTCACCGGAGAAATGTTGGAGGATATACTAATTCCATCAGGTGGCAGAAGAGCCTATTGTGACATGTGTCTTGAAATTTGAAGAACCCTGCATTTTAATAGAACGCTAGGCCCCTCCCCTCCCTGAACATGCCCTTTACTAATTAAATCACACCACCCATCATGAAACCATACCAAAGCTCAAAAACCTTCCTTCTGCCACAGTGTCATAAACTTAAGGTGGATAGATTATTCAGAAACTGACAGTATTTCCACCATTTCCCCCCAGTAAGTAAACGAACAAAAGTTTTACATTATTTTAATAGCATGAAGTACAATACAAGGTCTTAGTTCTTCAAAAATTGGCTGTTGGTTCCTGACCTTCAAAGTGAAAAGTCAGAGTTGGGCATGGAAGTGTAAGGCCCAGAGTGGCAGCAAGCCAGCACTGAAACCAGGTGAACTCAGCAAGCCTTCAGGCTGCTTACTAAAGTACTCAGAGTCAGCAAAAGTCACTGTTGGCAAGAAACCTCTTCTTTCTGGTTTTGTAATTTGCCTCGATAGTCTGAAAGCTCTTGCTTCTGACCTTATTACACAAATATTTCTTTTTATTAAAAGGAACATTTTTTCCTTGTATGGGTTTAACAGCTAACTTGGAGTTATAAAAAAAAAGTCACAGCGTCCATGCTTTTGTCATTATTTTTACAGTGAATTTGTGAGGTGTCTGACAGCTATACATGTATTTTGGTAAAGACCTACAGGGAGAGAGAAAGATTAAGCGTCTTGTTCTCCATCCCACACTAGGAGCCAGATTTCTCTCCTGTTATTTAAATGTAGCTATCACTATAAAATTTGAGGCTGTCACATTATTTATAAAGATGGCTGGCTATATTATCACACATAGCTGTGGAGATTTTCAGAGTGGAAAGCAGTTTGAAACAGGGATTGATCTTCGTTGGTATATATACTCTCGGTCTCATCCCACTTCTGCCCCTGGTGACCAGTTTTTGAAGAAGAGGGGGAAAGAACTCTGCGAAATGTATTTGACCAGAGGCAGCTGGGGGGCAGGATCCATTGGAGGAAATGCTTCTCTTCAAGCAGTTTTTAACTCCCTTAAGAGCTATTGCCTGCCTTCATCCGTACTTGGATGGAAGAAATTACTGAACTTCACACTAAAAAAAACCCTCAACAGCCGGCCTACACAACTTGTGACCCATCAAGCTGAATGAAACCCACCAGTCACATATGGCAACCCACCAGGGATTCATTTCTACTTCCTGCTGGGTCTAGCCTACCCAGGGCTTTAGTAGGTAGCATCATCTGTTCATGTCTCATTGAGTAAATCTTCAGTAAGTAGCAAAGCAGGTTCATTAATCTGAACATTTCCAGTTTGCCTATTTGAATGCAAATAACTTCTTCGTACACTATTTTGTGAGGCTCTGGGAGTCTACTTTGTGTTCCTTAATAGCCAAGTGATTCTGATCTTTAAGCAAGGGGTTGGTTTGAAGCTTGGTAGTTCTGCTCTCCGCTACATAAAGATTTTGCATTGATTCATCCTCCAGCACTGAATTATTGACCTTATCAGTTGCATTTACAATCAAGGGAGTAAATTTTTCAGGAGCCTGCAGCCTGGAGTAGCTGCTTATTCTTTCCCAAGTTCTAGCACTTGTGCCTCCCTGACAATGTCTTAAATCCTTTCCCTGGGAGGAGGACACCAGCGTTTGAGGATTTTAGAACAACCACCTGGCCAACTGCAGAGATCATAGCGGTAGAACAGCCTCCACCAACCTAGTGTCCTCCAGCCAGTACAGGACATAGATTTGCATATAATTTGCATTGATTTATATAATTATTTCTAACTATACCTATGCATTAGCTAATGTGAATTATATGCAAATCTATTCCCTGTACGTCCACTGTGCCTGCTCAGTCTGCTGTCCAATTGCTTGTCACTGATGGGCAATGTCAGGGTATCCCTACTCTCTCCCTACTTACTGCTTTATGTCTGTGACTTGGCCTGACAGCCCATCAAACAGAAGACACCTTCAAATGGAGGTCTGTCCTCTGGTAATCCTTCAACTAGAGGACCACCCTCTATAAAGTAGGACACATGGCCACCCTACTTAGCTGGCAGCCAATGGTGGGCTTGATGAGCTAGCTGCATTCTCTTAATCCCTAGGGATATGGTACACCTGGGTTGAATCAAGAGAAGTTACCAGGTGTTAGTAGCGACATAATGAGGTTATGGGACAGACAGGGTCTGGAGAGCAGGTATCTACAATTCAATAAACAGAGAAGCCTTTGTTGGAAGCATGCAGAAGAGTGATGGAGACTGTAACCCTATGCCCACTTACCTGGGAAGATGTTCCATTGACCTCAGTGGGACATACTTCTGAGTCTACATGTGTAAAAATGTACAGTGAGTGTGTATGATAACACTGTTTAGCCTTATTAGAAGGCAGAGATGGAAATGCTGTAACTTGCCTTTTCCTGTGGTTAAACCACAGAGCCTAGGACTTGCCGATCAGAAGGTCGGCGGTTCGAATCCCCGTGACGGGATGAGCTCCCGTTGCTCGGTCCCAGCTCCTCCCAACCTAGCAGTTTGAAAGCACTTCAAGGTGCAAGTAGATAAATAGGTATCGCTCCAGTGGGAAGGTAAACAGCGTTTCCGTGCGCTGCTCTGGTTCGCCAGAAGCGGCTTAGTCATGCTGGCCACATGACCCGGAAGCTGTATGACGGCTCCCTCGGCCAATAAAGCGAGATGAGCGCCACAACCCCAGAGTCGGCCACGACTGGATCCAATGGTCAGGGGTTCTTTATGCAATCAAGCTCTGAACACAGCCTGCTCCGCACACCTAGTATCACTTAAATTGATGTGTGAGGAAAGATTTTATGTTTTGTCCCAAAGCCCCATGCAAAAAGAATAGTCTGCTACAAAACTGCTCAGGATGCAAGATGTGGGAAAGAAACGAAACCTCAGTGTCCTTTTGGCTTCTTAAATTGGACACCCCTCCCCACAAGATACAGTTCTCTTTCCCATAAGACTTCACACTGTTTTGAATGTCAAGGTACATTATGTGAAATTAAGACAAGTTCACCTCAGGACATAAACAATTACAAAACTGAATAAGGGTCGACTGAAGGGACAGGAAACAGTGGCAGAGATGCAAGAGTTAAGGTTGTCGATCCTTTCATATGTCTTTATTCAACAACTAGAGTACCAAGTATACATCCACACATACAAAAGAATCCTTTACAGAGTTACAGTTCTCAGCACCCTTAAACTACAGTTCCCAGGATCCTTTGTAGGATGCCATGTGCTTTAGATGTGCATTAGATGTATGGTGTGGTTGTGACCTACATTTCATTTCATTTTACTCTCTTTTATTCAGAAGACTGCAGTTAAACTCAAGTCCATAAGACAGATACAGCATTGGCATGATTTCCCCTATTTTTCAAAAGATCTTCCATTGCTAGAAACTGTGAAGACAATGTGCTTTGCCAGCACAGACCAACAATGTATCATCCGTCAGTAAGTTCCTATGAGCTTGTATAGACTGCATTTGCCTAACAGGGGTGACATCATCTTGGTACACTCTCGGCTCAGCTCAGGAACTATGCAAAACTCATATCTACAAAGAATGGCCACCTGTGTATATGGAAGTGATGTTTTCTCAGGCATGGTTCCTGACTGCTATGTATAGAGCCAACTTAAGTCTTCTTTCAGTTGAATGACCAGCAGCAGCTTGGGTGTGCTACGCATATTGACGGGATCCAGCTCACCCCTCCTATCAAATATTTACCCTTCAAACGGAAAATGATTGCAGTCAAGAAACTGTTTTCAGGGAGCTTGCTTGAAACAGTGTAATTGGGCTCACTGAAAATAATAAATATATTAATCTCTTCAATTTGATAAGGACTGGGGAATTTTTATTTTTCTGACTTCATATTGCAAGATAGTTTGGAGGGATTTCATGTTGTCATTTTAGTGAGGTTGGCATGTTGGCGTCGTTGGAGACCAAGAATACCTGTTTAATCCCTTACTAGGAAATTCAGCTACTGTCTTTGCACCTTTATGAGTGGTGTGATGGGCAGCAGTTAGCAGGTAATGACATTGAACTCATTTGTATTGGGAGAGAGGCAATGGGAGTGCTACCCTGTTGGTTCTCTTCACATCTCAGGGGCTTTTGACACCGTTGCCAATGGTGTTCTTCAGGAGCAACTGAGGAAGGTGGTGGTACTATCTTAAAGGGGTTCTGCTCCTACCTGCAGGGTCGCTACCAGAAAGTAGTACTAGGCGATGGTTGCTCAGCTTCGTGGCTTTGGACCTGTGAGATCCCTCAAGAGCCCAAGCTGTCTCCTTTGCTATTTGACACCTATATGAAATCGTTGGGAGCTGACATCTGGGGATTTGGGGCACGGTGTCATCAATATGCTGACGAAACACAGCTCTATTTTTCCATTCCATTAGAACTGTGAAGGTTAGAGGCTGTGAAGGTTTTGGACAGACATCTGGATGGGGGTCAATAAACTGGGGTTAGGGAGGGGAACAAGTGTTTGTAGGGTCTTCTGCCATAGGTACCAAAATAACTTGGTTGGCTTTGGATATTTTGCACCTTGACTTGGTGGGAAGCCTCAGGCAGCAGATTGTCTTGGGTCAGTCTTGCCGATGAAACTCTATAATAAAAAGCAGCAGGTAAGAGAGTTGAGAATTAGACCAAGCATCAAAATAAAACTCTTGTTTTGAGTTTCCGAAGACACATCTGAAAGTTCTGACTTTAGTGACTGAATCTAACTCAGCGGCCCAGTTCACTTTGGGCAAACCCTGACTCAACATTATGGTTTGTTTGAAGTGAAGGAACCATGATCCCCAGTTCAGGTGTAATGACACATGCGGGATCATGGTCTGTCACTCCCATTAATTGGGGGGAGGAGTGAGCTGAGAGCCTTCTGTGCATTCACAATAATCCTCTAAGATTTTCTGCAACATGCAAACACTGCCAATGTTTTGATAATGGAATTATAAAAAATAAAAATAAAAATCCCCTTCACCCCCTAAAGTGGAGGGTGAAAGATATAACTTCTGGCTGATATATTAGCTCACAGAATAATTTCCTGCTTGCAGAGAGTTTATCTTCCAACCATGTATCATTCCAAATCAGCTTAAAATGTCAGTTGCACCAGGAATAAGTGTCTGGGATTTTTAAACAGAACTCAAGCACTGTCTCTGGACTCCAAAGAATTAAGCAACTCTTTCAAGACTTAAAACCAAGATGTTGTGGAATCCTTCAATTAAAAAGCAGCCCTACTCTTTCTTAAGACAGAAGGCAAAGAAGATAAACAGCCTTTAAAAATCTGGCAGAATATAAATATTCATCCATGTGGAGGCCCTACTGATGTGCTTAGGCATGCTTTCATACAGAATGTGCATCGTGTCTCCTTGTCTCTCTCCCTTTTTCTTCATTTCTTCACAATTTGGCTTCATGGAATTCTGTTTGTACCTCTTACCTTCATTTTTGCTTCTCCTGTAATGTTCATTCGCATGGAGGGATTCATCCCATCATTTCTATTTCCAGATGTTAGTTGATTCCAAAGTGCCCTCTCCAAAGTATGTTTTAAACCTCCCCTGGTGCACTTTATGTTCCACTTTACATGATTCAACTTGCAGTTGGTTGGAGCAAACATTATGGATGGCCACTTACCTGTATTAAAATGGCCACAGTCACATACTTAAACGGGACATTTTGGTGGACCAGTTTGCATCACTTGCCTGGCAGTGTCCGAACAGCTCATATAGCAATAATCACATGATCACTGAGAAATGTGATGTGAACTTAGTGACATCCTAGTCATAAACATTTGGCTTGTGATGTGTTCACAGTACTGATCTGACAGTTGCTCTAACGTGGTCTGGGGAATCCACGTTTAGTTTCATTCTGGATCAGGAATGATTCAAATGTGTGGGGCCGGCTTCAACTCAATAGTTGTGCTGGCAGGAGCCAGAGCAACGAGTCCTGCTGGCACAATGGGGCTTGCTCATTTCTGCTCCCCGGTATGCCCCTGCTTTCCTCAGCTCAGTGGGGTCTGGAGAACCCCCCAAACAGCACATCAGGGGAGGGGAGATAGTTCCATCAGCAGAAATGCTTATGCTGATGGAAGAATCATATTAGCATGATGTTGAATTTCATCCATGGTACCTCTAGCTCAGGCTTCTTCAAGATGTTTTTAAGACTACAATTCCCATCATCCCTGGCCACTGGTCCTGCTAGCTAGGGATCACGGGAGTTGTAGGTCAAAAACATCTGGAGGGCCGAGTCTGAGGAAGCCTGCTCTAGCTGGATTGCTACATTCATTGCACATGGATAGATACGTTCCAGTTGTTGGATGAGAAAACAACCACAGTGCCAAGAAGATGATCAGTGCTTTATGTTTTCCCAGCACAGATACCCTGTTTCCCCCAGAACAGGCAATCAGCTCTCACTCTAGATAGAGAGATTACGCTAAAAAAAAAAAAAAAAGAGGCTACGTATTCCCTTCTAATAGATAAGGCATGTTATTTATATTATTACTGTATCATGTTGAAGTTCAGTATTTACACTTTAAATACTCTAGGGGGTGCATTTACTCAGGGAAAATCAATAGTTAAGACTTCTGACTCAGTCCTATGGCACAAGAGCTTTCCACACATTTTTCAAAGGATCTGCTGACAAAGCAAGCTCAGCACTTCCCCTTGCTGTTCCTCCTTCTGCCCAGCCCCCTGCATGTTTAATTGGTGTCAAGACTTGTCCCTTCTTCCCAGTTGCCACTGTTCACCACTGTCATTTTTATGTTTTGTGTGCACATACATACACAGACATTTTAAAATGGGCAGCAAGGAGAATAGCATGAATCACCTGAAAAGAGTGAAAGAGGGATCAGGGAGCTATCAGCAGTGCCATAGATCAGTGGGTGGGGATTACATACCTGCCAACTATATGCATTCAATAAAACTTTGTCCAAATATGAATCAATGAGAAATGAAGAACTTTCACAAATTCTATTTTCAATCATTCCATTGTAATAGATTGGCATTCCCTAAACACTTCAACCAGCATCTCTGCCTCTAAGCCACATTTATTTGACTGTATTACAGCGCACACAGCATCTGGGTTACAGCAAGTTGCCATAGTGCAATGCATGCTGCATGCTAAGTATATATTTGCTGGCATAGGAAATATATAGGAATGGCTCTTTTGCTTATTATCCTGTACATGCTCACCTAGACAGTCACTGAATTCAGCTGCTTAGCAAGAACCTGACTAATGTGAATGCAGTTGGGAGTGTGAATGAATGTGAGTGATGGACAGGTACATCTTCATCACAATTTTGTCCCACCTTTCCTCCAAGCAGCTCATATGTTTGGGGAGGGAGAAGTACAGGACCCCCCCCCCCCATTACATCCTCACAACAACCTCCAAGGATATCCTAATGCAGCTTTAAAGTCTGTGGATATACCTGCTGATCGAAGAGCCCAAGGTCACAAGTAGGATTCACAGCTAAATACTATTGTACCTAAGTAACTCTGGTCCATGGTCTGTGCTCTCTGCCTACCATATCACACTGTCTACAACACAAGTTTGTGATGTTCAGCATTTACTCCCAAAGCAGGTGCCTTATTTGTTCTATTGGCGCTTTCCCATTTTATGAGTCTTCAGAAAGTCAACTGGTGCAAATTTCTCTCTCTCACACACACACAGTTCTGCTTCTCCATTGAAATCATAGTTACTGCTGCATTACTGAATCACTGCTGAATCATTGTTGCAGACCAAAGACCAATGACATAGTAATATTCCTATAGTGCCTGTAAGACAGAAATATGCTCGGAAACTGACACATTGGGGGAAAGGGGAGTTCTGGCCCCCTCGGTTCAGTTTTTATCATACAATTCATGCTACAAAAGGGTAAAGTAATTATGGGAAAACACACTCCGTTTTCCAAGGGCAACATTATAACCCTGCTCAGTTTCTTAGAAACACTGGGTACACATGAATGAATATTAGTGCTGAGACAAGCCAGTGGGCTTATACCCCTCAAACATTTACATACCTCTCAAAAAGTATGCTCTGTGCTCAGCAGGGACACTTGAAAGGCACAAAGCTGTCCACCAATAGATTTTAGGATTCATTCATTACTCTTAAACTAAGCTTTCAGTGTTTATAGCTGACTACTTTTCTACACTGCTTAGGATGATTGGCATGTGTTGCAAATGGCTGGTACTGTAAGACTGAAATCCAGTGCACACTTACCTGGGACTCTGAAAGTAAGTCCCAGTAAACTTAATAAGACAGGTAGAAGATTTCACTAATTTTTTCACCAAGAGCAGAAGTCTTAATTTTGAAGGCTCACAGTGTTATTGAAAATGGTGGCTGCCATTTCTAATTTACTAGTCAGGTGACCCATTAACCATAAACATGGATTACTGGGGGGGCGGGCATGGCTGGCCACAATTATAGAACTATCACTATCCTTACTGAAAATCATTTTGGTTCTGTCGAGGCTTCAGGTGGTTCCCCTGATGAAATCTTTAAAAAAAACACATTTTGCTTTAAGTAAAATTGCATGGATCCACTAGTCCCAGGTTTTCCCAGTTTTATCCTCTGTATGGAGAGTTTCTTCAACAGCCCTTGACTCCAGTGCTGTAGAGAATCAGATGGTGCCCACAGAATAACTTTACTAACAACCTACATTAATGCTTTCTGTGGGTCCTGGTTAGGTCTGTGAGCAGCCCCATAGAGGAGGAAAAAATATCTAGTCTTTGATTTCCTTAGAAATCCAGCAAAGCTCAAGCAGAAACTATCCCAAACTCCATTTTTTGCCTAATGGCAACTATAAATTAGCTTACTGTATACCTACTGTTTTGTTGTGAATAATATACCTATTAGGGATCTTAAGCATAGTCATAGAAACCTAACATACAAATTTGGGAAGCAAATATTATTGTAGGAGAAAAAGAAATCCCCCATTACTATCCATTAAGCATTATAAAAGAGAGAAACAGGTCTTTGGGTGCAGAAATTTACATTGTTCTCAGCATCTTGTAATTGGAAGTAGATTTGATTTTTATTTTTTTGCTGGAAAGCAAACATGCTTTTATTGGCTTGAAGAGATTACTGGCCAAAGTGCCATTTATCACAGTGGTACATATTGAACTCACAGCCGAGGAGTATTCCTTGCACCTTAGTATTAAAACGATGGCTGGAGGCTCAATACATATGTTTTATTCATTGAAGATGATGTATAGTTTGGATTAACTCTCTGGACAATGTCATCAATCATCATAAGGCAAGCTCCCAGTAGTGCTAGGGCATACTGTTGTACATAGATATGTTTTTACACCCGATTACATTGTGAATGATAATATGACTTCTTAAAGATATATACTGAACATTAATGGCTCTAGTTGAAATAAATAGATGTTGCATAGTAGCGGTACCAGATTTGCTGGATTGTGCCCCAGTTTAAACTAGGCAGGTGCGCCAAGTATTGGGGACTGAGGGCTCTTCAGCCTCCCAAAAAAATTCAAGGAGGGGGCTGCCCCCCCCCCAAAATCCTGTGGCCCTGCTCTGCCTCCTCCTCCCTGCCCATTGTCGCACAGGTAGAAGGAGGCCAATTGTGGAGCCCGGCAGCTATGCTCCAGGATTGTGTGGCAGCAGCTCCCAGCGAGATCTCACAAGATCTCGCCAGAAGCAACACAATTCTGGTAGGTGATGTTTCGGCCAGGTGGAGGTGACACCTTCCTGTTTCACCTCAGGTGGCAAAACGGGACAGGCTGCCCCTGCGTAGATGCCATACTGATAGAGTATGTCTGGCTTTTAATACAAATCAGGCAACTAGGCAGGTAAGGAGCTGGAACAAAAAGGGAAAACAATCAATCCTACTATTTTTAACAGGCCACATCATGTCACAGAGAGAGCATGGGAGCCAATGTTACAAGTTTCTATACTTGAGCACTGAATGCACAATAACATTTTGAAAGAGGAGCCATCTAGTGGCTAGTAGCATTGCTGAATCTGAGCTGCCAGAAGACATTGCAAGAAATGCCTCGCTTAGAATTTATGAAAATAACCACTGTTGGGCCTTTTAAATGATGACAATATAGAACATCTTTTCTCTGTTCTTTTCTTTTCTTCTTTTCTTTTCTGTTCTGTTCTTTTCACATATGTGTTCCAAATATTAAAATATATAGAGAGTCAATTTGTTGTCAGGACTTACCGTATTTTTCGCCCTATAAGGCGCACCGGTCCATAGGACGCACCTAACGTTCGGGGGGGGGGAATCAAGAAAAAAATATGATTCCCCTCCTCCCAGCTCTGGGAGCAGCGGACAGGCTGCACGCAGCCTGTGCGCTACTCCAAGACCTTCTCCCTGTTTTTGCGGAAGGTGGAGGAATTCCCCCACCTCCCGCAAAAGCCCACAGGAGGGAGAAGGGACTGACTCAGCCAGTCAGTCCCTTCTCCCTCCTTGGGGAAAAGCCCCCAAGAGCTGCGCGCTCTTTAAAGGCTGCGTGGCTCTTGCGGGCTTTTCTGCGAGGTGGGGGAATTCCCCCGCCTCATAGAAAAGCCCGCAGAAGCCACGCAGTCTTTAAAAAGCGCATGGCTTCTGGGTGCTTTTGCGGGAGGTGAGGGAATTCCCCCATCTCCCGCAAAAGCCCACAGGAGGGAGAAGGGACTGACTCAGCCAGTCAGTCCCTTCTCCCTCCGGGAAAAGCCCCCAAGAGCCGCGCAGGCTTTAAAGAGCGTGCAGCTCAAAGTGGGGTCGGGGAGCAGCGTGAAGGCGTCTGGGGCTGGCGATGGGGGAAGCGCTGCGCTCCTCCACCGCCAGCCTCTAAGCCGGGTTGGAGAGTAGCAGGAAGGCGTCGCTCCCCTTCCCGCTGCCCCCCATCCTCTGGGGCTGGTGATGGGGGAAGCGCTGCTTTCCCCCACCGCCAGCCTCAAAGAGCAGACTCTCCTGGCTTCAGTGAAAGCATTGCGAAGCCTCCGGAGCAGGCTTCGGAGGCTTTGCGTTGCTATCGCTGAAGCCAAGGAGCCTGCATTCGCCCCATAGGACGCACACACATTTCCCCTTAATTTTTGGAGGGGAAAATGTGCGTCCTATAGGACGAAAAATATGGTAATCACTGAAACAAATAAAGATTACAAAAGTTACAATTGAGGTGTTGATATTAAATAGACAATCTGTCTCCCTCGGTGTTCCTTTGAGTAGAGGAGATGGAGGAGTCTTAAAAGGTCAGGGGAATCTCTTTTTATGATGGGTATTCCAATGGTGGCCTGCATTTGCCACCAAGACAATGTCTCCTTTAAGAATGCAGGTTCACGTTAAACCTCAGTGTTGTTTTATATATTGTATATTCATTGTTTTAAATTAATTCTCTCTAGACAAAATAAAGTGTTGTACTACATTGCAGCCTCACTGTTAGGAATGAAGATAGAGGGGACAGTACAGGAAGGCCGACACACACAACTAAAATGGAGAGCATTCAAGTCATAGAAGAGTGGTAAGTTTGCTGTTTGTCTTCTCTAATTGCCTCTTACCATAAACTATGATGGCCGCAATCTTCTGCACACATACTTGGGACTAAGTCCCACTGAACTCAATGGGCGGTATCAATGGCTACCTTAGCACAAAGATCTCTGTTTGTGCCATGGAACTTCCTTCCCTCTCCTCTTCCCAAATCTGCTCTGGACGGTTGGGGAAAACACAGAACAAGTTGGGGAAGAGATGAGTAGAGGGGAGGGAAGTTTCATTGTGTAGCCAGAATAAGGTTACCAGATTTTTTTCAATGAATCCGGGGACACTTTTCAACTTCAATGGATTTTGTATGGGGACTGATTTGTAAATCCGGAGACTGTCCCCAGGAAACGGGGACGTCTGGCAACCTAATGGAACTACTTTGTTGTGGCTTACTTCTGAGTAAACATGTACAGGATTGCACTGTTAGTTGCTTCACTGTGTGTGCTTTCCTGTAATTCATACAAAAGCAACAACCAGAAATTTGAGTTTCAATCAGCTGGTCTTCATGTAATATAACAGGATAGGAGCATTGCTGATGCATGATTGTGGTATAAATAAAATAAAATAAAGCATGCTTTCTCCTTTCTGTCAGCATATCAATGAATAATCATTTTTTTCTGTGCAGAAAAATAACTGTAAGAAGCGCAAGTGTGTGTTAAAACTCCTGTGTTATGGTTATGGAAATACAAATTCTGTGCCAAGAAAAGCTGAACTCATCATCATGTATAAATTAGGAAATTGAATAAATTTTGCACACTGACTCTTTTGCGTAATTTATTTTGCTTGTCATGGTGAGAAGCAAATAACTATATGGAGCCCTGAGCTCTGCTACCAAACTATTGGCATTCTTATTCGTCCATACTTCTATGCCTTCTTACAGTTTAGTAAGTCACTGTTAATTTGTTTTTAAAACTGTTTATCAGTTTCTGATAATTACTATAATTACTTGCTGTTCTTAATATCTGTTTTTAGCATTATTTTAATGTATATTTTATACTCTTATGTAAACTGCTTACAGGTATGGGCTTGTGTGTGTTCTTGCCCTCTCTCCTCCTTGTGCAATAAAAGGGGAGTGAAAGCTTCCACTTTCGCTATTGAATAAACCACAGTTCCATGTTATGTATGAACCTAGAGAACTGTGGATAGTTATAACCAATGTTAGTTACAATGGTTTGATACATAACAGATTGTGAAACTAACAGGTTGCTTATTAGTTAAGTAACAGGCTGTTAGTTTGTTAACTAACAGGTTGTAGAAACATGCTGGCAAGCATGGGGGCAATTCCTACTGAAATCTCAGAAACCAGATCTTTTAATTAATGCAAGTGGAAGGCTAAGGAAGACACAGTTGAAATTTTAATGGTCATCTGAGCTGGGTCTCTCTGTTGCATCATCCATTGAGGATTCACACAACTGACAACACTCAGCTGAGGTTCTGGAAGAGCAGGGAAGTTCATCCCTTGTTCTGTCGTCAGATACATACCCATGTCACAATTACACTGATGTAGTTACCTTTCAGACATACGTGCTGCCTTATACTGAGTCAGACCATTAATCTATCTCACTCAGTGTTGTCTACACTAGGAGCAGACAGCCTTCTAGGCCCAAAGTGGCAGTGTGTGAGCTTTTGGATCCAGTGGGTGTGGTTAGTGATAGGTGTGGCTGGAGCCAGTGTTGCCATATACAGAATTCACATGCACACAATTTTCTTTTTCTTTTGCCCCAGTTTTTCCTTTCATTGGTTTTTCATTAGCCTCCCTACCCTCTTTCATTTGCCTCCCTTTACACCATCAATTTCTGACATTATACTGCTGCTCCTCCCTTTTTATATTAGTTCAAGTTATTGGCCTAATCCTGTCTTATTGATAACCTTACTACATGCTATAAATTACAAACATAAAAGTATTGGAGCTTACTGTTGTTGTAGTAGTTAAGTTAAACTATTACACCAATTCAGGATCTGAGATTTTTAAAAATTGCCTTCATGGTTTTCAGTCTAACTTTTTTCTTCCCTTTCCACTTCAAGGTAATGCCATCTTGTGGTCCAGAATGATTTTTCATAACATAGCATCCATTAGTTTCAAAGAATGGTATCCCACATTTCTGGTCTTTATAAGTTGAAGAAAGGTTTTAATAATCCATTGCACAGCCATTTTGTTTATAGAAACAAATTTTAATATCCTTTTTAGAATTAATTCACACGTCTCATGTTTCACCTCTGGCCAATTTAAGTCAAAGAGTGAAGCTCTCATTGGAGAGGGTTATGGTGTGTGTGGGGGGGTGTAAATGCATGCCGGGGGGGGGGCGTGCACCTGCTCTCCACCCATGCTTGCTGACTTGTCAGTTTGAGGAAATATCTGTTGTTGTGAGGTCTGCGTTTTGGGATTAGGATAAGATTTGTATTTCCATGGGAGGCAAAATGTCTCTTCCCAATCCCAGCGCTCATCTCTGACTCCTGTACATAACCTGACAACCTACTTCTGTCTTCTCTTTCTAAATATGAATTGTTTGACTGCTAGCTTTTAGAATTAGAAACACTGAATAGCTTTTCGTTGTTGTTGCTGCTGCTGCTCTTGTCATTGTTTGTTTGTTTTGCAGCCAAAACCCTACAGAAGATGAAATCCTGTCTTGGGCTCAAAATTTTGACAAGATGATGAAAACACCAGCCGGTAGGAATATTTTCAGAGAATTTCTTCGAACAGAATATAGTGAAGAAAACTTGCTGTTCTGGCTAGCATGTGAAGACCTGAAGAAGGAACAGAACAAAGAAATTGTTGAAGAAAAAGCAAGGCTTATATACGAAGACTACATTTCTATACTTTCACCCAAAGAGGTAATACCATAAATTCCAAATTGGCATACAAGCTTGGGGTCAAATGTGGCCCCAGGCCCCTTGCTCTCTCTGGCCCTTGGAATTCTCTGAGGGCCGTGCCCTTCATCTGCTCTGCTCTGCATTCCCCTTGAGTGTTTTGACTGGCCTGAACTATGATAATTCCCCTTGCTTGTTGGGTGAAGAATGGAGAGAGATATGATTTGTGCAGCTGGAATGTAGTCTACAAAAACAAAGGGGAAAGTTCCAAACCCCTGCCATAAAGGCTTACAGTTGCCTTTAGGTTAGAAAGCATGAAGTAAACTCCTTCACAAGTGGTTGGTAAAGGCGCCATAAGCGATAAACTCTTTGCTGTAATGCTCTCTAACAAAGGGAAGTGAAAACAAGATGGCAGCAGCTGTTCAGCAAAGTGATAGTGCAAAGCAGGCATTATGCCTGACAATGGAGAGAGTCCTGGGAAAGGTTGAGGCAGAGGGTTGGGCTTGCTTTGCAACCAAACGGGACTAACAATGTATGGAACAGATAAATAAATACCTGAAATGGTCCTATGTCTATGCTTTTCCACCCAGGCCAATGACTCAGTAGTTCAGGCAAAAAATGCATAGGTTTGTATCATTCCATTTTCATTTGCTTTGATTTAAAGAAACACAGTACATAGCATATCAATCATACAACTGATAAAGATGTCAAAGGGTTTAGGACAGTCCTTCCATGTAGGCAAGATCCAGTTGGTGACTGAGTAAGACTGAAGCCTTAAAGTGAGATCTGTATACCTTTCTTGAGTGAGGGATTGATCAACTTCTCTTCCTCTTCTCTTTAGGTTAGTCTAGACTCACGGGTGCGAGAAGTGATCAACAGAAATTTGTTGGATCCCAATCCGCATATGTACGAAGACGCTCAACTTCAGATCTATACGTTAATGCACAGAGACTCTTTCCCAAGGTTTTTGAACTCTCAGATTTATAAGTCTCTTGTCGAAAGTACTGTGGGCTCTACTTCTGAAACTTAGGTCTGTTTGAGAGGGGCTGAAATCTTGATTTAGCTTTTGGGGTGGGGTGAGGGTGGGGATACTATTAGGATGAAGACAGAAGAAGCATTTTTAGAGTGGCGGGGCTGCTCTGGAAGCACCCTTGCTGCAGTCAATCCAAAACGTACCTTTCTTCTCCCACGTCAACCTCGGGGGGGGGGGAGGGACGGGGACCAGTTCTGCACCTTTGAAGCAGAGTCTGGCTGTGCACGGTGCTGATTTGCAGAGCCCACCCCCCACCCCGAGAAACCTCCCCCGCAATAGCTGGAGCAGTTTTGCACTTTAAGAAACGTATCCTTTTTCAATGAATAAGGTGACAAATGAGCAGATTGAACGCTGTGCTTTTTTAAAAAGAGAGAGAGAGAAAAGGTGGATGGCTCATCCATTAAATGGAGTGGGGGGGGGGAGCAAGACTGACAGCTGAGCCAGGCTTTACTTTGCTGGCATGTCTACGTCTGTCTTTTCGCTTGTGAGGCTGAGAGGAAGCCAGGTTCACCCCACAGCCGAGAGACATGCTACGAGCTCTCTTTTTGTATTCCATCTGTCTTCACCTTAGTAGTTTACTAACATCTGGAACTGAGTTCCTGGAGAACTACAGTTTAGCACTACTCAGGCTACTGTGAAGAAAACAAATACACACAATGGTCTTTGTCTACATTTTACCAAGGTCCTTCATGCTTGAGTTTGGAAGGGGGGAAAGAGTAGATTTGCTAAATAACCACTCGTTTCACACACTTTTCACAGCTGCAGTTGAGATTGCAATGACATGCGTGTCGTTTTATGAAGTATTTCCTTGTGTACCCTCACACAGCATGTGCAAAGCAAAAACTGCTTCATTTACCACTTTGTTGTTGCAATATTTAATCCAACAACATAAATTATATCGGTATTTAATAACATTTTGTGCAATATGGTCTTACAGTACACACAGGAATCCTCTGAACAGGCCGAAAAACAACTTGCATTTTTAAACAACATATGCGAACACTGTCAGAAACTAGCCCTGAAGTGTAGCAATGTTATTCCAAGCGCTCTGTGGAGGAAAATCCATTGCTATGGAAGACAGACAAGCTTTCTGTGTAAGAAGGAGAGAGAGATGGAGCATGTGTGTGTTATTTATCATTAATTTAAAAATTCAAAACAAGAGGTTCCTCTTGTTGACTGCCATAATTGTGGCATTTTCATTGCAGAGTTCAAAATGTCAAAAAAATAAACATAAACAAAGCACAATTACATGAAGGGATCCATGTTGGGGTTACATAGTATATGCGCTGACATTGTTTTTAATTGTTATAAGAACAGATAATCAATGTACATTTCAGATGTCGGATAATGTAACAGATTTATTAAAGACTGGCTATCCAGTTATCTCACGCTGCTGTGTAATGTTATGTAATTCAGCAAAGCAAAACAAAAACCCAGAAAACAAAAAAAATTAATGCATACACACAACCATGGTTGATAATTTACTTTTTTTTAATTAAAAAGTTTAATTTTTTTAAAGGGAAAAATGCCTAGATGTAGCATTTCAGTCCACACTGAGGACTACTATTTGTCTGTCAGTTATTTTTTCTAAAAAGTGCTATCATATGAAATGGAATGTTCGTGTGTTTTCCAGAAACTGAAACCAAATTGTTATTAAAAAAAAAAAAAAAAGGCTGAAGAAGACTATCTTCTGACCTGCCTAATTTTGAAGGATTTGTTGTGGAGTAGAAAAAGTTTACAGAGATTTAAATAAATATTAATTTTTTTAAAAAAAGTGGCCCAAGAATGAGATCAGTGGGTGTTTTATTATCTTTGTTCTTTGTTCAAAAAAAAAATCAGACAAACAAAAGGACTTCTTTTAAGCGCTAAAATGAAAGAGGGAACAAAGTAGTTCAGCCACCTTAAGCTCAGTTTACTTGGGCCATCTTTTTGCACAACCACTCTGGATTGAACGTGAGCTCAGGCAGTGAGTAATGGGGCTTTTGTGGAACTCCCATTCATTGCTCTTGTGCGACGGTCGAGATTCCTAGGGGGGCAAATATACACACTCCCTTTGCTGCTAGTTTAGTTTTGTAGGTAGGTGCTTAATGTGGTTTTTTTAAAAAAAATAAACTTTCCTGATTTAAATACATGCTTCGACCTTGCGAATAAATATCTAATCTAAAAATTGAAAGAAAACACCACACATTTTTCACAGCTGTTCAAACCAGTGGTGCGTGTTGACATATTTCCTTTGAGGAACTTTTTTAAAGCAGGCCATAGGGTTTTGAAGAGTTTTGTTTTGGTTTTTTTTGACCATCCAAAACCTCAGTGATGCTTCTCCCTTAATGTCAGCCAGTTGACGTGGTTGGCCCTCGTTTAAAATAAACCTCACTGTGGTGTTAACTGAGTAGACTTTGGTTCTCAAATGTTGGCCTCTTGTCTGCGAGCTATTCCTAAAGGGCAACATCTCTGAAGGGCCACCAAGCATGCTGAGGTGCAGCCCCCCTCCCATCTTTAGGTGACATTTGACCCAGGGCTGTGCTGAATAGGATGTCCTCAGAAGCTCCATTGCAGTGGCCAAAAGGACTCTCAGCCGGAATAGGTATTGATTGGTGCAGAATAACTTTCAGAGCTGGATAGTCCTACCCCAGTCCTAAACATCTGCACCAGAAGTCCTTTTATCCATGGCAGCAGAATACCAGAGTACCCTAAATACCCCCTTCCTAAATCCCTTTTTGCTGGTGATTGGGCCATTCATATGTTTCCAAAAGGATCTTTCTTTCTTTCTTTCTTTCTTTCTTTCTTTCTTTCTTTTCTTCCTCTCTTTCCTTTGCTACCTCTTCATTTTTAATTTATTGAACACATGTCAAAGGGCAGACGTGGGGAATTTTTGCTTATTATTTTACTTGAAATCTGTAGAACTTTTAGGTGGGGGGGAGGGAGGGAGGGAGACGCAGGCAATTTAGCTGCTCATTTTCTTAAGCTCATTTGGTTTTTTTGTAATTTATATAGAATTCAGGAGATAATGACTTTAAAGGGCTATTCTTTATTCCCTATGCAACTCTTTGGATAACTGTGGTAGTGTTTGACAAAATGGGGGTTTAAAAAAAAAGAGGAGAGAGACTAAATAAATAAATAAGAGGAAATTCTGCAAAGCAGAAAACATAAAAGGTCTGTTTACACTGGCGTTGCTGACTATCCTACCATAATCAGCACTTTTAAATATTGTTGTTTATGAAACTGTAGTTTAAAATGCAAGATGAATTATTTATAAAGGACATTCTTTTAATAAATATCTGTTTTGTCTGAAAAGTGTTATTGTGTTATGATATACTTTATTCATGTTGGTTAGTTATTTACCATTATGAATAAATTTTAAAGATATATTGATAGAATAATACCTTTGAAGATGTTTACAAAGACAGATTTTTTTTCCTAAAGGGGGGTGGGAATGGGCAAGGGGAGTGGAACTGACAGAGAAATGCCTCCTCCTACTGTGAAATTCTCATTGTGGATGAAATAAATGTAAGATATGTGTTTTTTTCCTAACCAGAATTGATTTAACTGTGGTATTGCATATCAAGAGCACCACAGTTAATGTCATTTTTACTATGGTACTCTGAATATATAGCACCCTTTCTGTATATATATGGTGTGAATTCAGGTTTGTTACAGTGTTTGAAACACAATTATCTCTGGTGCACACAACTAGGTACTATGTAATTAGAGAATACTGCATGTATACAACTTTCAATATTTAGACTTCATATTTTGATGTTACTATTTGATGGTGACCTGTTAATCAGAAGCTATCTTTATAAGATACTTTTAATACAGTAGGCAAGTTGTCAGTTTGACAGAATATATCTTCTGAGGAAACTTAATGAAAACTAACTATAAGGGCCCAAAAACACCATCCTGAATTCTAGCATAGGATTTCATAGTATCTGTATTTGGGGGAGGGGGGGAAATGTATAGCATTTAAACAAACTTTTCAGAAATTGGTGTGTTATTGCAATGAGACTGTGTTAACATTTCAGTCTATGTCCTTCTTCTTAAGGGGTCAGTAGACTAACCATACAACACTCCAAATGTTCTTCCTAGGAGTAGATGTATATTTTAAATGCACAGGATATATATGCCTTTTGCCATTTTTTTTAAAAAAAACCATGCAGTTTGTTGGGTGTCAAAATCCTGTGGCTGCAAAAACAGCCAGAGTTTTTTCATGCCACTTTTGCATACCTCAATCTGTTTTATGAAACTGATGCAGTATTGGCAATGTTTTAGACGGTAACATAATCTCATTGCTCTCGGTATATTTGCAAAATGTGAGCAGCCAATGATTAAACTTCTAAAAAGACTACCGTATTGTGCATGCGCTATACAATAACTTTAAAACAAACAAACAAACAAATGCCTACCTATACTTAACTACTTGCAGGCGAAAATAGATTTAAACTGTATTTACTTCCTGGATTTTGGATTTTCATGAGGCCACACATATATGAAATAAATATGAAACTTTTTATTTAAAAATGGCTGTGAATAAATTATCTATACACTGTGGTCATGCAAAAGCCCATACATGTCTCTCATTCATCTAAGTGCTGTTGATATTTCTTATTCCAACTAATCTTTTTATTGAATGTTTATAAGTAAGGGTGCTCTATGGACTGTGGCTTATGACAGCAACTTAGCGCTCCTAGGCATTTGGGGGCATAAACCTGAATCCATAGATGCAGTTGTATTAGCAAAAGGTGCTTCTACTCACTCAAACCAGGGGGGTCCTTAATTTCACCAGTTCTCCGTTAACATGCTAGCCCCCTTGCTATTCCCTGTGCTATTCTGGAGGATCCCCAACCTAAAAGAGTGGCTTTTTAGGGGCTCAGTGCTGCAACAGGAAGGAGGCAGAAAAGTGCCACTCTAGGAGTAGAACCAGATCCTGGAAGTTAAGACCTATATTGTAACCCACACATGCTGCCCACTTCATGCTTCATTTATCCTCTGGATGGAAGAGGATTGATTGTTTTGTACTGTTTGATCTCCCCTTTCCTATACTTTTTATATGGTTTCTTATATATCCCAGTTAAAGTGAATTGAGGAATGGGGGAGGAATATCCAAGGTCTTGGGATCTAAAGTGTTGACAACTAGTAAAATTCTTAACAACACTTGCTGATACAGCAGGTAATATACAAGACATGTTAATAATTCGTTATTGGTTTTTTGTATTCACACTTCTGAGAGATTTTGAGTTGAAGGGGGAAATATGTGAGACCCCATAGGAATTAACACTAGCGGAGGGTGATTACAGACCACAGACACTCTCTCTGTATAGTTGTACCCCTGTACTATGAACAATAATTATTAATAAAATTTTATATTTTATACTTCAAATGGGAGTCATTGTCTAATACATCAGATTTTTTTCCATCTCTGACTTAATCAGGATCTGTTTGACCCCAAGAGCAGATCAGTGTGATGAGTTAGAAAAGGGACTCATTTTAGAATATACTGCTGTATTTTGAGTCACACACCAGTATAGGAGTTCATATACAGGGCTCAAGTATATTAACTATTTCTCCTAGGTAAACAATTGCCATGTTAGGGAACAGCACAGAGCCGGATCTGGAAAATCCATAGGTGGAAGTCACAGTACACTCTGACTAAAGAAGGGGTGGAGATGGGGCTTGGGGCTTCAGGAGGAAGTAAAGACAGAAATTGGTGGAAATCCCACACACCTTTTCCCAGTATGTCTCCTCTCCAGATCTTGGTCCTTCCACCGACAGAAGGAGCTGTTCAGTTTGCACAAGGGCAAGTCTGAATCTAACCTCATGACATAAACTTTCACCAACTAGAGTCCATCAGATGCATGAAGTGCTATCCCTAAGTTGTTAGATACACATGAAGGTGGAGAAAGAAAAATCTAAACAATATCAGAGAAAAATGAAATACGAAAACCCAGATGTTGAAAATTACATAAAGGCTAAATGTATGTAAAATAAGCACACTGATCATTCACAAGGCAGCATTAACGGTAGTACTTATTCAGCTGAAGCATTTGTGCATGCCACTATAATCCCCAGCACAAAAATCATATAGTTTACTTCCATGGGCATAGGCAGTGCTCTTTTTTCATAGAATCATAGAATCATAGAGTTGGAAGAGACCACAAGGGCCATCGAGTCCAACCCCCTGCCAAGCAGGAAACACCATCAGAGCACTCCTGACATATGGTTGTCAAGCCTCTGCTTAAAGACCTCCAAAGCAGGAGACTCCACCACACTCCTTGGCAGCAAATTCCACTGTCGAACAGCTCTTACTGTCAGGAAGTTCTTCCTAATGTTTAGGTGGAATCTTCTTTCTTGTAGTTTGGATCCATTGCTCCGTGTCCGCTTCTCTGGAGCAGCAGAAAACAACCTTTCTCCCTCCTCTATGTGACATCCTTTTATATATTTGAACATGGCTATCATATCACCCCTTAACCTCCTCTTCTCCAGGCTAAACATGCCCAGCTCCCTTAGCCGTTCCTCATAAGGCATCGTTTCCAGGCCTTTAACCATTTTGGTTGCCCTCCTCTGGACACGTTCCAGTTTGTCAGTGTCCTTCTTGAACTGTGGTGCCCAGAACTGGACACAGTACTCCAGGTGAGGTCTGACCAGAGCAGAATACAGTGGCACTATTACTTCCCTTGATCTAGATGCTATACTCCTATTGATGCAGCCCAGAATTGCATTGGCTTTTTTAGCTGCCGCGTCACACTGTTGGCTCATGTCAAGTTTGTGGTCAACCAAGACTCCTAGATCCTTTTCACATGTACTGCTCTCAAGCCAGGTGTCACCCATCTTGTATTTGTGCCTCTCATTTTTTTTGCCCAAGTGCAATACTTTACATTTCTCCCTGTTAAAATTCATCTTGTTTGCTTTTGCCCAGTTCTCTAATCTGTCAAGGTCGTTTTGAAGTGTGATCCTGTCCTCTGGGGTGTTAGCCACCCTCCCAGTTTGGTGTCATCTGCAAATTTGATCAGGATGCCCTTGAGTCCATCATCCAAGTCGTTGATAAAGATGTTGAATAAGACTGGGCCCAAGACAGAACCCTGTGGCACCCCACTAGTCACTCTTCTCCAGGATGAAGAGGAACCATTGATGAGCACCCTTTGGGTTCGGTCAGTCAGCTAGTTACAAATCCAAATTTTTTGGATTACAAAAAATCCAAATCTATCTCCCGCCTTTACTCCGTACAGTTACAAAGTTACAAATTTTTTAGGGGGTACTCAATGGTATGCAGTACGGCACCTCTTTTTTTGTTAAAAAAGTGTGGCACGTACTGTAACAACTTCTTGGTGAGCCCCGGCACCTCATTTCTAAAAAGACAAAAAAGCACTTGGCATAGCTAGGATTTATGTCATGGGGGTCAGGCTTTATGTTAGGGGGCAGAACCGAGTTATCTGCAACACGATTGGCCTGTTAGTTAAGTATTTTTATTTATTTACTTGAATGGGGGGGGCAGCTGCACCCTTCTGGCTACCCTCATCATATTTACTTCTACTTCTGTTGGAGGGGCGCTCCTTGGTTGGCTGTGGGTAGGGCGAGGTGCAACACACACTTAATTTTTTTAACCTGCTGTTTTGTGCAAATCTAGTATGCCGTTAAACTGGTGTTACAAAAATAATAATAATGAAAAATTGACAACCAACACAGGTAAACAAATACCTGTGTTTGTCAGTCATCCCAGCCAGCGGCGTAGCGTGGGTTGTCAGCACCCGGGGCAAGGCAAGTAATTTGTGCCCCCTAACCCGGGGCAAGGCAAGTAATTTGCGCCCCCTAACCCCTAACCTGCCGCCGCTGCCAGCTTCTTCTTGCTGCTGCCTGGTCTGGTCTGGTGTGGTTCTCTCCCGCGCTCAGTGCTGCGCTGGGCGGCCGCTGCACTGTCCCTCCTCCAGATAGTCCCTCGCTCTCTCTCCACACTGCATGCCTGGCACCCACCCCCTCCACAGTGGGCGCGACCCAGCGGCTTGGATCGGATTTGCACAGCCAGCACTGCAGTGAGAGAGAGTGAGTGAGCCAGGTAGGGGCAGAGAGCTGCGAGTGCGAGCGCGCGCCCCCCCAGATGTTGCGCCCGGTGCGGCCGGCCCCCCCTGCACCCCCCACGCTACGCCACTGATCCCAGCACCTTTCAATTAATTGCCCAGAAACCGGGAGGCAACCATTCTGTTGGGTTACCTCTCTCTAATGTTTCATTTCATGATGTTTATAGAAAAGTTTGACTCCTTCCTCCCGTCGGGAGTCGCATCTTTTCGGCTTTTTCCGGATTTTGCTGCCGTTGCCGTGAATGGGAACTAGCAATGCAAGCCCTACAAAACAGTGCCCAATTGAACACATGACAACCCGTACCAGCAAAAGAAGCCCACGCATTATTATCCCCCTACCTCTATCTCCCGCCTTTACTCCGTGCAGCTCGGGGCAGCACGCGCGGCTCTTGCAATTCCCACTCCCCCCTTATCCTCACAACAACCCTGTCATGTAGGCTCGGCTGAGTGACTGCACAAGCCCACTCAGTGAGCCTCGTATCCGGTGTGTGCGTGTATGTGTGGACTGGAAACCGAGTATTCCCTGGCCATGGTCTTAAAGAGGCTCGGGAATGAAGCGCTTCCGTGATTTGCCAACGCGGTTCCTACCCGGCATAGAACGCCGTCCAACTGTGAACCCGAAGTGAAGGCGGTTCGTATTGCCCATTCTTGTTTTAACTCTATGCTGGACGCGGGGCCGGTTCGTTTGTTTCCGGAAGTTGCCGGCCTCGTGACCGGAAGCCGAAACTTTCCGGGCAAGGGAAGGCGTAGTTTGCCGTCGGTATGTGGCGGAGTGTTGCGCGCAGTCTGTTGTGGCGGCGGCGGCAGCAGCAGCAACAGTGGAGGTGGAGGTCGCGCGCCTTGTCTTCTTCGCCGCTCGCCCTTGCCCTCGCGCCGGGGCGGTGGGAGGCGACGGCGCCTCGGCGCTCCTCCAGCAGCCAGGCTGGCTTGCGCGAGCTGTTCGAGCTGCCGGCGCTGCAGCGCTTCCTGGAGCGGCAGCAGCAGGAGCCGGGACTGCTTCGCGGGGCTTCGTGGCCGGACTTGGCAGCGCGGATTCGCCTCCTGCGGGAGAAGGAGCAGGAGCTGCGCGACATGGAGCGCCTGGCGCAGGAAGGTGAGGCCGCCTCGGCAGACTCCGTAGCCACAGCCCGCTTGGCGCTCGTTGCCCTAAGCCGCAGCCGCCTTCAGTGGTGGCTGCCACACAGCTTGCTACCTGCCTGCACCAGAGGGAGAGCGGCGAGTCTTCCCGGGCTTGGCTCTCTCCTGCAGGGACCATCCCATCTCGCCGTCATATTAGTACCTGCATTTAGTGCACTGAAATTCTTATACAGGGGCCGGGTATTTTAGTTGTATTATCGTTACAGGCATTATTTGCTAACAATAGCTGTATTCTAGATGAACATGAAGATTTGCGGAAGCTGGCGGAAACAGAAGCTGTTTCCTGTCAGGAAGAGATAGCAGAATTGAAACACCAGGTACATTGCTTCCTTTTTTTATTCCTTTTATTTAAAACATTGCTTTTCATTGTGGGAACAATTCCAGAGTGGAATATGATATGCAATATTGTTTTCATATACAGTCAACCTTGGTTGCTGAACGCCTGGAACTGGTTAAGTTTCGGCTCCCGAACAATAGAAAACCAGAAGTGAGTTTTTTAACGATATTCGGAAGCCGAATGTCCTTCTGGTTTCTGCAGCCAATCGGAAGCTGCGCCTTGGTTTTCAAACGGTTTCGGGAGTCGAACGGATTCCTCAAACGCATTCTGTTCGAGAACCAAGGTACAACTGTATATATATTGATTATTGTTCTTATTGCATGTGTTCCAGCAAGGTATGTGATAGGATACTGTTGGCTGAAGATTTTATTTGGGTAGAAAGGCATCCCTTTTTCGTTTCAGATTGTATTGCTTTTGATTCCTTCAGAAGAAACAGATAGAAGTGATCTCATCATGGAAGTGACTGCTGGAGTTGGAGGGCAGGAAGCAATGCTGTTCACAGCAGAGATGTTTGATATGTATCAACAGTATGCTGCATATAAAAAGTGGAATTTTGAAGTTCTGGAATATGCTTCCAGTGACATAGGTAAGTAACCAGTGCATATACCAGTGTCACCCTACACATTACATTGCTGCAGGGGACATCTTATTTTTTCTGCTGCTAAATATGAGTGTTGGAGTATGAATGGTTATATATCATTGAAATCCAGCAAACATGTCTAGGAATCTTGTAGAGGTTTGCCCAGTATGCACCTAGTGTTTAAAGATGCATGCACTCTTGTGTATGACAACCACATGAGTAAAATGAAAATAGTAGCATAAAAACAGTGTGAAGCCGCCTTCAGTAACCCTCTTAGAATACTCTGCTGAAGAAATTGCATCCAACAATTACATCCAATTAGACCCAACAACAACTGGAGGGCCAGTTCCTTACCCAATTATATGTTGGTTATAATAATGACCTAGTTTATAGGAATATTATATGAATTAATGAGAATTTTCATAGGTTGGCTATGATAGGCCTTTCCACAGCTGATTGCACTAAGGAATGGACCAAAGATATGGACCGGAAGAGTGTTGGAGGCAGAAAACTGTGATTAATTAGAAACTTCCTGGTTTGATCGTTGTGGCGTTAAGGGGCTGCATGTGCAGGCAAAGGCACAAACCATGGGCATGAACATATGTCTGGTTAATAAGATCAGAGATGACTGTCTGAACTTAACCAGTGTAAAAGCAATAATATACATGAGTGGGACCCCCAACAAAATACTGTGGTGTGGAATACTCCTGTTTGGTGTTCCAGCCAGCTCTTTCTTCTTCCAGGATGTTCCATTCCCTTTCTTCTCCTGCTGGTTTTCTGCCTTTACTACTCCAACAGACACTCAGCATTCTTTGGCTGCTGTTCATGTTCAGTCCTTAATGGTTTGAATTTATTTGAGGGTGAAGTGGGGTGGGTGGTGGGCGTCTTAGGTTCTTTATGCTGATGAATTTTTCTACTTCTGCCAACCTTAGGGTTCTCCTTAGCATGGTGATACCCCCTTTAACTCAATAACACTCAAGTTTGTTATCAGTATATCCGGTTATTTATAAACTTTCTAGGAACGGGGCAAAAATTTAGAACAAAATACAAACTCTGGTTGCAAGCTTAAAATCATCAGTCACCATATAAATCCTTCAGCGAACTTTTCCAAATGGATTGTACTATACAGTTACAGTGCATTTTTATTTTTATTGAAGGTGGTTTGAGACATGCATCTGCTGTTATAGGAGGCCTCGACACATATAAACAAATGAAGTTTGAAGGGGGCGTACATCGTGTCCAGAGAGTGCCTAAGACAGAAAAGCAAGGACGCATTCACACCAGCACAATGACTGTAGCAATTTTACCACAACCAGATGAGGTATGATACAGTTACACAGTTGCAGAGTTGTAGGACTAGATGACGCTAAGGTCCCTTTTCAGTGCTACAATTCTATGATTCTAAGTAGGTGCTCAAATACTCTGCTTTCAGATATGCTCTTTTATGTAGACTTACTATGCTCAGAATAATTATTTATTTTATTACTTGATTATTTCATTTATAATCCACCTTTCCACCAAGGAGCTCTAGGTGGTATACATAGTTCTCTGCAGAAGGCAGCTTATTGTTTCGGAAGAGTGTTTTAAAGGGTGGTGGGTGCCCCAGGTGTCAGTGAAAAACTTGCTTTGTCATTTTAAATAAGAATGATTTGTAAATAGAATTATCTGGCTGTTCATTTACAAAGCATAAGTTGAGTGTGTCTCTTTCACGTTGCAGATAAATTTGACAATTAATCCTAAAGACTTGCGTATTGAAACTAAACGAGCCAGTGGGGCTGGTGGTCAGCATGTAAATAAAACTGATAGCGCTGTAAGAATCGTCCATATTCCCACAGGTACATTACAGCTTTCTGCCTTGATGAAATCTGTTTCTGCATATTATGATTTACACAAACAGTGAGCATGGCTTAGTAGCAGTGCAATGCTGTGTAGGCAGAAGTCCAGGAGTCAGTGTGGATACTGCTGCCAGTCAGAGTCGATGGCCTGAGTGGTCTCATTCAGTGTCAGGGGTCACCTTCTTACTGCCATTGTTGGGCCAGCTCTGAGTGGCTGCAGACTTCTGTGCCTGCCAAGGACATAACACACAGGTACTAAGAAGCTGCAGACAGGCTAGAAGACTGGTAGAAATGGTGGGGTGGAATTAACTGGAAGTGAGGGCAGAGACACAGAGGGCTGGTGGCTGGAAAATAAACCAATAACCTGAGCACGGGGTGAGGTGGAGGAAACAGGATACAAGAACATGAGGAGACGGAGACGGGCAGGAAGTAGTTAATAGTGTGTAGGTGGGAAGCAGGTGGTGTGTGAGAGGGAGCCAGTGGAAAAAGCATGGATGTAGGCAGCAAATGCCGTTAAAATGAGAACTGGACAAGCCACCAGAGGGAAGCAAATGGCATGCAGAATGCAGAGGTCACAAAAAGCCTGCACACATTACCACTGCTAGATGAAGGTGTTTGGCCCTGAGATGCTGACCCATGGAAGAAGCCACCTGCTGACCAACCCATGCAGCTAGTCTTGACTATGCATTACCCACCAGGGATCACTACCCTAGAGAAAGCTCTGAGAACACCTTAATTATATAAGGTGTTAAAAAAACATACGTTGAGTAAGTTAGCTTTGTGCTAGGGAGATTCATGGAATGGGGAGGTATTGCGTCCACCTGAGTGACACTCATTGTAAGGCAACTTCATATATACATGTCAGAAAACCTAGGTTTGCCACCAGTACTGCTTCTCCAACAAGTGTATTTGGGTGACTAACACATCCACAAATACATAATTTTTCCATTCATATTCAAAACGTTTGCATGTACAGGTAATAAATGTTGCGTTAACCTGTGAATTCAGTGATACCTTAATCATTGCTTTAAAAAAATAGATTATCAGTGTCCTTTGCATGAATTTTCACTTTGAACTACAGTTTTTACCAACCATAAGTGTGAATTCTGCAGATAGTATTTGAATTCCTGGAGTATGTGGGAATTAGTTATAGTTAACAGTGCAAAGGGTTTGTGTTTCCACATTTAACCTCTTTTGATGCTATTTGCAACAGACAGTGTACCTTCTGAATAGCCTACCCGTAGTAAAGCATAATCACAGCAAGGTCCTTCCTTTCTTACAAATCTACTTAATATTTAGCTTTTCCTATTTCTCTTTTCCAGTCCTCAGTGCCTTCCCTCTTTTCTGCTTAAATTGCAACATAGCATAGCAATGTATTTGGTTTTTTTCTGTTTGGGGCTAAATGCCTACCAGACGTCCTGCTTCTAGTGCAGGGTTGACTAACCTTTGAGTATCCAGATCCTTTTGGATTCCAGTTCTTTTCGCGTAGTCGGGGATGATGGGCCCTAGGAACAGTGCTGTTCCCACTGGAGCTTATTGCTTTCGTTTTGCTATCTTGGTAATCACCAGGCTTCACACTGCTGCCATTACAGTAGCATATACTTCCCCAAGCCCTGAGTTCAGAAACTAGCAGTTGTGTAACTTAAATTGCTTGTCAGATCTCACTGTGCTCCTTGAAAGTTGGCCTTCATCCTTCCCTTAGCACTCTTTGTTTTGTTTTTGACTGACATCATTTTTCTTGCTGCTGCAGGTGTTGTGTCTGAGTGTCAGCAGGAAAGATCTCAAATAAAAAATAAAGAAAAGGCTATGAAGATCCTTCGTGCCAAGCTATACAGTATCAAACTTGAAGAAGAGACCAGAAAAACAGAAATTGCTAGAAAGATTCAGGTAATGTTTAATTTACTCTTCATCAGTGCCTGGAAACTTGAGTTTAAGTTCTACTGGGACAAATACGTACATCAAACATGACAAGAAGGCATGAGCTGATGATATAATTGGGCTGGAGGGCGCAAAGAAGAAATCTACAGCATGAAGCTTGGAATTTTAATAGGCATTGTGTGGTGGAGAAAAAATAGGTTTCTTAAACAACACAGTGAAGTAGAGTAATTTAACAATTAACACCTCACTTAAAATAAAGTGAGCATAAAGCTTACCAGCATGTCTGTTAATACCCTTAAGTGTATCCCTGAAACTAATAACAGTACTTATTAGTGTGCACCCCGACTTTTATAGCTGTGCTCAGAATGCGAGGAAACTGCCCTCACAGTTCTTCTGGTAGCACCTTGGGCAGAGGTGTGGTATAGTAGTTAGTGTATTTGTGCAGGGAAAATAAGTTTCCTATAGTGTTTTCCTTGTTAACTCTTCATGCTATACATTTGCATCTCTAATATGTTTTCCGTCCAATCCATGCATGTATCTGAGCTCTTGTTCATGGCACAATAACCCAGTTAGTCGCCAAGGAACTAGATACAGCATGCTTTTGTTTTCTTCATATTCTGGCAAGGTGTCTCTGAGAGCCCAAGACACCTCCAAGTGCATCTGCTCTCCCTCCTGTTCCCTTTAAAAGTTTGACTGGCTGAGAGAAGTGATGCCTCAATTTGTCAGAAGCAGGAAATGTTATAAGAGATGCAGTACACATGTTCTGTTTCTCCTACTTACAGTAGTTGCTTTTTAGGTGTAAGCATAATGGAGAGAGCTATAAGCCTCTCCTGTTACACTACATTTATTTATTTTGCTCAAGCAATTTAGAGCATAAGCTATTCAGGGTGAGGGCTTATCTTCTGGGTCTTTTTGGTTATGTTAACTCTGCAAAGGATTAGGTATATATAAAAAAACCCTGATCGAATTTTTCTTTTTCTGATTAGACTGGGTCCAGAGGAAGGTCGGAGAAAATCAGAACCTACAACTTTCCCCAGGATCGTGTTACTGATCACAGAATAAGCAGATCAGTGCATGACATTGAAAGGTTCATGTTGGGGGAGGAACTGCTAGATGACATGATAAAGTCCCTAAGAGAATATGCTGATTATGAGACTGTATTGGAAGTTATTTCTGAAAGTGATCCAACCAGGCTGAGATGATCTGCCCCACAGGTACAGAATGCAACCAACTAGCTTGCTGCATCTGCTAGCTTTGGACCTACCTGACATTGAAATCTCTCTCTTTCTGTGAAAAAGGGTGAAGTTAGCATTATTCTCAAATTGCTTCTTGAAGCAGACAGCTATGATGGTGCTAAGCAAATTGACACTTGAGACAGATTTTTGAATGGATGCTGGTGCTGTACTCTTCAGAGGTGGGCAAGAAATTGAGAACACACTGTCAATGAATAGCTTTTTTACAGCGAAAATCATTCAGTGCAATAAGAAAGCTAACATGATGTTTTAAGTTATTACAATGTTGATACCTTAATCCAAAACCTGGAAGAAATTCTATTGTTTTCAGTGGCACTTGGATTTGTCACCACATGTAAATTTGAATTTATTTATTGTGACATTGTTAGAAAATTATACATAAGATTCTAACAGCTGTGGTGCCATAGCAAGTCAGAGGATTGGGCTTTTGCTGGTTGCCCCTCTCTTATGTTAAATGAAACTTCTTTAAAATCTGAGCCTACTTGTGTTGAATCCTTTGGCCCAGCTATGCACATGGATCCCATGAGTAAAGAGAACACTGTTACACTTTCCATCCTGCTGTCTAAATAGCTGGTCACCCCATACTTACATGTCCTAGTTTTCCACCACGCATGGAAATTTGACTGGGAACTTTGGAACCTTAGAGCCTGCCTAGAGGTAGCCAGCTGGACCTCATTTTCTATCATCCATGACCACTGGCCAAGCTGACCAGGAATGATGGGAGTTGGAATATAACAATGCCTGAAGGGCATCACATTGGATATCCCCTAGAGCCTGCCTTCAAACAGAAGGAAGAGTCTAGGTCACTGGTGTTTTAGCTGCTGTCTCGTAACCCAGAAATCTAGAGGAAATGAAGAGCCTTATGGTTCACAGGCAAGTGCCTAATGGCTGGTTTGAAAAAGAATAATAAAAGTCCTCACTTTATATGGCAAGTCTTTAAAAGGACACTGAAATACTCTACTCTTCCCAACTGCAGAGGTCCAAGATCATCTTCACAGCTTCCCAGTGGGCTGCTTAACTCCTTGCGCTGTGGCAAACTCCAATCAAATTGGCTTTCTATATAGGGAGTTCCTTTTTCTGTGCTTTTCACACCTGTGACTGTGCTGTGAAAAAGAACCCCACTGGATAATCTGCTCTGAAATTCTATCTACAATGAGTTGACAGGAATTTGTTAAATAGGGATGGAAATGTTGGGGGACATCCAACCAAGTTGTCCCATTAGCACAAGGATGTCTGTCTATTAAACAGAACTTCCTTTCTCTGTGCCCCCTTAATCTGCCTTTGGGCTTTCCCAAACCCTCTGGACCACATTGGGGGGGGAGCATGCATGAAGGTGAAGCTCCATTGCACAAACCAATTATTGGCCTGATGGAACTACTTTGTTGGATATTGCCCCCTGACTTTACTTTCCTGTGTACAACCTTGAAGTACAGTGGTGCCCCGCAAGACGAAAAACTCGCTAGACGAAAGAGTTTTCCGTTTTTTGAGTCGTTCCGCAAGACGAATTTCCCCATGGGCTTGCTTCGCAAGACGTTTCGTCTTGCGAGTTTGTTTCCTTTTTCTTAAAGCCGCTAAGCCGTTAATAGCCGCTAAGCCGCTAATAGCCGTGCTTCGCAAGACGAAAAAACTGCAAGACGAAGAGACTCGCAGTACGGATTAATTTCGTCTTGCGAGGCACCACTGTAGAAAGCTTTCAAGAAGAATTTTGATTTAATATTTTTTATTTTAAAAAACCAGCTACTAATAAGAAAACACACCCCTGCACACATGCCTGTAGCAGTATCTTAGGCATGTTTCAGGCTGAGGTACCGTATTTTTCGCCCCATAGGGCGCACTGGCCCATAGGGCACACCTAGGTTTTTTTTTGGGTGGGGAATAAAGAAAAAAAATTATTTCCTCCCCCCCAGGCGCGGGGCTGGGGCAGGGGAAGCCCAAGCTTCCCACAACCCCAGCCCCCAGAACAGGCTGCTATCCGCAAGCCTAGGGAGTCTGGCGGGAAGTCGCGCCGGTCTCCCCAGGCTTGCGGGTATCTGCCCGAAGTGCGCCCCGGGCTTCGGGATGCAGGCCGCTCTCCAGAAGCCTTGGGAGATCGGCATGACTTCCCGCCGGTCTCCCACGGCTTGCGGAGAGCTGCCCGAAGCCCGGAGCGCACTTCTCAGCGCGCCCCGGGCTTCGGGATGCAGGCAGCTCTCCGCAAGCCTTGGGAGACCAGCGGGAACTCCCACGGGTTCCCAAGGCTTGCAGATAGCTTCCTGAAGCCTGGAGAGCGAGAGGGGTCAGTGCGCACCGACCCCACACGCTCTCCCGGCTTCAGCGAAGCCTGCATTCGCCCATAGGACGCACACACATTTCCCCTTCATTTTTGGAGGGGAAAAAGTGCGTCCTATGGGGTGAAAAATACGGTAATCTAATAGTGATTTGTAAATGTCTCACAGAAGATCAAGTAACTTCTTTGAAGTTGGGAAATTCTGATCCAGTGATTTAGTTAGAAACAGTCTGATATTCTCTTTGGAGATTTATCCCAGCAGTTCAGTAGGTTTCTGTGATTATTCTCTTGTATCATCCTGTAACAGAATACAGCCATGCTGCTGGGGGTTGCGGGACTTTTAAAGTTCTTTGCACATTTATTTCATACAGCTTTTACATTTCATTCCCTGCTTGTTATTATTCAGGGTGGGGGGAAATTAGAGCCAGTTGTGAAACTATGAAACATTTTGGGAGTCCCAGATATGCAAGGACATAGGGTTGAAAAGTGAGTCCCAAGAGATTCTTTGGGACAAACTGGAAAAGCTTTGCAACAAGAGACGACTTGTGTTATGACAATCTTTAACTTGAGAATTCAGTATCTTGCACTCTTATCTTTCAATATATAATGCCAGTTATAGCACTCTTTATAATGTTAAAGCCAAGATAAAAATTATGTACACAAATTAGCATTTTACCCTTTTCACAGTGCAGTAGGATCAATCTCTTTTACCACTTGTACACTCTCTAACATAAGCTCTCTGGTAAGAAATGTGTGGGCTTTTATGTTTGTTTGTTTTTTAAAAAACACTTTTAAAACAACATATAGAGAGCCAGAGAGCCTTACTGAGATAGCCTTCCTTTGCTCAGAAATGCTTTTCTGTCCTTGGTAGTTGTTATATGTCAGGGGTCAGCAACCTTTTCCAGCCATGGGCCGGTCCACTGTCCCTCAGACCATGTGGTGGGCCGGACTATATTCTGGGAGGGGGAAAATGAACAAATTCCTATGCCCCACAAATCACCCAGAGATGCATTTGAAATAAAAGGACACATTCTACTCATGTAAAAACACGTTGATTTCCGGACCATCTGCGGGCTGGATTGAGAAGGTGAATGGGCCATATCCGGCCCCTGGGCCTTAGATTGCCTACCCCTGTTATATGTGGCTTGTTTTTATTCATAAGATTCAAGAACCATGGCTTACAGCACAAAGGCAGAAGGATTCAAAGATGCCCTACCTTTCTGTTGGGCTGCCTTCCTTACTGCCCTGCCCTGAAGGCAGTTTGTAACAATTAAATCCAGTGGAAGAGCCTGACCCCTTGCCCTCAAGACAGCTAATTCTATCACTTGGCATGATTACATCAAAGGCAGGGTAGAGTCCTGGTCTTTTTTTGTTGGGGCAGTAAGCTCTTTCTCCTTACCTTTCGTAGGGCTGTTCTCAGTGATAAGATTTATTTCTAATCACTGAGAAAAGATGAAAACCTACCCTAAATGTAATTCCCATATTTCTTTCCTGTCTACGTCTACCTGTTGCATCACTACAACTAAATAACTGGAGCATGCATGCTTGAAAGAGGCAAGTTGAAGCATCTGCCTCACCTGTTTCAAGGAAAGAAGCACCTATATATAAGGATTTGTTTCCTTTAAAAAGGCATAAACAAAACCGATATCTGTAGTGATAATTTCTCAACATGGGATAATGAAATTATGTCAAAAGATATTTTACAATTTAGGAGAACATGAGATGATGGATATGAAACGGTAATCTTAATTTATAGGCCACAACAAAATTATGGGTCTACAAGTGGCGAAAATAAAGGATAGATTACCCAAGTTAAAATTATGTTGCTGTATTAAGTGAGGGTAGTTAAAACTACTTAAGATAATCATTTCTACCTGAATGTCCTAAAGGCTGAGAAAGCATTTCTGCAGTGAAGCCACTATTGTGCTATAGTAAAATGAATTTCAGGGAGGACTGTGCCTATCTCAAAAACACAACTTTTTGTTAGGTTTAAATCATAAATTCTTCAAATATGAAGTGCATTTGCTTCTGGAAAAACAACTTCATAGTATTTTATTTCATACACTGATTTGCTGTAAAAGATTTTCCAAGTATTTTTATTGTTCTTTGTTGGAATATTAGCTTGTGTATTGCTGAAGGATGCCTTGGCTCTTTATTGATCATAAAACATTTAAATGTGATATTAACAGTTTTACTTAGGAGAATCTCAACAAATATGCTGCCTATTTAGATCCTAAACACAATTATCCAAAAGCAAGTCTCTCTGAATTCAATAAATGTTGCTTTCTTGTAACTGTGTTTAAGATCAATTTTAGAATCAATCCTATTCACATTTACCTGGGAGTAAGTCTTATGGAACTCAATGGGACTTATGCATACGACTCTTATCTCTGCACAAGTATGCTATAGATGCTGCTTTATGTTTAGACATAGAGGGGAAATAATATATTCTTTTGATACTAAAATTTGTGGCAGAAAGATCCATACTATCTATTATACCCTACACCAGTGTAGCAGATAGCCTTATCTAAGGGCCAGTATTTCTTCCTAACCCTGTTTGTTTTTTAAAAAGCAAAGTATTACATTGATTTTTATTCAACACTGATAGCTTTGTAGCTGGAGGCAAAGGTAATGTGTTAGTGTTTGCTATTTATATTTAAAGATCTGCGTAAACACTTCAGAGGCATGAAGTGTTATGTGTTTATTCATGATACATTATTTGTTGAATGAATCTATGGATAGCTTTGAGGCTCTATGAACAAGCTAATAAAAATTGTTAAGAGCTGGTCTTCTAAGAGTTGGATAGGAAAATATAGCTGTCACAATTATTACTTAGTGCATCTATCTAGGATTGTACCCAGTGCCTCTCATGCACTTCCATGCTGCTTTTGTAACTGATGTGTTTGGGGAGGGGGTGAAAGATAGGGTAATGGTACGTTCCTAGTCCCACACAGTTAACACTCTTGATAGCTGTGGGAATGTATTAATATCTTCTGCAACAAACATAAAACTGCTGCAAACTGATGACCTGGAAAGAGCCTTGGTGCATTCAACTTTCACTAAAACCAGTGGAAAATGGCCTAGACATGGCAGAAGGAATCTTATTACAATCTGTAGCTTTAAACTGAGGTCTACTAGCATAATTTGTCCAATTCTACTATTGTAGAATTATTGTATTCTATTATTCTATAATTCTATTATTGTAGAATAATGGTAATAACAAAATTAATTGTAATGCAATTTCATAATGTTTATACCTTTGATAAGGCTTTACCAAGCTGTCCTTGATTCAGAAATGGGAGCAATTTCCATCAGGTAGCTGGGGAAGTTTCAAGAGAGATTAAACTAAATATTGGGCTTCATTGTCCAAGACCACTGCAGCAAGACATGATTGCACCATTAGAGTATCAGAATAGAATGTACTCTCATACTTGCAGCTTAAATCTGCTTCTCCTCCTGAATACATGCAAACTTACAATTAAAGATAATAGCGCAAGGCTTGTTTACAGGAAAACCCTCTGCAGTGCAGGGGGTTGGACTAGATGACCCTCATAGTCCCAACTCTACAATTCCACGCTTTCATGTGTGGAGGTGTAGGAGGCCAACAAAGTAGAGTCATTACTGTTACGAGCGTGCTTTTTAAGGATGAATATATTGGGATGTGGGTGGTGCTGTGGGTTAAACCACAGAGCCTAGGACTTGCTGATCAGAAGGTTGGCGGTTCGAATCCCCGCAACGGGGTGAGCTCCCGTTGCTCAGCCCCTGCTCCTGCCAACCTAGCAGTTCGAAAGCACGTCAAAGTGCAAGTAGATAAATAGGTACCACTCCGGCAGGAAGGTAAACGGGGGTTCCGTGTGCTGCTCTGGTTCGCCAGAAGCGGCTTAGTCATGCTGGCCACATGACCTGGAAGCTGTACACCGGCTCCCTCGGCCAATAAAGCGAGATGAGCGCCGCAACCTCAGAGTCGGCCACGACTGGACCTAATGGTCAGGGGTCCCTTTACCCTTATATTGGAGCAAGCTGTGGCTTTAATTCCAAACTTACTTAGACTTAAAGCTACAGCCTAATTCTGTGAAACAGTTTAGCTTTAGGATTTGTTTACAGCAGCAGGGTTTAAAACTAGTAGGCTTTATAAAATAAAATACCTGAGAAGCTGAACAATGAAATCTGCCTCCTTCCTTAAACCAAGCCAATCCACTCCAGCCCGCCCCCCGGTCCCCCAAAAAACCAGGTATCATAGAAGGAAATACTGTACTCCCAGGTCAGTTTCTGGTCCCTGTTTCTTGACTGCGTTATAAGAACCCAATTAATTTAGGAAATTGCTGCCAAGTTAATCATACTCAGGATTGTGAAAGCTCGCGTTTTAAGAAGGAGACTTAATTACATACCAGTTTCCTGTACCTGTTATATTAAAAACCGCAGGCCGGGGGAGATGGAACATGTCTAAGAGGCGGTACAGTGTCACGTGTCTCCTCCTCCTCCTCAGTTATCCTAATACTATAGTGGCAAGAGGTCTGAAGAGGCGGAGAGCCCACCAGGCCCGAATGGTGTCTCCTGAACGCGCAGGAGCCCGGGGCTGGGCGCCAGACTCTGACCAATAGAATGGCCCGGGGAAGGAGAGCGCGAGCTCTTTCGAAATCGTGGGCAGGCGCCACAGCCTCTCCCGCGCTCCAACGCGTCTCCCTCCAAAGCTCGAGAGAGGCAGCGCGCGCGCGGGGCGGGGGAAGGGGAACGCCTTTCCCCCGCCCCGCCACCTCAAGGCCCCGAGTAGCACAGGCTCGCGCCCTCAGCCTTTAAAACCTCTTGGTAGTCGAGAGAGAGAGAGGGAAAACCACCCCCAACGGCAGCTCCGCCTCTCGCGAGCAGGCATTGGCCTCCGCCTCTCCCTTTCCCCGTATTGGCCGCCGAGCTTCAGCGGCGGCTCCCCATTGGCTCCTCTAGTTTTGGATACCAGATTCAAAGTTTTTAAAAGTACCCGGCAAAGAAATTCCGCCCAGAGCAGGCAAGCGGGCTAGTGGCGGCTGGGGAAGCAGCGCCGAGGAAGAGCCCCGTTAGGGAAAAGGACGGAGGAAGAAGGAAAGGGAAGGAAAACGTAGAAGTGCATCGACTCCTCCGTTCCAGGTACAGGGGAGGGAAGCAGGGATGAAAGAGGCGCCTGCAAGGCTGCAATGCCCTCGTTGGGGTGGGGGCGATGTGGGGGGCCCAAATCCCCCCAAGAACGCCTGATAGCAATGGATGGGAAGGGATTAGGATCCAGCTTGGTATGGATGGGCTGAAAAAGTCCATATTTCCCCCTCTTCTCCCCAATAAAAGGGAACTGACGCTGTAAAGGAGTCCCGCCGGCGGGAGAAGCCCTGCGTCGCTCTCCCGCGTAGTGGACGGGGAGCTCCTTTAAAGTGCGGGAAATGATCTCCTTTACCCCCTTGGCTCTTCTCCGTTTACTGAACTCGTTTATTATCCCGCGATCTGCTCAGGAGATGGGCTTCTCCCCACCCCGGCCAACCACCTCCCCCCACCCCAATTGTGCCTTACAGCGCACGTGGGATATGGATTGGGGAGCCCGTGAAAAAACACCGAATGGTCTCTTCCACCCACCCGAGATCCTTTTCTCCACCTCGCCCCGCAACCTCTTATTTTTCCTGCCCTGGGAGGCCTGGCGGGCACCATTTCTGCAGGGCGCGGGCGCCTTTGCGCCTCCCTAGCTTCTGTAATCTGGAGCCCGCCAGGGTGGGAGCAGCCATTAAGCGCGTGCTCGAGCCTTGAATTGGAGAGGGGGGGTAGGAGGTGCGAATTAATATCTGCCCCCCTCCCCCGAGAAAGACATACATTTATTAAGGGGAAAACCAGGCAGGGCGGGCCTCCCATGTCCATTCTCCCATCTCCCGCGCTCCTTGAGAAGGCGCCTCCCAACCCCTCAGAGATGGCAGCGGGCTGAGGAGAAATAACAGCGATTTTGGACTGCTCTAACCAACGAGTCGGGGGGTGAGGCCCGATAGACAGAAACTGCCACTCACCTTGATATGGGGAGGGGGGCTTTTTCTCGTTCCTTTGGGGACGGCAGTGTGAGGCAATCTTCCCTCACATCTGAATATATTTTGCCCCACAGCATATATACTGCCTTTTAGGATGTAATGCCCAAAACAGCATCTAGATTTCCCCACCCCCTTCACATTATAAACTGTACCTCAGTGTTGAAGGGTGCTTGAGAAAAGGACTGGCGGTGTGCTTAATGCACCATAGCTGTATTTTTTTTAGCCACCACTAGGTTCCATGACTGCCTCGCCTTGGAGAAAGGCTATTTCTCCTGACCTTTCTCTAGCAGCATTCTGAATGAAGGGGAACCCCCTAATAATCCTTGAGAAAGTAGAACCATTATTTCCCCAGGACCCAGCTGGAAATGTGACTGATAATGCTTTAACTGTAGAGCAGGGAATTGGACAAACATGCCAATTCAGGACCATCTATCCTGATCTGCCATTTTGTAGCCCTCCTTTTATAGCTTTCCAAGTTGCTCCATACCTGGCATACAATATGTCTATGCAGAGTAAATAATTTTTAGTTTGGCAGTTTATCCTCATCTTCGCTGGAGGTAAAATGCCTTGTAAAATGTGTTTTGTAAGTTATTTTGTTCATTTGTATTAAAGCGAGCTGTCTATAAACAGTAAGAAATAATCACATGTATAAAAAGCCCTATATTTCTGCAGCGTAATTTTATATTAACATGAAAGTGTTGAATTAAATGTTGTAAAACAAATGAACAGCCCTTCAACAATGCTTCCAGATTGTCTTCTGAAATAATTTTAACGCTAATGTCTTTTTATTTTTGTTTTAGATACAAATCTGACAATATTTAAAAACAAACCACTTTGAAAATGAAACGTGATGTTAATTGTTACTATGTTCACTGTGGATATTCACCATTAAAACCAGGTGGAACAGAGAAAAGATCAGAAGAGCTCTGTATTGCTAATTATGATAAAGACTTTTGTAAAGACTGCAATAAAGACTATCAGAAGGTTTTCTACAGTGACCTGCACCATGGAAGTCCCAAGAGTGTCAGCATCCAAAGTGGCGAGGAACCTGTACATAACAACAAAGAAAACCAAGAAATATTGTGGAGGCATGTTCAGAGTGTCAGTGAAATGGACAATGGAAATGAGGACAGTGGGTATTCCTCTTTGTTGGGCAATCAGCACGAACCTACCATCCACGATGATAGCATGCCTTTGGCAGGAAACATCAATAATACACCAAATAACCATCTTAATCAAAGAAAGAATTTGCTTCCAGTCCTCCATTTTGAAGAACTTGTCTGCTCAACTTTAAAAAAAACTAGTAGAAGAAATCCAAAGACATGGGCTCTTGTCTTAGATAAGATTGTTTCTAAGCAAAACATGGAATTTAGGAATCTAATTGGCAAAAAAATGGGACTAGATAAATTAGACATTCTTGGTGAGCTGTTCCGTGGAAAGTTCAGTCATCTGCTAGCAAGTATCTTAAAGCATCTCAGCTATATGGACTTGATAAAGTGAGTTCATTTAATATGGTGTCTGTACATTAAGCTGAATTATAAGGTCAAGCTCAAGAGACCATTTTTACTGTGTGGTGCACTAATTTTCCTCATGGACGAATATTGCATGAAGACATATGTGTCAGCTAGCATATCCATGTGAAGTATTGTGCGAATATTCTCTTTTACTGTCTGTTCCCAGTGCTCTGGCAATAAATATTAATATCTCAGAATGACCTTCGTTGGGTGACATCCAATCAGCAGAAGAGACCTGTTGGTCACGCAACAGGATTCCTCTTTCTGTTCCCCTTTGCAGTTGCACCACACTCCAAAATATACTCTGGAGGATTGGAAGACCTTCTGAGCATATGAGGCGAGGAAGGGGAAGTCTGTTCACATGACATCGGATGTTACCCATTCAATTTAATTTGTTAAGGCATTGGTAGGGAAAACAATTTTATATTTGTAGATGTTAGAACCCTTTATCATTTTTCATTTCTGCTTTCCTTTATTTCATTTCAAACTATTCAGAATAGAATATGAAGCTGTCCAACTCCTATGCTGTGCTAAGCTTAGAGTGGACACTTCTGAAACGTGCGCATCCTTTCTAAAAGTGCATAGAAGGGAGATGAATGTACATCTCTGCACTGAGGTTGCCTATAGTTTTGTAATAATGGAAAGGTTTATAAATGGTGCCTTGGAGGTATCTATAGGTAGAATTGTTTACTTGGTTAAGCAACGGGATTTGATCTTATTTTCTGAATATAACTGATGGTTTTTTTCACAACAGTGTGGCTAAAGTGAGCACTACATGGAAAAAAATTCTACAAGATGACAAGTGGGCTTTCCAGATGTATAACAAAGCACTGAAATTGACTTTGGTAAGATTCTCTACTTTCCCCCATTCTAAGTCCTGTTTTTATTATTGAAGCACCTACACATCTAGGAACTGGGGCAGGGGGGTTCCATCATTTCTGTTGCAAGCCTCTGATTGCTAACACAAGCTAAAAAGCAGAGGTGGAGAACCTCAGGCTCTGTCTGGCCCAGGGTACACACCTCACAGGCTCTCAGCATGGCTGAAATGCCTCCATGAATTCTGATGATGCCTCTTCCTTCTATGAGGGTAGAGAGGTACATGCATAGGAACTAGTCTACTGTACAAAGGCACAATTTGGATTTGTTGCTCCACCCAGTTTTGCCTCTGGCCCCACCCACCACTGACATGTTGGCCATTGGGCTGAAAAGGTATATACACCCCTCCTATAAAGGTAACTTGCTCGTTTTCTCAGGCCCGCAAGTTTTGGCTGGATTTGTTAGCCTGCTTTTATTTGTGCCAGATAACTTGGTAGGGCCTGATTAATATATGTGGCAAGGCTCAAGAGTAAGGGCTGGGCCTTGGTCAGCTTTGCATGCAGCTGTTTTGCACCGCTAATTGTGCAAGCAGCAAAGCATGCCAGGAGTCTATATGCTAGATTGCCAGTGGCAATGCCTGTACAATCAAATCTTGTTTTAATCATCTGAGATATTCCGAAACTTCATACAACCAGACACAGCGCTTTGCAAACATACAATCTAGGAAGCAACAATTAACTAATTTCCCATTATGTCCAAACCAAGAGACAGCAGATAATGGCTTCTAAACAAGTCAGAATATGAAAAGGTGGCTTAAAAAGCTGGTTTTCAGAACCTGGTTTGTTTAGGCGATATTAACCATAGTTTCCAGTTCGGTTGGAATAGAAATGTATGACTAATAGAGGCTTCCTGTCATGCATGCATGCTTACATAAAGGTGCTGTACGTGGATGCATGCACATTGGGCAAAAAGATTCCTGCGTTGCAGGGGGTTGGACTAGATGGTCCCTGTGGTCCCTTCCAACTCTATACTTCTATGAACCTCAGACATATCTCAGCTTACTAAGCCAACATTGGATTGTGAATGTGGCCAGTGGCTGTTGCTCCTGGCAGTCCATCAAATGGATTTTTTTTGAAGCCCTGGTTCCAGACTTGCAAATAAATTTGGGGAAGATATTGGCCTACACATACATTTAGTAGCCTGCCAGCCAATCCATATTTGTATTGCTCTCTTTGGAAGTTCCAAAAGCAAAAAGCATTAATTTTTAATCTAATTAGATTTTTAATATAATTTTTAATACCTCAGTTTTTAATAAGGTCCCCAAAGACACATTTGGAGGCTATTGGGTCATATGCCACCTGGAGGGCTGATACAAACTGTGAGTTAAAATGCCATGTTCTACACCAGGGGTCTTTTATTCATGAAAATTCCTGAGAATTTGGCAAAGGTGCTGAGCCATCTATTGGTCAGATAGTAGATTGTCTTTTGTAGGAATACTGCCAGAAACTAGAAGGAAGACGTCTCCGAAGTATCAGCTAAGTTTCCTTATTCTGCTTTTGTTTCTTTACTCCCTGAATACAAAAGCAGGTTCCGATGTGTGTGTATACTAACAGATAATTAGCACTTTACTTTCTTTTTCAATCTGCAGTCTTGTAATAAACATTATTTTCTTGGCAGAATAACAGCGTGAAGGCCTCCAGACAGGGTGATACAAGGGAATATGCTCTTTGTCGAGAACCATTAACTCACGTTCAGAAAGTATCAGCTGCACAAAACTCTAAAAAAGCATCCAGAATCAAGGTGGACAACCAGAGCTCTTCCTCCTACAGCCGGTACACACAGTTTTCCGAGGTAAAGTGCTTTTAATTCTGAGTGGCTTCTGGTGATGCCACATTGTTAGTAATAATTTCAAGTACAATGGCCCCATATCATGTGCCAGTTAATCTTATACAGTACAAACCTTGTGAAGCCAGATTAAGCGAGCAACATATTGAACTGTTTAACAGGCTGTATCTTTTGACAATAGAATTTGAAGTAGAGGAAGCCTTAAATTCTTTTTAGAAGGGCAAGCAAGCTGTAAAAACATGGTGTGTCTATTTAAATGAGCTTCATTTTGATTCAGGGAGATGTTTACAAAAGCAAAATCCTTTTAATTTTTTTTTTTATTATTTTGCTCAACAGGTTGCCATGACTTTGAAAAACACTGAAAGCCTGAAAGTCTGCAGTTACTGTGGTTCACCTGCTAAGTATGATTCCCATCTGCAGAGGGCAACATGTATCCGTGAAGGCTGTGGTTTTGACTTTTGCACAAAGTGCTTATGCAGCTACCATAGTGCCAAGGACTGCTCAAGTGGAAAGTCTTTGAAGCCCTCCTTCAAATCAGGACCCCTTCCTGGTACCAAAAAAAGCAAACAAAATTTACGCAGGCTTTAATGGGACCTGATTTGGAAGTCCAAAAGAGTGAATATGAAAGAAAGAACTGACTTGTTTAAAACCATTTTTTTAAAAGAATGAAAACATAAATGTATTTTGGAACTTTTCCAGTGGGTTAGATGCTTTTAAATTTTTTAAAAATGAATTTGCTATTCCAAATGTCCTACCTGCTGTTTTAAAAAGGGTATTCGCCAAAAAAAATTAAATTCAATTTGTTTTAAGGGGATGGAGAGGGTAGCAAGCTAGCATCTGGACAGAAAGTGGAATTAGGTTTTGAAAGTTCAGTAGAATAAATTTGTTTTAAGGAATGAGCTTTTGTTTTAATGTATTCAGACTTCATGCCTTACAAAAGCTTTTAGAACTTTACTGTTGAATGACAATGGATATGAAATGCATTTTTTGCTAAATACGCAATAATACCCTTGTATTTGCAGTTTGAAATATTTATTGACCAAGTTTTGTCTAATTATTTTCAAAGCATTGGATGTGACTGGGATTAATAACCACTCTGGTCTTCATAACTGCTGAAACAATATTGTTTATCATGCCCCCATTTCATTCCTGGGCAAATATCCTGATGGCCAGTTATCCCTTTACTTTACTTTTCTTCAAATCCAAGATGCTTCTCCTGCCTATATACTTGTAAATACTTAAATATTTGTCTGTCTCTATGCTGAAAAATAAATTTAACTTTATAAATAATACCAGCACTATGTTTGTTACAGCACGCAAATAACTAGAGACAGGTACATTCCTGCATGGACAGAACTCCATACAATGGGGGTGGCAGTCGCACACACCATGCCAAGCTAGCCATGTGCACATCACAGTTCAGGCCCAATGAAGAGTCACTAGGGACAAATAGGCTTGGAGGGTCACATTTGACCTCTGGCCTTGAGGTTCCCAACTCCTGGTCTAGATTTTTAGAAAGGAAAATTGCCCTGAGCAATAAGAACAAGAACTCTGTGTGTTTTTTAATCCTCTCTCATAACAAAGAGTTCCATGACAGATATTGCACACATGCAGCTGGAAAGAACATTTCTTCGCCATACTTAGAAATCAAGAACTTATCAGAGAGTGGGAGCATTTTAAGCTCTGTCTGGTATGTATGAGAGCTTATTTTACTGCAGGGATTCCTGTGGTACTTGTATGCACAGTGGTGTGGCGCTTAGCCCATTTGAATTCTTGCTCATATACTTGATGTATCCCCTTGATTCCAGCTATATTGTGACGCTACTACCAACTTTTTGCACCTAACAGTGAAATGTTGCTCCCTCCAAACATTTTCTCTTCCAGTTTTTTAGAAGTTCTGTGGCATTGATTGTGTATTATATTGCACATAGCCTTAGCTTTGCCTTATGCCGTTTTAGGTACTTATTAGTAATTATGCCACAATCGAGCTTTGAAAATGTAGGTTGCTCGAAAAATTGCATGGGGCTGGTATCTTTTCTAGGGTCCTTCAACTGGCCTAAGTTACACCATTTTCTTTTTTTACAGTGACTGCTTAGTTATTGCATAGCTTAAAGGAGACCACACGATGGGGCTGTTGCAGCATTACACAAATGTACTAGGAAACATGTTTTTGGATGGGAGAAGAAAAACATTACAGTGCATTTTGATTCATTTTATGAGTTGTTATAAGGCATGATCCACAACTTTTTTCTTGATCCCACCACACCACCCTGGAGAACCACAGACATCCACCTGAATCCATTTTTTAAAAAAATGTTTAGACTATAATTTTACAGAAAGCCCACAAAACAAGTTCAGAGTGAAAGGGTTGCAGGGAATGAAAGAGATGGGCTCAGGAAGGAGAAAGGAGCCACAATGATCTGATGTGGTTCTTCTGCATGTCTTTATTTTTTTATGGCTGCTTACATTATTTGGTGTCAGGAAGGCATCTCTTATGAATCTTAATCACTTCATGATGAAAAGGTAAGTGCAAGATTTCTGTAGTGGACAGAAGAGGTCACCTTATTTTTAAAAAATGAGGTCCTACTTTTTACCACCTGGGTGTCAATGTGGCCTACTATAATAAAAAAAAATGCAATATAAAATAATATATAAATTAAATTTCAAGAAGTTAAAATCTCAGGAATTGGAGCAAAGGACTTCCAAAAATCAAGGGGAATCCCATACAGAAACCCTGAAATAGTAAGCCATAGGGGCATGATAGTGCTATAATTGTTCACCGTGATGTGTTATAAATTTTGCCTACAGTTTTCAAGTAAACTGTCTTCAAGTCATACTGCATTACAGTTTTGGTGTACCAAGCAGGGATACAGAAAGTTGGAAAGTAGGTGCAGGGTGAAGAGAGATCTGTGGGTGCCCTTATCTGGACAGGGATAGCCTAACTACTGTTGTCCATGCTCTGGTAACCTAGGTTAGATTACTGCAACAGGTTACAGTGGTACCTTGGGTTAAGTACTTAATTCGTTCCGGAGGTCCGTACTTAACCTGAAACTGTTCTTAACCTGAAGCACCACTTTAGCTAATGGGGCCTCCTGCTGCCACCACGCCGCCGGAGCACGATTTCTGTTCTCATCCTGAAGCAAAATTCTTAACCTGAAGCACTATCTCTGGGTTAGCGGAGTCTGTAACCTGAAGCGTATGTAACCTGAAGTGTATGTAACCTGAGGTACCACTGTATATGCTGGGCTGCCTTTGAAGACTGTTCAGAAACTTCAGCTAGTGCAGAATTCAGCACTCAGGTTTCTCACCAGGGTAAATAATTAGAATAAAAAGAGCTCATCAGCAGCCTTTTCATTAAAAGCAGTTAGTTCCCAAAAGCTTGCCAGCAGAAGGACAAGGAGGGAGCCAATCTAACTTCTCTAGGAAAGGAGTTCCAACGTCTGGGAGCAGCTACCAAGAAGGCCCTCTCCCACATCCCTACCAAATACCCCCTCCCTTCTGATGTTTGTGCATATCCATTTGGAAGGATGCCAGGAGATGGACTACTCCACATGCCCCCTTGACATGTTCAAACACTGGAAAAGGCAACAGTAAATGCACGGTGCTACTTTTATCTAAATTTACCCGTCGTGATGTTTTCCCGTTTACTCTGCCTTCCCTCTTAGGGAAATGGTGTAGCACAGTAGTACAGTGGTACCTCAGGTTACATGCGCTTCAGGTTACAGACTCCGCTAACCCAGAAATAGTGCTTCAGGTTAAGAACTTTGCTTCAGGATGAGAACAGAAATTGTGCTCCGGCAGCAGCAGGAGGCCCCATTAGCTAAAGTGGTGCTTCAGGTTAAGAACAGTTTCAGGTTAAGAACCGACCTCCGGAACGAATTAAGTACTTAACCTGAGGTACCACTGTAGAGCATCTGCTTTGCATGCAGAAACTTGCAGGTTCAATCTCCAGCATCTCTAGGTAGGCCTGGGAGAGAACTTTGTACCTTGAAGTGCTGCTACCAGTCACCATAGACAATATTGAGCAAGATGGACTTACGGGATTGTCCTAGTGTTAGAGAGCTTCCTACATTCCTGGTTCTACCTGGTCTTGTTCTGTTATGGCGCTTTGGGTGCTTCAAGGCAACCTGTTTGTACATTCAACATCAGTCCTGATTTGTTCACATAAAGCTGATACAGAGGATTTATTGAGCATTTGATCTAATTTATTTTATTTAAATATTTTAAAACAGCTTTCAAATAAAATATCACAAGATACTAAAAAAACACAAATACTACAATAAAAGCATCAAGCACACAACCAAAAGCTGGTTGGCAAAGAATCTCAGGTTTGAAAGGTCTTTTTCAGAAGATGTCTGAAAGAGCAGGGGTGACTACTGCTATTGGCAGTAATTGGGAAATACTTCCGAGTAAAGATATGTAGGGTTGCACTGTAAGTGTGTTTAGGATAGAAGCCCATATCATCCATGGCCATCTACTTTGCAATAAACATACTGTTGGAGGCAACGTGGTGCTCCCACCATCTGGAAGTTTGGTACAATAAAGTCTGCATTCCATAGGTTCATCAGAGGGGTGTGGCCGATTATCTCAAGGCGATTTGGCCTTAAAATGAATAATTGAGAGGATGAGGTTGGCCTATTCCAGGGCAATGATGAGACTGAACGTTGGCTCTGTTCTTCACAACTTGTATTCGTTTCCCCCTCCTTCCCACTAGAGGGCAAACTACACCTTTTCTTTTTCAAGCAACAAAACAAGAAACTGTCTCATTTGAGCTAATTCTGCAAGTTGTTAACAAGGCATGAATCGGAAAGGGAACCATACAACTTGTTAGGTACATGTCTTCTACTCAGTATTGTTTTGTGAGGATTTAATTCAGTTTAACTTATTGCATTACAAATGCAGATGTGTCTTAGAACACCAATGAACTGGGGGAAAGATCAGCTACAATTTGCTCATAAATACATTTTAAGCAGCTACTTTAAACAAGGCATGCTTCTCATTTTAAAGTAGAATGCCATTTCCAATCTAAAATCCCAGTAACAGGCAGAGTAAATAATTCCATGGGAAGCGGTATATCTACATAGAATACATTTTAAAATCTAAATTCTGCTCCAAGAAAGACTGTATGCTGTGGTTAGTACAAATATATGCACACATTTCCTTTTTTTCTATATTATATTCTCTCTGGGTTGGGACACAGCACTATGCAGGTGCTTCCAAATACCAGTTTCTGGAAACTACTACCAGCAAGAGTATTCTTGTGCTCGGATCCTGCTTCCAGGTTTGCCACAGGCATCTGGTTGGCCACTGCGAGAACAGGATGCTGGACCATTCAAAGTGTTGGTGCTGACCTTTAAAGCCCTAAATGGCCTCGGCCCAGTGTACCTGAAAGAGTGTCTCCACACACATTGTTCAGCCCGGATACTGAGATCCAGCCACGAGGACCTTCTGGCAGTTCCCTCACTGCGAGATGTGAATTTACAGGGAACCAGGCAGAGGACCTTCTCTGTAGTTGTGCCTGCCCTGTGGAATGCCCTCCTATCAGATGTCAAGGACAGAAACAACTTCAGTGGTACCTCAGGTTAAGT